GTAAGATTGAGAAAACCCTGTTGAGAGTAATTCGAAGAAAGGTCTTAAAGTGTCAAAGACTGTCCCGTGTTTATGTCGACAGTGCTTCCGCAAGACAATTTATGCAATCCTTTTAATACAATAAATATACTTGTCCCATGCAGATCATACACATACATGTGCACTATTTTGTTTGGTGGGCTGCCAAATCTGCCTAATCTGCTTGAATTAAGGAGGGGAGCTTGCGAGGTTGATAATAACAGATCTTGGTGCCCTTTGGATATGTGGTAGGGACCCATGAGTGTACTAAAACCCTGAAGTAGTTTGACTCCATGGCCACATTTGCGCCCGCCACACCCACTCAAAAATGTCCAAAAAACGCTTTCACCCCAGTTTTCACTCACTCAAATCCACGCCAAAAATCCAATTTTACTCGGATTTTGAAATTTCTTTCACCATTATACTCCCAGATAGTTGCTTTCTTCAATCCAATATCAAACTCAATTTTTTCGAAATTTTTAGTATTTTTAAAATTTAAAATTCTGAATGAGCATTGTTGTAGTCATCAACAAAACAAATTATGTTTGCGAAATAATCATCAATAAAATTGAGTTTGATATTGGATTGAAGAAAGCAACTATCTGGGAGTATAATGGTGAAAGAAATTTCAAAATCCGAGTAAAATTGGATTTTTGGCGTGGATTTGAGTGAGTGAAAACTGGGGTGAAAGCGTTTTTTGGACATTTTTGAGTGGGTGTGGCGGGCGCAAATGTGGCCATGGAGTCAAACTACTTCAGGGTTTTAGTACACTCATGGGTCCCTACCACATATCCAAAGGGCACCAAGATCTGTTATTATCAACCTCGCAAGCTCCCCTCCTAAGTGCGAGGGAGGAGGAGGCAGAAGGAGGAGTGGAAACCCAAATGCTGATCTGCAACAGATTCCGCAAAATGAACAGTAAAAGTGTATAGTAAATATTCAAAATATTCAATTCGTGTCTCATATGCAGCCTTATTTTCCATATGTTATGTCCGACGTTGAATGTCATAAAGCACAGAATTGTCGCCTAACATAAAAATTATTACGGCAAAAAACGGGTTGGCGTTGTGTTAGGGTTACTTTATTCGGTTGACAAGTAAGTATGTATGTAGGCTTCATTATGCAACAAAGATTTACGGGTTGGATGGCAGCGATAGTTTCTAATTTCGACCTGTTTGTTTAGCAGAATGAGCAGAATAACATGACTTACTTTCATATGAAAAATAGCGTTTGAAGCAAAATGTATGGAAATCTACTCGGATTGATTATTAATTATGCAAATATGTGCACCTCGTACTGTTGCTCTTCTTTTGCACTAATACAAATATCATGTGTGAAATGTTTTAAGCCTTCATTGTGTATTTTGCTTGACTCTCATTTCGTGCAGGACTTAAATAATTACCAGCAATAATAAAGACGAAGACGAATTTGGAGCGGTAAATATCTGTAGTTCTGCTGAAATCGTTAAAACAATCATAATAACAAGACTTTGGATGCGAGTGAGGTAAATCTTGCTTCATTTGACTGACATTAATGTTGTTTTACTCATCTTTAAATTTGTCATGAACTTATTGAATGTCAAACAGAGGGATGTAAAAGGTCATCTTCAATTTGAACGCATCAGCTTCGTGAGTCCTTAATTTACGCACTCCCCTCATTTGCATGCGTGGAAAGAGCATACGGCTACAATTAGCCTTGATGAAATTCCAACTGACGAAAAATGTCCACCAAAAGTTTTTTCCATCGAAAACATCAAACGGCCCATCGCCAAACAAGGTTTATCGTCTTGTCATAAACCGTCAATTAAATTAAATCTCTCGTCCCTCTCTTTGCCAAAGTGTGTTTTACAACGAGCGAAATTCGACAGACGTCGCATCGCATCAGAAACCCATCACTTTTTGAGACAAAGGAATCACAAAGTACGCGACTGACTATCATCACACATTCTTTTATTATTGTTATTATTATTCAGACTTGATATTAACATTCGCGTTAAAATGTTAGTGCTGGTTGTTTGGAAATATGTCTGGAGGCTGTGTTACAAGTCCAGGCAGAGCACATGAGCAGAAAATTCCTCCTAGTTTTTCATTGAGATTATTTAATGACGAAGTGTGGTTTAAAAACTAGTTCCCCATATGGCTGGCAATAAAACGTCGCTTCATCAGTCAGTCAGTTGCTAATTTGTATTCAATGAAAACACATATTCCATGCTGGGTTTATGACTCATGGCTCCCCTTCAATCCTCACAAAATTGCACGTTTTTACTCGTCCTGTCCACTCTGGTCAATTCAACTTGATTTCTACAAATGTCTTCAGCTGCAGACACTTATTATGCGTATTATTCGTATTTCTCCCTTTTTAGTTTCAAGCCTCCGTCTGTGTGAATTAGAAAAAAAACTCGATATTGCACCACTCAAAAATGTGCAGAAGCCCAAGAAGCCAGCCAAAAGGCAGTCAAGCTCTTGTTCAATGCAACACTAAAGATAATTTTTTTCAAGTCTGCACTTGTTTGAGGATGCATGCTCTTCAAGTCGTTAATATTTGATGTAGAAAATATAGACTTGTCCATCTTTCAAAGTGATGTCTGAATTGATAGTGAAGTGGTGTGGGAGAGATTTTCAGTGAATGCTCTGCAAGTATGGACTGAAATTGTTTGTTACCCGTCCAAGCGAAATTTGTTTTGCTTTCCTACCGTGGTCGTGGCGGTGGTGGTGCATTATTGCCGAATGCAGCAAAAGGAAAATATAATAAACATCAAGCGTCATATCACTGGAATCGCCTTGTAGAATTTTAAGACCTTTTTTATTCCATCTATTTCAAAAGCTCATGTTTTGTGATTACAATAATAACGAGTCGAGAGGATTTATTTAAGAACTCCATAACAGTCGCCAGTTGATGATCATGGTGGGCAGCAAGTAATACATAATTTTACGCAAGCTAAATATATGTGTCCATCACATGCACATATCTACATACATACGCCATGAGTCCAATCCGATGTTTTTGGCAATATTCTAATTCGTCCTGCTCCTTTGGAGTATGCCAACAGAGAGGATTTCTACAAAGTAATAAGAGCTGCAAATAATCTAAACTGCCTCCAGTAAAACAATTAAGCTGGCCACCGTGGTACTTATCGCCATATAGTCATTCACCAAAGTGGTACTGCGATCATGCATGAAATAAATAGTATGCATCTCCGTCTCACAATGAGAGAAGAGACATCCATGGAGAAGAGTGATTTCTTTCTTTCTTTCTGTTCAGAGGGGAGCAGAGCAGCATGCAGAAATCAGGAGAGTAATGCTTCATCCAACAATTACAATCGCATTACATGACATCAAATCGCACTACACGCACATAGTTTTTTGACCAGTTTGAGCTCCACAATTTATTCAACACTCTGCCACTCATCACTAACGACGGGCAGAGCTGAATAATGGACTGCTGGCCAGATATTATGTGTGATCTCATCAGCATCAGCATCTTCATCCTCATCATGAATTTTGGTCTGGTCTGCAAGAATGGTCAAAAGAGTTGGAATCAAAAGAATAAAGCCCACGGACATCACTTTTGACTTGAAGCAAATTAAAACAAGGAACGAATCAATTTAATAACACCCAACTTTCAGCCAACATTAATTTCAGCCATCTGCAAATGTTGGATGAATTCTTAATCGAACTCTTAATGCTTGATGGCAAATGGTTGGCGTTCCTCGTTCGTCCTTCAACTTCAACTTGAAAAAATACCCAAAAACTACGAAACCAACCAGACTAATTGTAGGAATTATTATTGGAGGTTTGATACTTCTCTCAGCATATGCAGAGAGAGTGCAAGAGCAAGAACCCTTCGTCTTCTCGGGAATTCAAACATGTTATTTTAATTTGTCTGTGTGTGAGTGTGGGCAAATCTAGTTTGAAACTTTAAACTAAACTCCAAAGACGCTGCTGTACAAATAAAATGGGTTGAGAAATAAATCTTTCAAGCATCCGTCTCCTTCATCTTCTTCTTATCCGAAATCTTGTAAAAATCTCTGGCAATTCCAACCCCTTCCTTCGCCCAAGGACTTGGAAATATCTACTTCCCCAGCTCGCTCACAATTTTTTAGTCCTGGGTGTTTAGCATGCCATTTAGTGGTGTGCTAATGATATGATCTCGTCGTTCAGCTAAATCTCTCAGATCGGGCCGGGATGGGTCTCATTGCATCTCGTACATATGAATATCCTTCCTGGTGGGAACGGGAGAGAAGCCGTCCCGTCCTACCCGTGTCGTGCTGATCTAAACCGAAATTCTTGAACTGGTGGGATGATGCGATTGGAGATGTATGTACACATGCATGAGAATGGGTGATTGAGTGAGTAGGGCGAGAGGTGATCACCAGTCAATCGTCCTCCTATCCGTCGCTTATCTGTGTGGAAAGATGAGAATAATAACATAAAAAGCAGAGTCCACATTACATAACTGCTCATCATCATCCACGTATGTAGCTCGCATAGGTATGCACACATGTAGGTGGAATATCTAGCGAGTAATGATATGTAAGTGTGTGTGAATGAATGTATGAGATGCATAAGCCATGGATTCGTATTACTTATTACGGCGCATCTTTAGTCCACCGAGAGAGAGAGATCTCACAAAGTGAGCTCTGGTACATACACAGGCTGCAGAAGAGCTAGGCAAGAAATCTCAACTTGAGATTCTCAAGTAATAATAACCCAACTTTTACTCGCAGTGTTTGGAGACATGTAAACTCGTCGTCGTGTTGGTCGTCGTCGTATAGCTGCTGCTCAACCCTTTCCTTTTATTTATTCCATCTCCAAAAGTCTTGGACTTTTTACCATACGAGCGTGGCATTGTATTCACTTACTTACCACCACCTCCTCCACCACTTCATGTACGAGCAAGAAGATGATGGTGTGGAGTAGGAGAGAAGAAATATAGGAAACATTACGTTTAGCAAGTCAGTCGTCGCAATGCATGAGTAAAGAAAGGGGATTGCCATTGCATTTCGTGTGTGTAGCTTTTTTAACTTGCTCTCCTCCGACTTGGCCCGTTCTTTAATACCAGAGTGTCCTATGCTACGGGCCATTATCATAGTCTGCCTGTCTGGTCTCCGTCCTCCTGGTCTCTCAAGCTCACACGGTGCACCAACGCTAGACCGAGAACATCTCGCCATCAGCTCATCATCGCCGCCACACTTTTACCTCTTCTTCCTCCTCTCCCCCTTCTTCTGCACCAGGACTTTGGTCCCAGGACCTACTTTTTAAGCCCCCTTCCGGTCCAGTAAAATTGCACCGATTTCGACGCTCGGGTGATGTCCACACTTTTCGCAACTACAAAGCAAGTGCAAGTGCCAGTGATATTGCCTCGTTGCATTGGAATCCTCATTGTTGTCTCAGTTGGGTTGTGGGAGTTGTTGGGGTGAAAGTGAATTTAGAATGTGAGACGCGACGCGACTCTTGTTCATAAATCATGAGCTGCATTTTCTGTTCCTGCACTGCCACGGCTGCACCTTGTTCCTCGTCTCTCATTCCTTTAATGAAACCCAATCCATCCATCCTCTCACTACACTCGTTCAAATAATCATAATCGTAGGAAGGAGAATGAGATCTCACATGCACGCTTGCATTCGTGGTCAATAGCAAGGTGTGCACATAAGTATAGCGTACAACCTGTGTGTGTGTGGGTAGAATATTGGTACGCAGGATTACACATAGCAGCCGGTGAATTGACTGCTGCGAATTCCAAAGTTTCCACACCTTTGAGCCGGGTTCGATTTGTGGGGTTGTGACAAAAAGTTTGGAAAATGTGCAAGTACTTGAAATCTGTGAGGACATTTACCGAGTGAGATGGAATGAGAGAGAGAGGAATGCAATATGTAATGTGATCGTGATAAATAAAGACTCGGAATGGAAACGTGCTGAAAGTGCAATTTCTTCTCCGGCATCTCCAAAGCCTCAGAAGACGAGTAAAAAGAGGAACAAGAAGAAGAAGGCGACGTAGCTGCAGCCAAGTGTCCTGCACGAAGATGGAAAAAATTAGAAAGCCTACAACAAATATTTTTCGCATGCTTTTACTCCTCATCGGCGTAACGACACTGATTCTCAGTCCGCTGTGTCTCTACTCATACTTTTACTACGTTGGTGTACCTCACAAGTCTCAGGTTGACCCCTTCGGAGAGTGGACATCGGAGGGGGACGTTAGGTTAACAGATAGCAGTGCTGCCATAGTGTCCAGTGAAGCCTCGTCGTCCTTCTATGGGGAGAGTGGTGCATCGAGAAATGCAACTGCTGCTGCTGGTCCACATTCTCAACTCCAGCACCACAAGGACTCATCTTCATGGTCTGGTGCGTCCTCTTTAAAACACTTGGTTATCATTAGTAGTATGCTCCTGATAATGTCACTCTCCTGACGTATGGCTTTCCTTCATTCATTTCATAATGTCATCGTTATCTCGTGTCTATTAAAACTATTTTCGCTCCTCTAGTCACTCCGTATGCACAACTACACTCCTCCATACTTATGCATCCACACACGTAAATACGTAGATATGTATGTATTTATGTGTAGTAGGACATCTACGTTACAGCAGAAGATATCCATTTTTAGGCCCCATAAAAAAGGATGGATGAATGCAATGAATTGATTTAAATTGATCATTTTTTGCCAACTTTGGCGTGTCATTTTAATGTGCACGAGAGGGATATAATTTTTGCCATAAAATTATTCTTATTTTAAATACACACTGTTTTTTCTACATGTGTAGCAACACTCGTTAACATGAAATGTGTCAGCAATTTATGTTCCTGAAACTGCTGACACCTAAAATACAAAATACAGTCGAAGCAGCAGAAGACATTTGGAGGATCCTCCGACATTATTGGCAACATTGTTGACCAAATACAATGTTATAAGTATTTTATAGGCTTTAATAATGCGTGTGAAGATAACTTCCTCTGTTTACACATTGAGCGTGTATTTATTATTCCATTAATTTCACTTTCATTCGTGCACATAAACCCTTGCCCTACAACGCATTCATGCAGCAGACGACGCGAAGCAGGAGCGTTTAAACATTTGCCATTCTCATTCGCGAATCGTTTCGGCAGAATGAAACGTATTCAATCAGTCGGTTTATGGGAGCAGTGCACCAGCCACGCCACGCCACACACACGAATGTATGTTCATATGCACACACGGTAAAACGACATGCCATGCGATGCCAATCCCAGACCAAGACAAATAGTCAAAGCCAAAGCCAAATTTTAACTGAACCGAGACCAACTGACAAAGTTGAACTGCCGCATTCTGTTTAAATTAAGAATGAGGAGCAGCCGTCGAGGTGGTAGAAAAATATGTCATTATTATTATATCTCTAATAATATGAACAACCCGGTCGGACTAACAACAGGCTCGTACACATATAGTTTTGCACATGCAAATATAGTGCAACCCCTACTCCTCAAGTTTTCGGCTCATGTATGTGACGCAAGAAGGATATTTGGTACGCTCCGTTCTCGCATGTCATTTTTGCAAGAGCCGGCTTGTTGTCTCGTCAGTTATCAATCGTCATCATCGCCGTCCAAGCCAATCCTACCTTGCAGTCAATAATGGATTTGTTTAGTTTTTGCAAGTAGCCCATGCACCACAACTGAGCCATGAAAGTAAGAGAAAGGCTAAATGTCAAATCACAAACCAGGTTTGCATCATGTCTCGAATGCACCAAGTAGCACGACATCTTAGGATTAGTAGTATGCACACATACATATTCAATTCACGTCTTTTACGTATGTGCTATGCTTGTGTACCTTGCTGGCTGATTGGAAAAAAGTCGTGTCGTGTCGTAGCGTTGAGTTGGCTGGCCTGCAGACGTGGAATAAAACCTGGTTTATCGTTACAAAATACTGAGCATATAGCAGCATCGTGGTGAATGCAGTGAGTGTAATAAAAGTGAAACTGAATACGGCGACGAGGACGATCGAGGGTAGGGCAATCATCCCGCAATGCACGGATTTAATAATTGGCTCAGGTTTCCTTCTTTGATTTATGCTGTAACATTACTGACTCCACAACTGCAGGTGCAGCAGACTCTGTCGAGGAGCACAATCGATTGCTGGAGACGATTAGCAGAAAGAACGTGGCCAAGTTGCGAAGAGAGTTGATTTACATTTACAAACTACCTCCGGTAACAGACCAGGACTACGAGCATGAGGACTTGGCCCTCCGTCGGCGTCGCAAGCATGAGGGGACGTTGGGTGGGGTCTGGCTTTTTGACGATTTGGACACGGATGATTACCTCACTGATGACACCTCCTCAACAAACACGACGCCTCATCGCTTCAGCAACGCCAAAAGAAGCAATAGTGTCACATCGCACAGTCATAAAAACGTCCCCGAAGCAGCTCACCCACCAAACCACCGATTTGACATAACTCATCCAAATGCCAAAGGAGGAGGCTATGGAATTAGGGTGGATGCTGACAATAAGAAGCCACCACAACCACTGCCCCACCATCACCAAGTATACGCTGCTACTGCTGCTACTTCTGCTACCACTGCCAGCTCGACACAACTTTCTCCAAAATCCCGGAATTATGACAAAGCGAATGATTCAGAATTATCGGATTCCCATAAAAGCACAAGGACGGCGGCGGCTGAGTCGTCTTCCGGTCTGTCACTGCCACTCCCCCCACTGCCCATAACCAAGGAGGGGGAGAACAATAATGGTCGTCTGAATGAACATTTTTCTGATCCAACGCCACAACAACTACTGCCACCACAACCACCCAAAGTACAAAACCAAACGAAATGGGAGCACAATGGAGAAAGTTGGAGTAGGAGAGCAAACAAATGGTACAATACGGGTCATTTCCGTAAATCACATGCTATAATTTGGGATCCACACCCCCAATACCGGTGAGTACGTGAAATGCTAAGCCTTGTGTAATGTTGTGTGGCCCAGTTGGGTAGCATGTTAATAGGCCCCAGGAATAAATTTGTCGAGCAACACAACCAAATTAGTTGAGGTTACGCCTCATCACTAATAATATTCGCTACTATTATTAGGTTTCATGCTTTTGGTCATCGTTTCCACTTGATGCTAAACCTCATTCCCCAGAAGCACTCATTTCTCACCCCCAATTTCGCCATCACCACTCACACCACCACCACAACAGACCCCCATCGACAACAAGAACCACCGTTCAGCAGCAGCAGGGTCAGTAATGAAAGTCTCATGTGGAGAGAAAATCTCGGAGGGAAAATCAGCGGCTGCTTTTACAATGGATTTGTCCTCGGCGATCCTCAGTCATCCGTGGCTGTCAGCTTGTGTCATGGAATGGTACGAGATTATTAATACTGCTTTGCATAAATATTATGCGTGTTCTGGAAGTGAAATTCTGTACACTTTTTGCACATTCGTCTCATGAACAAATACTTTTTTTGAGGGATGAGGAAAATAGTAGATTTTTTTTTCGCTACACTGTAGCAGGAAATTGCTGATATTCCTGTTGAGGAATATAATGATACTCGACTCTTTCTCCACATATTATGGTACATAGAAATGTATCTAAATCCATATCCACTCTAGCCTTCGATTGTTCGATCTGATTCTGATGGAAATGCACTCGGTTTTGCATAATGGAGTAAATGGCGAGTAAATTGTGCCCGTTTTTTGAGTGCTGAGTATATAGCACTTATGCAGAGAGTGTTATTACGACACGATGCGTGTTTTTGATTTATGGAATTTCTCTCCCTCAAATGACAATAGTTTTTGCATGCATAAATTCCAATGTTGACTGCTCCCAGACTGGTCATATCCGTACATCCCATGGATCCTATTTTATTGAGCCATTGTCTCCCACATCGGACGAATACTTGAAGAAAAAGGCGACAGAAAAAGTGAGTGGAAATGGGAGCAACTCCGCTGGAAGAGAATCTACTCATGATATTAACGATGACCATGAGATTCTCCATGAGATTTACCAAGTGGGCTTAGACCTGCCTGCAACTGCCTCCGCGGCTGAAGAGAAGGACGAGAAGACGGCTGGAAGTCGCACGTCGTCGACGACGACGGCGACAGAGGAGGACTATTCATACGAGTCATCGGACAACTTGCAAATCGGATCCCCAACTTATGAGGACGAAGATGAAGAGGACGATTACTGGCTTAATCCAGGCGGACTAGCACCAAAACCCACAAAGTTGCCAAAATCTAATTTAGAGGCAAAGTCACGGACCAAAAGATCCATGTCAAGAGAACGCTTCGTGGAATTAAGCGTGGTAACTGACAAATCGAGTAGGTGGTTCGTTTTATTTTTATTACTTTTATGTACCAGTCTCACTCGTGTCTCATTTATTGGTTTTTGCCTGTCTATTGATAAATTATAATTGGACTTGAAATTTTAAAACTTTGCATCAACAGTGTCTGCGTATCACGGGGATAATTTGAAGCACTACGTCCTCACACTAATGTCCATCGTAGGTCTCATTTACAAGGTACCGCATTCATACACAGTCACCGGAATAATTGCATACTGGTTGATATATAGTTACACTTTCCAAACGAAATTACGATCTGACATTGCAGGACGCGAGCATCGGCAACCCCATCAACATTGCTCTGGTTAGCTTTCATGTCCTCCCAGACAAAAGTTTCGCCACAAACAAATTGTCCGTGGAGAACAACGCTTCATCCGAAGCTCTCCCTGGATTAAGTGCATCGGAAATGCTCCGCAGTTTTTGCAAGTGGCAAAAAGAGCATAACATTTTGGACGACAAGTCTGTACATCACCATGATACGGCTCTTCTTCTGACTAGGTACGCCTCCATAAATCAACTCATTAAAGTCGGTCAATTTGATTTCATGGGAGTGCATATGCATGCCAAAAAGCGCTTCTGCTTCCTCCGCTGAAATTTTAAGTTTGCAAATTTTGAGCTGGAGAAGATTTTGCCGACTCGAGTAACTCCAATCTACTTATTTCCATATGCACATATGAAAGTGCAGAGTAGTTGAATTTACCATGTTTATAACTATACGTATGTATATGCATACAAATAAAGGGAGACGATTTGTCGAAACCCTTGGCTCAACAAATGTGATACTCTGGGCCTCGCAGAATTGGGAACAATGTGTAAGTTGTCTGCTTGCTTGTATTCTAATGTAATTTATGGTGGGTTGTGATGACTCAATCACAATCGAGTTTAATTTTTTAGGCGACCACTACGCGAGCTGTGCCATTGTCCAAGATAATGGCTTATCGGCTGCATTCACCATAGCCCATGAACTTGGCCATGTGTAAGTTTGCAACTTGTACATTTTAGTATCTGCGCACTACATTTGCTAGTTACTTGATAAATATAAAGTAGCCATTAAAAAACAATGTCTTCAAGTCCATCCATTATAAGTAATTTTTTAAATCTTATGTAAAACAGGTTGAACATGCCTCACGATGACGACTACAAATGTCAAATGTTCCTCGACTCACAAAGTAACCATCCTTCGTCAGCCAATCATGTCCACCAACAGTTTACATCCGATACTCCCAACTCTGCCAGCGGACCTCAACACTACGTCATGTCGCGGATGTTAGGTAAGTTCGCAGTCCAAATGCTTATGCATATCGAGATCTGGCGGAAATCTCGGTCACTTAATCGCCACTAATTTTCTCGCTGTTTAGACCACAACACGTACCCCTGGGCCTGGTCTCGATGCTCCAGGCACTTTCTGACCGAGTTTCTAGAGTAAGTTGCCTATTAAATGTTTACTCGCACGTTCATTCATTCATGGAAATTCATGCGTTTCGGCCATAAACATCGTTAAGGGAGTGGCAATCAACTCCCGACACGCTCTTACCTTCGGCTAGAGAAACAACCTTTTGTCACCTCTGTCACTTTGTCGCCAAGACCAGCATTAGCATATTTGGTGTGAACTCGCTAAGTAGAATTGTTTTTTTTGTGACCTGGGCTGGGGACAACTGCGGAAGCCGACTGGGTTATGGGGCCCTTTTTTAAAAGGCCCCCATTGAAGTTAGAAATTAGAATACGTTGCTTAACGAGTACAATGCGGAAGGAAGGAAGTGTACAATGTGGTGTGGTGAGAATGCACTTGTTAAAGAGCAGGAATGGCGATAAAAATGCAGTTTGTGAAACCAGATGCATGGAGGAAAGTATGTTAATGTTGTGTGCCATATTATATTATTACGTGCAGGACCTCGACTTGCTCCAAGTCGACGACAGTTAAATAATCATCTGAAACCCAAACACAAAAAACTTTGTTTCAGTGCTGGGCACGGAGCCTGCCTCGAAGACACGCCTCGGCTGAACTTACTAATTGGAGGCGGTGATAACCCAGACTCGCAGACCAATTTGGTAGACAACTTCACCAGTCCCCAACAACCTGGGGAAATATTCTCGGATCACAAACAGTGCGAACTCGTATTTGGTCCATCCAGCAAGCTCTGTTCTTACATGGTGCGTTCTTTTCTAATCTCCATCCATCCATCCGTCCACCAAAACACTTTGTTAACAGCTTTGCTCACATTCTCCTCACTCAACTACTTACCTAATAAGCCTCACAATTAACATTTATACATACACATGCAAATCCATAACACGGCACAAAATGCGTTCGTTAACCTCCACCACGTACTATCTCGATACTACTTTGTACATATGTAGCACCGTGCATAATAATAATAATAATGCCTCCCAAACTAACCAAGTTCTTCGCATACCAATGTGATGATAACAAATGTTATGCTTCTCCAATCCTTTTGGTTGCACGCTCCTTGTGCAATTCTCCCAAAGTGGCGAGATGGTCTCCAAACAAACGTGCTGAGAGATGCGTCAAATGATCTGGAGAGTCGTAAAATCCGTTTTATACGCATTTCTTATGTCACATTTTGTAGCCCAGTTGTAAACGACTTTGGTGCACGACGGGAACCACGACGGAGGAGCAGGAGGGTTGTCGGTGAGGGAGCATTTTTACCTATTCCATCCATTTTACAGATCATTCACTGAAATGCAAAGTGCAGAAATAATGTGCAAGCATGACCCGTATCTCTATGTCCATTTTCAGAACTCAGCACATGCCTTGGGCTGATGGGACAGGTTCGTAAAATGTTTTGATAATATAAGTACGACAGCTTTCTTGATTGTAAAAATAGGCAAAGTCGTTCTACGAAATCGTTGTTAAAAATAGGCATAAAAATTGACTGTAAATAAATAAAATGCATTGAAATAATATATCTGTTGGTCTGCGCAGCCTGCGGATCTGGGGGCTCGAATTGGTGTCAACGAGGAGCCTGTGTTAAGAAGGACTTGGAGAAGCTCAGGACGGTTCAAGGAGGATGGGGCGCTTGGATGGAGTAAGTACAACTAGTTTTTGTTGTCAACGGGTGTTTCAGGGGGATGAAAACTAATTCGAATTCGAATTAATCGATTTTTGATTAGATTTTAACAATAAATATTTCGCTTATATTTTCTAATGCTGAATTGGAGCAATGACTTCAGATTGAGATGATCGTCACGTATTATTTTTCAGGTACGGCGAGTGTTCCCGGACATGTGGGGGCGGGGTTCGAAAGTCGTACCGAGAATGCGACAACCCACGACCTTCAAATGGTGGGAAGTGAGTGTAGCCCAAATTCCAGTATATCCTATACACTTACTATTATGCATACATTTCTATTCTGATATACAAAGTTGGCTGATCATCATTCTCATATTTTTTTTAGGTATTGCATCGGGTAAGTCGATTTTTTAGAAACATTTTCACTGCATCTGGTAAGTCGTTTGCTGTCGACTATGTTTATTTAGTGACACTGTTTGCCTTGATTCTTAGCCCCCGTGTCCGTTACGAGTCTTGTCTCACTCACGAATGCCCCAGCGAGGTTGACTACAGAGCCGAACAATGCTCCAATTTTAACAATGACAACTTTAATATTCAAGGCCTACCAAGGTAAACGGTATTCAGAATGATTATGCCGCAGCTGCGGAGACATTTCGCAGATTTTCACAGAGCTAAACAAATTGATTTGCGTTCCGTTTTAGCGAGATAACGTGGGTTCCCAAGTATCACGGAAGTAAGTATTTAAATCTTCCAAAATCTACGCCTTCATAATTATTGCACTGCTTCGACTTTGCTAATTAAGGCGTTCCGCTACATAACAATAACAATAACATTTTTTGTTTGGACTACAGTCAGTCCAAATGATCGATGCAAGTTGTTCTGCCGAGTCCAAGGGTCAAGTTCATATTACCTGCTGCGGGAGAAAGTGGTGAGTTTACTACTTGCTTACAACTTGTAAGTAAGTTATTTACAAGATCGTGAAGATGAGAGACGCTTTTACACTCATGACGCGCATTTTTGCGTATGTATAAAGATGCCGCGGTGGAATAAGGCCTGATGGGTTATTTTATAGGTGGACGGTACTTCATGTGCTCATGATACTTTTGACGTGTGTGTTAACGGTGCTTGTCTTCCCGCTGGATGTGATCGAAGACTCCACTCCAAAAAAGCCCTAGGTAAGTGCAAAAGACAACACTGGGTCATCCATCTCACTCCCACTGGCAGACTAAACAAACGAAGAGTGTTCTCCTTTATCTCTGCAATCACGGAGCCAATAGTTGTGTGATGCATTGATTTTGTGTGATGTACATACGTCGATGCATGCACTACTTATTTCGCCCTCTTTTCCCAAGTCAGAGATTCGTCAAAATATTTACGTTGTTGCGTTTTCTTGCTTTCTTGCAGATATTTGTGGGGTCTGTGGTGGCGATGGAGTTTCATGTCGGACAACTCGGGGGTCGTTCAATGAGAGCAAATACGGTTACAATACCGTCATCCGAATCCCTGCAGGAGCTTCCAACATCGATGTAATTGACATTTTATTCATTTTTCTTTATTTTGCCATTTGTGCAAATGGGAATAATGTTATTAATATTATTAGTGATTGTTTTCGTCGCTCGTTGATGATTTTTTATTAGATCTTGGGTAGTTGTCAGTCTGTGAGGTTCTTTTCAGCGGAAATGGAATTATGTGTTGCATGGCGTTTGAGGGTTCCACGTTGGAAAACGGGTGTCTTTTTGTCAACTTTTTCTCCAACCCGGCAATCTTTTGATTTAACAAGATGATGGTCTCGTCCTTTTTCTGCAAATTTGACTTGAGTGTGACGATCTCGTTCCTCAGTTCGGCAACTTCGGTGTTGGCAGTTGAACCTTCATTGGGCGCAGACGGTAGAACGACAAGTTGTCTATGAATGAAACAAAAAATGATTATTTGCAAGGTAAAACTGTTAACTTCGAAAGCTACGTAAACAGGCATACCTATTTTTTTCGACCTGCTTGAATCCAACCTTCCGACCTTTTCCCTTGAACGTGCATCCGTTTTTTGTGTGTCGCCATAAACACGATTTATCTGAAAATCCAACGTGACAAACTTCACAAACGAAAGGTTTTTCACCCGTGTGGGTCCGGACATGTCTAAAAAATTAAACATGTTTACAACAACAATACACAATGGATTCCGACGTAGTTTTTATAAACCAACCTCTTCATGATATAAGGCTTGTCGCATCGATAGTCACAGAAATCGCATCCAACTCTGCCGGTCGTTCCTCTGGACTTTCGCTTCTTTTTCTCTGGTTCACCCAATGCAATGCACACTTCATCTTCTTTTTCTACAACATCGATGACGTTGTCTGTTGCTGAACTAGGAAACAAACCCAAAAAAGTCGCTATAATGTAAACATCGAAACACAATTAGAAATTCATCATTTGGTATTACTTAATAGCAGAATTTATGACATCCCAGTGTCTTGACAAGAGTTTCTTTACACTTTTTGGCTTGATTGAACACTTTGCTTCCTTGTAGTCTCGGGTATAACTTTTTAGTGCTTCAGCACTCTTGAAAGAGGCACCAAAAAGTGAGGGGTCAATTACTTCAATTGGATCAGCAAACAATGGGATTGTCCATTTATCGCTGAAATTTAAAAGTTTTGTATAACTATGAAATGTGAATCAGTTACTGCATATGACAAAATAACTCACAGATAACTACAAGATGTCCCAGTCACACCGTTAGCCTTGCTTCGATTATTCGTCAATATAATTGCATGTTTTGCCCAAAGAAACTTATCTTGCAGGGAAGACTCTCCATATGTCAACTCCCTTGGTCTAAATAACGCATCTCTGTATACTTGTATCAGAACGCGGTTCACTTCAACACCTAGATAATAACATGCACATTTAGAACTCACGACATACTGTCTGAATGTCAACAACTTATACCATTCATTTCAAGCAGTTCGGTTTTTTGCTTAGCGGACGCGGTGTATTGACCATCAATTTTTTCAATGACATAGACTGAAGTACCATTGAATATGCAATTTTGTATACCACATTGTTTCACGGTACCCGACCAATATCTCTCCGAAGTCTTTTGCCAATTTATTTCGTGTCTTGATGTGTTTGGAAGTGGAATCCAGCTCGACATCGTGTAATTCACACATGGCTGTATTTGTCTCCAGCACCAATTTTTTTGCTTTCTCTACTAGTCGATCCCTGACGAAAATTGAAAGTAACAATGTCAGATCTGCAAATTTAAATGTGTGCATCATAAGTCTTACAACGTACACTTTAGGAAGTTCCTCGGATGATCCGTCCGACCCAATTCCCTTCACTCTGATTACAATTGACTTCACTATTAAAAAGACAAAATAAAAATTTCACCATCTCATTTAAGACAAATTTGTGACTGAACTTACCGTATTTTTTAATTTCACCAAACTTTAACTCAATATCTCCCTGAAGTTTACTAAACGACATGACTAGGATGGCTAGACAATTAGTTAGCTGTGACTGAAATCAATAAATTTGTGACAAGCACCAGGTTGTTTACTAAAAGACTACTTCGAGTAGTTTAAACATCGCAGAGATTGAAAGAGTAAATGAATAAGTTCTCCCATCTAACATTACCCCAATATGATTACCTACCCGTGGGGAAGAATGGGGAGCTCTTGTGTTTTTATTCCAAAAACAAGGGGGAACTTTGGGTAATTACCTAGAAAATATGTAAATACTAACATGCACTGTCTGATTAAGATTCGCCAACGTTCCTTTGATGACACGGCGAGAGATGACAACTATTTGGCCCTGATGGACAGCAATAACGAGGAATTCATTCTCAATGGGCAATTCGTTGTCTCCATGTTTAGAAAGACGTTGCATTACGGTGGATCCATTTTGGAGTATTCTGGTTCAGATGAAGTCGTAGAACGTATTAACTCGTAAGTACATACGTGAATTTTTGTTATTTTGCAAGCGAAACTCGTAGTTCATTAAGGTGACTGCATTTTTGTCCAGCTCTTCCCGTCCGATCAAGTCGGATTTAGTTTTGCAAGTGCTAAGCGTGGGGAAGCTGAACCCCCCGGACATCGTGTATCAGTATGTCATCAGTCTCAACTATAATTCCGAGAGTGGTGGGGGACGAAGTAATAGCAACTCGGAAGAAGCTCGATGGACTCATTCAGATCGGTGGACAACTTGTTCAGAAATTTGCCAAGGGTCTCAAATGCAAATTCAAGTTTGCACAAATGCGAGGTCGGGTTCCGAGATTTCGTCAGGTAACAATCCTATGATATGCATTGGTTTATTTATTTATCTTAGCCAATATTTTTGACAAAATTAGATGCAAAAATTGGTAAAATATGCAACTCCGATTAAATGCTGGCTTGTTTTTTTAGAGTACTGCAGAAATATTGGGCAACCACAAGATGTTCGAAGACCATGCAATATGCATTGCACGCTAAAATGGTCTAAAGTGCAGAAACCTTGCGACTGTGTTCACCCAAATAAAACCGAGGTCAGTTTCAAATGTGTGCGTGACACGTCTGGAAACAAAACATTTATTTCGGACGGATACTGTTCGAAACTGGAGAAAGGTGACTCTACTCCGGAGTGCGTTGTGGAGTGCTCGCGACCCAAATGGCGTCAAACGCAGGTATAACATCACATTCTCAACAACATCTTCATTGTCGTCACTGTGTCATCAAGCTTCGTGAGGATCAATGTGTAATTCTCCCTTTATGCTAATTTTCAGTGGTCAGAGTGCAGTGCGCGGTGTGGGGAAGGAACACAGTATAGAAATGTTTGGTGTCAGAAGTACAATGTGCAACAGGGGATAAGGAGTGCTAGTTCCGAGCAAGAAAACGTTCCCTACATTCGCCTTGCTGACGCTGAGTGCGCCGGAGTCAAGCCAAGCAGTCGGAAAAAATGTAACAGTGGGCCGTGCGGTCAATGGAAAATCGATCAGTGGAGTCCCGTACGAATAAAGTTACCCTTATTCGCCACCCAATTTACGCCTATTTTAAATATATTGAAATGAATGCAGTGTTCTTCAACATGTGGACAAGGAATTAGTCGAGGTGCGTACGCTTGCTATCTGGACGATGTCATCGGACCTTCTGATTTTTGCAATCATTTGCCAAAACCTCCGTTGGAACGAACGTGTGAGGCTGACATACCGTGTGTTGAGTGGGCCATCATGACTTCAAGTGACAACTTTGTTACACAATTTACTGACGACGACCACTGGAGCGACGTGAGTAATGTTGAAAAGCATGTAAGTCGTCTTGTTAAATTTCTGTATTTTTGAAATATTTTAGTGTACCACAAGGTGTACTCCGTCCACTGGATATCGGAGCAGATCAATCGTGTGCATTATGCAGCAAGGAAGTCGGAAACAACAGAAGCAAGTCACTGACAGTCTTTGCGATCGACTTCTCGCCAATAAACCAATGTCATCTAAACCTTGTGACGCTGTGATTCCTGATGACTGCATCGTGGCTCAGCATCAAATGCATCTTCAACGACAACAAATGCACCGACAGAATTCGCTATTTTCTGCTGCATCAGCCACCAGGCTCCCATTTAGTGGCAGTAAACCTGCTCAGGCTGGCATAAGTCTGCCCCTCATTAGCGATAATACGATTGGAGAGGATGAGGGTCACAGCAGTGACTGGATCACAGGGCCGTGGAGTACATGTTTCAAGTCGGGAGTCAATGCCATTCAAATTCGCGAAGTCAAGTGTCCAAAAGACAGCCGGTGTGTGGAGCAGAGGCCGCTGAACAGTCGAGCATGTGGGGTGTGGTTCACGAAGGAGTGGGACCGTTGCAACTCTACGTGCGAAAACCGCATAGGTTATGAAACACGAGAAGTGAAATGTATCCAATCCGACGGAGAAAGTTCCTACTCGAACGAGTTGGAAGAGTCCGATTGCTTGAATCCAAAGCCGGACAGCAGCCGCACGTGCACCTCGTACTGCAAGGCCAACGGACGTTGGAGGACTGGGCCATGGGGGAAGGTAAGTGCATGTTTAGATATTATTGCGCATCTGTCTCCTTCTAATCTTCATTTATTGTGTAAAATTGGTAAATTGTAGTGTTCGCGACCGTGCGGAGTGATGCAGAGTGTGGGGAACAACGACGCAAGGGGGATTCGAATGAGACAGGTATGCTTATTTATAAATCAGCTCATATAACAATGACAAAGGATCAGAGAAATAAGAACCAGACAAATAAATGTTGGGTATTTCGATGAAACATCTTGCCATATGCTTTTTCCACCTTACATGAAATATCCACTGGAGTTGAACGCATTATCTATTTGGAAGACGAACAATTTTTTTTGTTTGTCACGATTTAAGTCTAAAAATAAACCTTGCCTTCACGTTTTAGTTTCGATTGAGCAGTTAATTTGATTACTGATTAATGATTACTTTCATATGGAAAACTTTGAAGAACACTGGGTGAATGATCTTGCTTATTTTATTGACAAAAATCAACAGGTTGCATGCGTCGATGAATCTAAACCATCGTCCATGCTCCCGGAAGCTGAATGCGACAGCAAGTCAAGGCCCGAAAGTAGTGGTTCTTGTGCGGATTCCGAAAATCAACCTTGTCCAGTGTGGTCCGTTTCAGAGTGGACAGAGGTACGATCATCTTCCAATTCTTTGTTAAGAATCTTCTGCTATGCAAATTCAACATTTATTATCGTTTCTAGTGTATGGCAATTACCACGACGGCTGCGACGACAATTACCAATAGTTCCAAACTGCATCCTAAAAAGTTGGTGAAACCGGTAAAAAAGAAAGTTGACCTATGCAACGACAGTGCTCAAGAAGTTTGGGGTCACCGAGAGCGGACCGTGAGATGTCATGATCACAGTGGTCAAGAAATCCCAGAATATCACTGCCGACTTTTAAATAAAAGACCGGATCATAGCGAACGATGCGTGCTGAGCAAGAAGCATTGCATTCACACTTCGCCGTACCGGTGGCAAGTTGGGAACTGGTCACAGTGCTCCAAGAATTGTGGATCGAAGGGGGTCAAGATGAGGACGGTGGAATGCACACGAGGTGGACATTTTGGAAAATTGAACACCACGACTGTTGTTGACGACAAGTATTGTCAACGGGGAGGGAAAAAAAGAAAGCCTAAAACCGAACGAGGTTGTGCAAGGTTCCACTGTCCATTTAAATATGTCACGACAGAGTGGACAGAAGTAAGCAGTCAAAATATGCAAATAAGAATAAAGTTGTAACAGCATAATATTTTACTACTTAAGTGCTCCCGAACTTGCGGGTATGGCCTTCAAAAGCGACAAGTAACGTGTCACCGGGTCAACCGGTTGGGTTGGATAGATCCTGACCCCGATCCTTCAAATGGTTGCGAAAGCATGGAGAAACCAAAGGAGTACAACTATTGCATGGTAAGAATTGATGTTAATTTACGGAATTATATATGAAAATATATTTTTAGTAGTAATTAGTGACATGACAGGGAGGCGTAATGTAAATATTTGAGAAAGTTAGGGTGGAGGGCCTTGCATTATATTTCACTCCTTCTAAATTTGGTGTACCAAAATTTGGTATTAACGTCAACTTTAATTAAACTTTGTAGATATCAGAAAGCTGCACAAACTCGACACGTTCCTATTTCTGGAAAATAGAGGATTGGTCCGAGTGCCCATCACCCACCCAATTTTGTGGACAGAAGGACAGAAAGGTGTTTCAAAAGCGTAAAGTTTATTGTGCCCTGAATGGCATCCGAACACCGCAACGTCACTGTGAAAAGTTGGGTCAAAAGCCGATTCGAAAACGACGGTGTCCGAGAAGTCCGTGTGGATGGAAAAGCTGCTTGGAAGTGAAAGCAGCAGGGAATTATCTGGACGGCGAGTATCAAATGCTCGTGGGCGGACTCAATATTTCCATTTACTGTCACGGCCTAAGTTCGGAACGTCCCAAGGAATACCTGTCATTGTGGGAAGAAGGAATTTCTGAAATCTATGACAAAAGGTGACTAAACTCACAATTCTGTTTACATTATGTATATGAAACTGATGATAATTTTATCTATACTCGAAACCAAATCAACAGACTAATCCGTCCAGAAACTTGTCCAAGAAATGGGAGACGACTCGAAACTTGTGAATGCGTTCAAGATAGAAACAGACGCTCTGGGTTAACGACGTGGAACAAGATTCGATTAAACGTCACAAACTTGAGAGTTGATAGTAAGAAATTGAATAAGAGCCAAGCAACTATTTAGTGAGAGTACAATGTCTGTTGTGAATTATTGCAGCTGATGATTTTATGTTTGCAAAATCAAACGGTGATCTCATTCCATTCGGTACGTCGGGAGACTGTTACAGCAGTGCGATGAACTGTCCTCAGGTATTTGCGTGTCTGCTTCAGTTGATGCTTGTTTAGAGCGCTAATAAATCCGTACAAATTAAACGTATCGAACTAATGAATTCGCAGGGGAGGTTCAGCATAGACTTGAGACGAACCCATTTGGCCGTATTACCCGTAACGACGTGGGTCAGGTAAGATTTTCCCTTTTGATCTCACATATTTGCAAAATATATTTATATAAGCTCGCAAAAATAACGTTTCAAATCTTCTGTTGCCCACCTCAGCCAAGGTCACAAGCCAACCATGCAGATAACGAAAGCAAGTGTAAGTCGATGATAATTATATTTTGTGTTATACTCTGAAGGAAAGTCCTTCCGTTAAACAATGAAACTGAACAATTTTTGGGTGCAGGATAACCAAAAGGTTGAAGGGAAATGTGGTGGATACTGTGGAACTTGCAGCCCCAATCGAATTATTGGACTAAAGTTGGGCGTCGTGCAGTGACTTTGATCATCTCGGAGAACAAAGAAGACGATGAAATTTGAACAATGCATTTGAACCAGTTGGTTTGTTAATATAAATACACATACCTGCAACTAACTGCCATTTGAAACTGCCATTAGTTGCCACTGCGGCGGCGGCGAAGGAAGGCCGCCGCGTTCTACGGCATTCCTCTCATGTCTCAAGGGTACATGCATTTTAAAATGTGGACACGCTTGAGACGCTCGTATTCATAAGTCGACAAAGTTGAAGAGATATTAGATCTTTGCCCTATAAACTGGTATTTTACTTTGGTCATATAGCTTTAGTTTCACAGAAACTGCCTCGACGACTGCCATAAATAAAATATTATATTTAATTAGCTTGTAAATATGTATGTACTAAATACCTATGTTAAGGCTTAAATATGCAAATTTGTGGTAACTACAACCGTTTTGCGATTGTGAATGTGCCTTTTAACTCACAACTCAACTCAGTATTCAGGAATTCAAAGATGTACTTAAAATGCATTCATAATAATACATACATACATAATATGGGTCGTGGTGGTGCAATCATCGGTACGTATTTAGTGCGGTTATTCATTAAGGATTGTACCTTTTCTAGCCTGTAAGTAGCCGTAGCAGTAATCACTAAGTTGTTTTGTTGATCAATTTGCTATGTGTTATCGTTACTTGAGATTGGAGCTTATTTTATTCGATAGTATATTTTTAAAAAAGTATGTGGACCATAGTAAATTCTATGGAGCAACCACGTACTATGACGCCACGGTCTTCACTTTAGCGAACAGTGCAAACTTTCTTTCTGGAATATGGACAGCAACGGATGACGGAGGGAAGAATGGGTGCTACTACATATTGCAGCTATTAGCTATAGATTTATGTATTTAATGTGTAAAAACTAGTCACTTCTTCGATAAAGTAGACACCGAAAAAGTATTCCCGTCAATCAGCGGGTTTGTCGTTTTTTGTTTATGTCATATACCACCGAAATACTTTTGTTATATGTCGTGCAATTTTTGAATACTCAACATGAATAGATTATTTTACAGCCTGTGGCTTTTTAATTGTTTTGTAACTTTTTAATTCATTGCAATAAATTTTTCACAAAGCTGATGCCATTCATAACGGTGTGTCAATTTTTATTACGAACCCATGTGTCAATCACGGACTGCATCTCTAATGCATGCACATAATTACATTGGGTCAACCAATTCATACGAAGCTAACGTGTACTTCTGGTGAGTAATGAAGAGATGAATCATAATTTTCTAGTTAATATTCTCGTTATTATTTCAATTTAATCCCATCCATACATTTGGAGTAATTTGGCTGTCGCCTAAATCCAAACTAAATGGATTATGTACATGTGAACATGCATCATACAAACCATTTCGTGCTTACATATGTAAATATGTGCGACAACTGTACATTCAGCTTTTGCAGTGTTTTGCTTCACATGCGATATTTATTGGCAGTTTTGTACTTGCGGATATCTGGATCTAAATCTGTCTGTGACTCATCCGTTTTTGGTGGCTTGGATTTAATTTAACTGCTAAAGGCATGGAACCACACACTAAAACCGACATTTTATCGCCACAGACTCTAACGACTTCTAGACTATAGAATATATTTATAAGGAGGAATAGAAAAGCTCCAATTATCTCGCTGTATGTATAGACCTGCATCCAGTGTGTGGACGTATGCATGGATAGATAACTACCATATTTGCCAATCAAATGCATTTACGCCAAGTGATTTGCATGCGCAGATTTCTGATTAATATCGACGACTCGATTCATTCGCTATACATGTAGTATATATTATGTAGTAAGAAGCAGCATAGCTTGCAGTCTGGAAATTGCGGACCGGCTACATCCAGAATCAATGCGACATTTTGTTTGGTTCTTTCTATGTAAATAAACAAATCACCGGTTCGTCGAGGTTGTCACGTTTGGCTGATAAGATAAATTATAAATTGCCAACTTTTTCCCGTGTCCCTGTTCACACGCTAAATTGTTATTGTGGCAATTTTTTCCCATTTCTCCAGGATTTTATGGTTACAGTTCAAACTTGGAAATTGACCACATCAGCAATGAAATGACCTATTAGAATCTTCCGCAGCGGTTCGTTGCCCATAACTCTCAGCACTGAAAGCCACACATACATGGATGCATATAAATAGCTTGTTCGCAGTAGAAGACTACCTACTCGTAACCTTTTCATTGTGCATTTGGGGCCACTCCGTGTTTGTGTATTCGCTAAGTCGCAAATAAATATTGTCCACGTATGCAGGCAGCTTATGAAATCCGCCTCATTCACCGCAAGCAAAGGTAGATAGTTTTGTAGAAAAAGAAATGATGAGCCAGACCCGGCTTTCTCATTACAGATAAAAATTTATCCCACATCCACCCCTCAATACGAACCAACTAACTAACGACTCAAGAAAGACAAGCTCGCGAGCAAATGTTTCTTATGACCAGTGTGCTGTGCCAGTGAGTCAAGAACACATCGACCGACGCCGGTGAATCATTGCCTCATCATCTCCTTCTTTCCTAAATCATTAGCAAAATAATCAGCAACAAATTGTGAGTACACAAACAACTTTGCTTCTCGACCTTCAGCTCATTTAAAGCCGGTACTTCTCATTATTTCACTCCTATGCAGATTAATTTTGTCTCAAGTTATTAGTCCGGCTCTAATTTATCCTTATCAGAGAGGAGATAAATACTGGTTTAAAAGACGTTCAGCACACTCTTTCTCGTTTAGGTGGTCACGACTTTTAGGAATAAATAGGGAACGAAGAAAGCTGATTTTTCAACAATTTAAGTATTATTGTGGGTGCACATTTATATAATCTCTGACTTCTTCTTATAAGTCATTTCGGGTATAATATTAGCATCACAATTTGCATTTGCAGAAATAGAAGAAAGCGTTGAATGTGTCCAATTCTTTCTCAGTTTGTTCGTTCCTTGGCATTAGCCCAACTCTGGAGGAAGGAATCTTAAATCTCTTTCTTCAGCTTACTTCTGCAACATTGAATCAAATTCATTGCCTGTGAATTTCCCAATCTAAAGTCTACATCTCACTCATTCCATTTTCTCCCATTATACAGAAATATTCCAGCGGAAGCAGCATCAGCCAATTCTCCAGCGGAACCACAAGCCTTGCAAAATGCCCAGTAAGTCTTTCTTTTCCCATTTAACCGTGACAAAGAAATTCTGTTTGTGAGGAGACTTGTCCCAACTTTTGTCAGATCGTTTACCTTATGATTTGTTCAAGGTGAAGAGAAATGCCGTGCTAACAGGGATATAAAATAGGAACCATGTGGGCTGGTTTTCACGACTTTTCAAGAAATGTTCAAATTCTGTTGGTATTGTCACGAAGAGCGTTTTTACTCCGTTGATTTACTCACTCGCTCCTTGTCAAAAGAATGGTCATTACAGTCTCACGATCTCTCCCTCGTGGGTGGGGGCCTGTTATAATACAATAATAAGACTTTAAAAGTAGGACATTAGAGGGAGAGAGAGGAAGATAAAAACAGAGGCTACGTATCCAGCCTATCTCCTCCATGGCAGGAAATGCAGGGCTTTTTTGGAGAGAAATGGGGAAAGCGATTTGGAGTGACGAGAGCCCAGACTTTCCTGGATGATGTGTGAATCAGTTGAAAGTCTTGATGGAGGTCTAATCTCATCTGCCAGGAAAATGGATCGTAGAAATGCCTTCCACTTCTCGGTTTTATGAAATCCGTCCACTTTTCAACACATCCTTTTCTACTCTGTTCCAAGGGAGATGGACGTGTTGCTCCATCAACTCGTGGGATTCAATCTCAATCTTTGAGCAAAAAGTCCGTATTATTTCCTTTAGTTCTCCTCTGTCGGACAATAAAATCTCTTTCTCCCCACAGTTTCTTGCAAGTATTCCTCCGTTGAGGTGAATGTATGTAGGTGTTCATGCACGAGGATGCATAATTTCCATAATTCTCCAATGTAATGAAGAAAAACCAGAATTCCTATTGAGGCTTTGCCATCACTGCATGAATTTACCAACACCCAAAGGAAGAATGTCATAAAGTAGTGAGATGCTTTCTAGTTGTCCGAGGAGTAAATGTGTGCTATGCAAATGTGCATATATGTCTACACGCTTGTATATGTTATTGTATTATACCCGGTTGGTTGTAGTCTGTAGTTGTGCATAATCTCTGAAATGCGTCTCCTCCTCAGTTTATAAGGAGATACATACGACGATGAGGAGATTACAAATTTAATGCACCTTTTATCCACGTCCTGTTCACTAACTAACCAACCCACGAATTTGCCCATGGGCATAAATAATGTTTGAACTTTTAGAGGTCAATCTGCACATTCTGGAACTTACTGGTTTATGCAGCAACAGACGCGTATTATTTCTATGCATCTTGACTAGACTGCAGAAGACAACAGATAATGCAATGCTTTGTTGTGGCGGATAAACGATTTTTTATGACTTTGCCACAAATGTGCTATTTTATAAAAATGCATAAAAGACTCAATGAGAATGGAGGAGTGGAGGTTGTTAAAATCCAAAAGTTGATTGTACTCTGCTGTTCAACTGCATCAGATCATTGAATCAGCCTTCTCCCACATACATGCCTAATTCAGCATTAGAATTAATGAGTACCATCACCAATTAGTTGGAGGAAGAATGATGATATAAAATCCATCCACTTTAACTCCACTTTAGTCGCATTCATATTTTTTTAGGATCAGTTTAGTCGCAGAATTTTAGTTTTATCATGTACATATCACATCCTGTAATTTTTTGAGTTATTTAGACGTCAAAAAATGCTCAGAGTCACACACAACTGCTTTTGTGCAGTTATATAAACTCTGGATTTATTCTGACCATACTCCAAGCTTTCCTTTCCTCTTGATTGCATTTGATACTCTGTTTTGCTGGTAATTTCGCACCATGTGCAGTCATTCCATGACGCAAATTGCAAATGTGCCACCACAAGAACCAACGCCAGACCCGAAAATTGCACAAAGTGAGGCATGGTTGGCTAGTTCTTTTTTGAAAGTATTTGAAACCACACGACCGTACAGCACCACCACCAAGTAAGTCGAGATATGAAGCGCATTAGCAAACCGAATCCGCTCAAATGCAATCCAGCACTACCAAATACGTACGAACGGACGTATACTAAGCCCAGATTGAATGTTGACCAAATTGCTTTCTCGTAAATACCCCTGAAATTGCGAACTGGAAAGTTTTTCAATTTCATATGAATTTAAATCCTCCCCATTTGCCATGCATTTTATCAACTCTTGGTGGATCATGCAGCTGCTGTCAGGGGTTGATACGCGTGGACTTAAGGTAATTTGAATGCCAAATGTAATAGAAATCCTTGTCTCGCAGACACCGTGTACACCGAGGACAGCACGACCTACAAGTTCTTCCCTGTGACCAAGCACAGTGTCAGAGTCAACGTTAAGGCGGCCAACGATGCTCATATTGCTTTGTCGACACAACAGGGCTCTCAACCCATGATTGAGATCTTTTTGGGAGGATGGGAAAACTCTAAGAGTGCGATTCGTTTCAATGACGAGAGGCCCAACAAGGCTGAAGTTGACACTCCTTCTCTCCTCTCGTCGGATGAGGCCAAGACATTCATCGTGACATGGACTGAGGATGGACAAGTTGCCGTCTGCCTCGAGGGAGCTTCTGAGGCATTCATCACCTGGAAGAATGATCAACCGTACGAGATCCGATACTTCGGAGTGCGAACGGCATGGAGTGCAACAGGAGATTGGAAGATTGATGGTACATACTTTCTCCTTTAACTCAATGCTATTTGTTTAACCCTCTCCTTAGCTCACAAAACTGCTAAAGTTGGACCAAAATAGGAGTGGTAGATGCATCGATGCATGATTATTAGAAGCAATTGGCTAAAGTTTGTCCACTTTCTCAGGAATTCGGGATGTTCATACCGACACAAGTTTTGATTACCAGTGGTTCCCTGTGCATGGTGCTCAACTGGACTTTTCCGTGCAGGCCAAGAACGATGCCCACATTGCTTTGGCAGGTGGGCCCGAGGCAGCCAAACCCTTGTACGAGATTTTCTTGGGTGGGTGGAATGGCACGAAATCAGCCATACGCTTCAACCAAGAAAAACCTGATGTCGCTGAAGCTCCTGGCGGTGTCAGTCGCGATGAGTTCCAGAGGTTTTGGGTGCGATTAAGCCACGCAGCCATTCAGGTACATACAATGTGCATTTGTACTTGGTGATGAACTCCACAAAGTCACTCCCACCATCGCATATCCGTCAATCAAATTCTTGAAACTGAACTCCATACTTATTAGCAATTCATGCGCTTTATTAATTTCCATTTGTGTAGGTTGGGCGTGATGGTGAGACGGAACCTTTCTTGTCATGGGCAAATCCCGAACCATTCGTCGTTTCTCATTTCGGAATTCGTACTTCTTATGGCTCAGATGGCAATTGGATTTTGGATGGCGGAGGTAAATTTTGCCATATTTTTTCTTCCTCAGCCGTTCCTAACTGTGCAACCTCTTCTTGTATAGAACGCATTCGAGACATTAGTTTTAGAATTTGTAAATACACAACTACTGCTTGAACGTCAATTTTCTAGGTTGGAACATGATAAAGCTGACAAGGCCATGGGTTCATTTAATGCACGAGTTTTACGATTAGTGTTCTTGGAATATAAATTACGAGAATGCCATGCATAATTAGGATTTGTTGGATTTTGCTGGTTAGCTTTATCTGCAGAGCAGAGTTGGTTTTTTACTCGTACATAATTCATTGAGATGACGGGGATTTGGGGGTAATGGATACTCGATCTGCTGGTTCCAGCGATTCATTAGGTCTGAAAACAGACACGTTTCAAGTATTCCAGGCCAGGATTTGTTTACAAACATGTGCTATAGAAATTTACTTCTACAATTGCCATTTCAGCTACACAATGCTGCATGGAATGAGACGAGACACGAAACATAACTCAATTTAGAACAGAACCAACTAGAGCTGGAATTTGCAAGTAGTCGTATCCATTTCAAATACGCAAATTTACGAAATGTTGGCTCATGTTCACTTGACTCCATACATTGCAAACTCACAACGTTTGCAATGGCGACGCAGGAAACAAAAGATTTGATCTTATCCATGATCGCGGATATTGTATTTCGCTATTCGTAGAATGGACAATTAATGGCCTGCCTAGACGTAGATGGAAAACGTTGTGTTGAAATATCTGTAACAAGCCGTCCCGAATGAGTGACCTTGATTTGGCGTGATTAGAATCAATGGAAATAACGAATTCGCTTCGTGAGTCCTACAAAATTGTTGATCAGCTTATAAAACTTAATTTAGAAAGGTGCCACGACCAAGAAGAATCGGATCCAATTTGTGCCACGATGAAATTGAGATCTTGATCTTTCTCCGTCGTAATTCAGTCCGTCCTTAATACAGTGGCAGAACTCATCCTCAGAGTGATTACTCATCTAGCGTAAAATGATACGAGTTTAAATGCACACACGATTAAAACATCCTGCCCTCATCTGCAAAATAATTTTGGTCCAGCTTCCGAGACTGGTCTTCATTATCGTACGCACTAAAACAATCAACGTAAACTACACCCTAGGAATTTGGTGGTAGCATTTCATGGAACTATTTATTCCACCCGTGATGTAATGAGCCCGTGAGCAAAATACATTAATCATATGCATACCAGAAAGATTCATTTCTTCTGCTGTCACCCATTCTTCGAGGCGAGGAGGGTAGATTTCAATTAATAAGTTGGAAAGTGAGAAATTAGTCATTCTTGCAGCTTGCTTGGGTAATGTGGAGTATGACTGAACAAAGGCATTTTTTGATGATGCCATGAATTCTACCATCGCACTTTCCCACTCGGGATGAATGCATTTTCCGAAGGTCTTTTCCAACCTGTGAAATTGTTTTCTCACAGGAAATTGCATGAAGGGCTTATAAGCATTTGAAGACGAGTAGTTCGCATTTTTGGATGAGAACCTTCATAAATAGCAACATTTGTCAGGTGGTCTAACAAGTGAAGCCAACCGCAGACAGCAAGCTGGAGTATTGCTCTAACTGGGTTGTAAAGCTAAGCACGTCTCCGACGGTTTGCAATTTTTTATAGGCACGGACAATCAAAAGAGCAAAAAATTGGATAGGGGAACGTTTCCTTTATGGCTCGTTTTAAGTTGTAACAACCGAATTTTTGGATGGGGTTGTTGCTATTGTTGGTCTGTCTAGCTGCCACTTATTACTATTACACAGCTTATTGTCTACTCCTTCAAACATGACTCAAGCTTGCTGCATTTTACACTCGGTTTACAATTACATGGAGCGAATAAATTGACACTGCTGCTCCTGAATTGTTGTCTATACAACGTAGTGATGAGAGAGTCGTAAAAATGTGAATGGATGTTAATTGTAGCAGTTGGGGGTGGATGGTGATGATGACTGCGAAGAATTCGTGTACAATTCTATTTACTAAAGTACTCGACTTGTACATACGCTCATACAAGATCGTGGTTGGATATGATCTCGCTGACGCCTGCAGATGCTGTGATGGGGTGGCAATAAGTTTGGCAGTGGTGACGCTGTTATTGTTAAAGTCTTTCTAGGTCTCATACTCACTCATTATTTTCATGCCATAAATAATCGTATAAAGTCGTGGCATTATTGCGCCAGCCGGCTCAGTCATTTTCCTGACGTGGACCCTTTCACTTCAAAAACTCTTTGTGTGATTTTACAAATTCATTCAAGTGCATATTTCTCATCATCATCATGAGTGGCGAAGAAACCCAGTTAGGTCAGATTGCTAATTTTCGCATCTTATGTTTGGTTACGTATTACGACAGCCAATAGCGTTGTTGTAATTATTATGTTTGCTGATTTTGTTGTGTTTCTGCAGTTGAGGGGAACGAGGTGATTTCGGAGGAGCGACCCAAGCGCGACCTGCCCGAAGGGGTTCAGTGGGTGGATGGCAGTGCGGGATCGGTTCCCGAGGGGGCCTTCGCAGGTGGGGAGGACGGAGGCAGCCCCCTTTACGTTGCTCGAGCCGAACACGAGGGTGCAACTATTCCTGGGAAACTTTTGGCTGAACATGGCGTGGCGTATGTCGTAAAACTGATTAAATTACTGACCCAACTATTTATTTACAGGACTGAATTATTTACTAATTAACGTGATAGGTACGTCCCTTGGGGTGGAGCAGAGAACGCCAAGGACAACTACCAGGTCCATTTTTTGCACATCTTTTTTCAACTCTTTCCTTCCTTTGCCAACTTCACGGTCTGCAACTTTCCCATGATTTCCATAACTAATGAACTTTTGCTCTTAAACCCAGTCACAGTGAGTGTCTTGTGTCTGGAGACACGACGCTTTGTCTCACCAAGTACCCGGCCACAAAAAACTGGCTGTTTTTCTATCTTTCTTTTAAAACTCTAACAATATATTTGTCATTTGATAAAATCTCACTCGCCATTCTTTCCCTACATTTATCTCAGAACAACAGACGTCGAGACCACATTTTTAATCCCACGAATACAAATTTATCTATTTTTTCTTGCTTGTCATCCCCTTAACTTTTAGAAAATAAATTCTCAACTTTGTTGTTTATGTAATACATATTTATGTAGCAGATTTCCGATGTTACCACCATTTTTGCTTTTTATTTATACAAAGCTATAAAAATTGGTTGTATTTGTTTTTGCAGGTTTTGGTAGTTTCTCCTGATGCGGTTAGCTGGGTGGACGCCAGCGGAGATGCCGTTCCAGCCAATGCCATTGAAGGAGGAAAAACCGAAGATGGTGAAACTCTGTACATTGGCCGTGTCCTTCACGAGGGGGCTCAAACGGTGGGGAAATTCCACCCCAGCCATGGCAAAATGTACATCAGGTCGGTTTCTAGCTTTTAATTCAAGTTTAATGTTTTAGTACGAAAGGATTAGTGCAATTGATTAATAACCTTTCTATAAAATTAAATTTTTCAGCTACGGCGGAGAAGAAGTGGGCTACGAAGAATTCCAAGTTCTTGTCCAAAACTAATTCCCTGCGTCTGCTTCAGCTCCGAATCTCGGACTAAATATTTGTAATTCTCAAAAATATTCCTTAAAAACCATTTATGATGATAATTGAAATGTTAAATGGTACAGATTTAACTAGAAGTTGCATTACTAGAATTTTAATCGTTTGTGGTTCACATATTCGGCAAGTTTATTGAGCTTTATATTTTGTACTTGAATTTTTGCTTTCATTTTTTTCCACCAAATTCATTAACATTTGTGATATTCCAGCAATAAAAATTGCAACAGTAGATTTGGCTGACAATCTAATAAAGTATGTGCATCAAAGACTTTCACTTTGTGAAAGCAGTATGGATTGCGTGTTCAGAGTATTCAAATATTTGTTGCAAGCGAGATCGAGTTTGTAAGAAAGAAGATTGTTATGGGAAAGGCTTTAATTGGCTTTAATAAAATTGGTTTAATTGGATTCTGTTATGAATTTTGATGGATTTTGAATAATTTTGGCATTGAGACATTCTTATTAAAAAGTTTTTATTGTTCACACAAAGCAAAGTTTTCGCATATATGTACAAACATAAACAATTAGCATGACGAGAGCAATAAATTTAGAGAGAGCATAATTGACACAGTAATTTATTAATGAATTTACGTTTACAGATAAGTACGCTTAATTAATACTCTTTTAAAGCAAAAGTTTACTTGTACCTGAAGAAATTGGTACCTATGTACATACTTGGAAACATGCTGTTTACAACTATAGCAATTTGTAGCTGAAATTGTGTTGATTCTTTTTATCGTTTAAATTTTCCAAGAATATTATCCTTCGAGCACCATACATAGATTTGCATACATAAATTTAAACATCCGACCAGTAGTGCACGTTTGAAAAAGTGGTATCACACTCTGTTGCTTTTACCAAGTTTGTATTTTTCAGTGAGCTCTAAAACTGTCACAACCTACACGCTACACATGTAATGACTGTAAAGTAGTAACTGTAATTAATCACGATCAAGAACAACCTTCTGAAACGTTTGTAAATTTGTGGGTACCAGCCACTCGTAATGGCGACCCGTAAAATGGCCTGTGTCAGAGGTACACATACACAAGTCCACAACAAAATATGTAAAATTTTCACTATTAAACAACATCAATGATTGATTGAGTACATTTTTCATAAATTTAAGGGTAAAGCTTTTGACGTATAACACAGCTCGTTTTGTCGAGTACAGAGTAATATTGTCGTTGCAGGAATTATAAGTTGGTGTTGGAATTTGGATAATGCTTTCTCTTGCGAGAGAGCAGAAATATTGTCAACTTTTTCTTATTATTGTCTAACGTACGTATTTATATTCAAAAGTTGGAATGATTAAATTATCGATTTGAGTCATAGAGTTGACGGAATCTAGGACCTAAAGTTTACGTATCTAGAACTAATTACATACATATGTTAGACAGGTAGATAGCAGAGCATTGCAAGCTATGCAAATACTAAATAGTGTACTTATACCGATTGCAGGATTATATTGTCCACATTTTGTTCCAATTTGTTCAAGTTTGATTAATTCTAATATTGTCCTAAAACATTATAGTCATCAGATCGAACATGCCTGTCTGCTATACACACATAATTTTCTGCCTACAATTTGATCTACAAACTTTGCTTATTTCTACCTTCAGATTTTGATTAAGTATTTAGTTCATTTGGGGACGCAGTATGTTTGTCATGTATATTTGATCAATGAAATTAATGAAAGTGAGATTCTCTCCATGAGATTTGTGACTGCAATTCATTGCCAAAGGGAAAGCAGAACAAAGCTGAAGCAGTGATTGAGTAAATTGGTGAAATACGTATGCATGGTGGGTTCATTCGAACAAATAATCTCAAGAAGTTGGCGTTTGTATGTTTGCATCACTGAAACCGAGCCAATTTAAGGTTCTGGAACCGTCGCACTGCTCTCGTAGGAGGGCGGGCTGGCCACGGACGCCCTTTGCGCCATCGTTCTTCGCAGGTCCGCCTTGATAAGGGCCGTCATTGTCACTCCCATCAGAAGGATCCCGCAGAGCAGGAGGTTTGCCCCCAAGTCTCCAACCTTGCTCTCGAACACCAACCGAGTCACCGCCGTCAGAATTATTCCAAACACCTAGTGCACAAATTGTGAAAGGTTAAACCAGTCTCACGTTGCTTTGTTACCCAGTGTGAACTTAAGCGTTTGAAGGGAAACGATTTGTCCCACGTGTAAGAAGTGAAGATAAATATGGAATACCTGTGCTGATGCATTTAGCAATCCGGCAGAAGTTCCTTCAGATTCTGTGTAATGGGTAAAAGTTTGATTATTGCAAAATGGAACGCATAAAGTTATAAATGACAAAAATGGCCATTATTTTCAAGTCTAGTCTGTGATAATTTGTTCATTCAAACTATGATAAGAATGTGAAAATGTAAAATCTCATTTTGCCTCCGTAGACCATCCAGTTAACTTGGATCACCCGAGTACAATTTTTTTGAGTTTGTTATGCATTGGGGATAATGCATATATGTATGTAGCATCTAATAATAAATTAATTGAACTAATAAATATTAGTTCAATGAGTGAAATACCTGGGTAGGTGATCTCGGCAGCAAATTCGAAGCCCACTGGCAAATATCCAGTCATGAAGAATCTGTCATCCAAAGTATTCAATGATGGTGAGATTTAGCTGATGCTTTCATGGCTGAAGTATGTGGGCTTAAAAACTGGAGAAAAGACTTACCCAAGGGCAGCAAATACGACGTACATGTACGCAATGTGGTTGGCATGAGGGAGGGAGAAAGTGTAGACGACCATCCCCACGAATGAGAGGAAATAAATAACCAGCGTTGTTTCTCTGCAATGAAATAAAGTAGCTGGCATGAGCACACATTTCATACCAATCACTTTCCCTCCTAACACGATGCGATTGCATAAAATCACGCCTTCCAACACTCCCGAGGATAATGCATGGGCAAATTTACCGAGTGTGCCAAATGCAAATATGTATGGTCCACACAGTGAAAGAAGGACTACGTGTAGACCGTTGGGAAGACATAAATAAAATGACCATATAATTCTGCCCCATTTCACTTGATCAGTGGGATAGATTTCCTTAAAAGGTTTCATCAAGAAAGAAAATCTTTAGCAAGCATCAAAGGCGGAGAGAGTGCGAACTTGGGAAAAGAGTCGAATAATGTGGAAGATGTTCAACCAAATCCAGCAATTTGATACTGCACGAGGTTGTAAGTGAGTGATCACGCAGGGAAGAAAAAGTGTTTGAACTGGGATTTGCCTGTAGAAATCTCATCTTCAAAGGATGAAGCTCAATCTTTTTGATATTATTTCCAGCAAATCTCCATTTTTCATCACAATAGCTTCAAAGACTTGAAAGATTGAGTTAGGTAAAAGAAATTGCGATTCAATTACACTGAAAGATCAACCCACATGAGCTGTTTCCTGTGATCTCTCTGTATATTCCGAATTTCGTCAAACCATCGACTTGATCAGATCACTGAACAGGATGAACAGGACACAAATAGACTAAATTTATCATGCCATACTTTGCACACATATTGACGGTGAGCACGCTAGATACAATATTTCTACATATGTAGAAACATGTGCAAACAACAAGATTTACTTCATCTCTGGCAGTATTGTTAATTTACAGAATCTGTTTACTTACTTGAATCGTCGAGTCTTGTCCAAAATTAAGCCGGATACGACAGAGCCTATAAAGCCCAATGTTTAGATCACTTTTGTATGATTCATGGACTTTCCTTACCCATCATTCCAAACACGACAATCATAAATCCAATTCTTCCAGTATCCTCATCTTTCCCCTGTAACATGAAAATAGCACGTTGATCATGTAGGCGTAAGTAAGTTTGATAACAACGTTATCCTACAGATATTCATGTGACTGGTACATAAGTAATTCCCAGTGGAGCTTAAACATTGTGCTGATTTTTGAAGCGATACATTGTTGCGATCACATATCGTATACGTAGGAATATCGTTATTCGCCCAAATGTTATCCAGCTTCGGGTTGTGTCACGCTATACGAACGTGATGCTGCTAATTAAACACTGGTCCTAATCATTTGCTCTCTTCAAGTATGTGGCTCAAAGTGCAATAAATTATGGAGTGCTCTTCCACCCAGCGGCGTGGGAATCTGACATGATAAGCTGGGGTCGCCAACCATATTATTGCACCGATGCTATAAGCCAGGAGGAGGCACAATATGCCTAATTGCGAGGCAAGTAGGTATTTGGGTGATGTATACTTCTGCTTTTAGTATACGTATGCTGAGATAAGAGGAGGTGAAAGAATTATGCATATTATGCATATATCCAGTTGAAGAGCCAGTATATATGCACAGTGAATATCGTTAACCGTTTCAACCTCGTTAGTATTCCGCTCGCACACCACACCCACACAATTATCTCGCAGTCTTGCAAATGTGGCTGGAAATGTGTGTCTGCTGGAAAGACCTTGACATTCACATTGTCTCAGTTGAGTCTGTCAAATAAACATTGCCCACATCCGCATTATGAAATAATATATTGTGTCCTACTGAATCTCGTAATCGTACTACATTGCAATTTTTCTGGTGGCGTAATATTTGCAATAAAATGAAATGAGTTTCTACACCCGAGCCACGTAGGAATGATATCATTGCTTTGAAACTTATGTGTCATTCAGACCTCTGAGAATTTTTCAGGTGGAAAAATACAGCCAAATGCCTCACATTCTGCCAGTCTCAAATCCCGAGAGTGTCATTACTATGAGAAGCAGACAGAAACAATGTTATCAGGCGTCCTACTGCATACTTATGCAAGTGTACGTACTGTACGTATGATGACGTACGTGAGAATTGTAATTTGTTGTCTCGTTCTAACACCAATTTCATTCAGTACAACGGGCAGGTTCATACAGAGTAATTTCCAACCAGGAAAAGGACAGAATCTGTGGAGTAATACTGATGTCATACACTCTCTTTCTCGGTGTTTGTGCGGCAATGTGGTCCGTTGTTGGCGTCATAATCGTATCAGAACTCGCACTCGTGGCTTGTATCATCCACTCCCGAAATTTGTGGTAACAGTGTAAACCAGCCACAAATGGAAAATGGCTCTTTTACTTTCATCCTTCTTACTCCTCTCCTTTCTCCACCAACGCTGTGTCCCAACAAATTTCCGCCCAGGCACTAACTTAGGAGCGAACAGGACGGAACTGGAAAATGGGGACTCGTTGGTTGTGAAAATGCCACAGACCAAATTCACAGGAATGCACACATCTGCAAACTCCTTGTTAGAAATTTTGCACTCTTTGCAATTTACACCGAAACTTTGGACGTGCCGGCACTATGAAAGCACAAAAGGGATTTGAGAGCAGAAGAAAATTGTCAAATACTTTGCACGTCGAAATGACTAGCAAGCAAATTACATGAGAAACACCCTCGTCGTTTGGATTCTTTCGTTTTCAAGGACTATTTAGCAGAGTCGTGCCGGTCGGACTGGAACGCTTCTCAAATTCTTTTGGGAATGGTTTCGGCTTTAACATTGACGTTCGAAAAACCGTTGTATCGTTTTTTGTTTTTGTAAAATATCCCTCCAAAAGTTTTACAATAAATTTGAATTCTGATACTTCCTGCCACAAATTGAGCAATACATCAGTCGTATATCTACTTAGGTTTTGGTCATTATAGTGATTTGTAACCCAATAGAATCATTTTCCTTCGCTATCCATCATTTTTTTGTGCGAATTTAGCAATTTTTAGCCCTACCATGTATTACACAAAATATTGGTAACTGACAAATATTGGTTAGAGTAAAAACCAAGGTTCGGAGCAAAGTTTTACGGGTAAAGCAACTTACGGGATGATATTTCAAGATGAATGAGCTGAGCAAGGTGGAAATGGCGTAGAAGACGCCGACGTTCATTCCGTAGCTCGTGAGGAGCAGAAGGTAGCCTTTGTTGGTGAACAATCGCTTGATGGAATTGACGTAGGGTTCCTTGTCAGCCGTGAGGAGTGCCATTTGAGACATGCTCGGTGGCGTCGGTGGCTTGTCCCGGAACACTGTAAAGTACACGACAAAATATTTAAAACCAAAATGACCATACATGTGTACGTACGTATTTACATATTTAGAAGTACACATGTTACACCAAAGTACTACCAAGGACTTAGGCATGCAGTACTGGGGAAGGATGAGAAAGCATATCGAATGGGTGTCCTTCATCGATAAATTGTGTATCGGGTGGAATTGTAATTGCGGAAAAGGAAACGACGTAACTTACAGAAAATTACAGCGACGAATAAAACAGCAGTGATGCAACCGGTCCCAATGAACATCACTTGAAAGTCGTGCGCCATTTCTTCCTGCGTCCCATTTTTTATAAGCATTGGAGGAAGTACGAACCCCGCTGCGACACCAAGCTGCCAGCAACAAAGAGTTAGACCGATTATTCTTCATGTACCCGGGCATGCTACGTATCCCACCAACAACCAATTCACTTAATTGCTAAATCGATGATCATATAATTACTTTCTCTCAACTTGGGGGATTGTGATAATGTGAGCCTAAAAATGTGCATGCATAAACCACCATCGTCATTCAGGAATGAATAGAAATGAGATAATGTCTGCTATTCTAGAAGACCGAATTATTAAATGGTCCTCGAAACCATCCAAGTCAATTGTCTTGTGACATTTGAGCCCGACCTCCAGCAGCCACCATACTCTTGCTAATTTATGAACTGAATAAATCTAAAGCCTTATCCGTTCCAAGTTGGCAAGTGGTGATTTCATCCTAAGACTGGTGATTTCAAACCTCAATTGAGTGAATTTAGTGAATGTGGGTTTCCTCTCCATGCAACACCTCCAAAGATGATGATGACATAAAACTCCTCCCTTTCCTGGTAAACTTCTCAGCATTATATATTCCAGAGTCTTTGGCATTGGGGAGAAAGCGATGGCAGATGACAAGCTATTGCATTCATGTCTCTGCAAATGCGAGCTATAAATGCATATACCACCATTCTCACCAACTGGAAATCAACAGGGCTCTTATATGGCTCATAACTTGAAGAGTTTTAGGATGCAGCAGGATTACATTCGTTTATGTGTAATACTTTCGCCGCTCGTCATACGAACGTACCTACGGCATGGGGCGATGATATGAGCTAAATTCTCTTGTTTTCAAAATTCATGAGCTTTTTCCCTTTCGTTTGAGATTCAGCAGCACTCGAAATTAAAATGATTCCCTAACTTCGCCTAATTAAATTAGGGATTCCATCGAGTCGTACCTGATTTCCAAAGACTCCGATGGCCGTAGCAGAGGACACTTGGCTCGGCCCGAACCAAACGGCAGCCAAAAGGGGAGGAATTCCAAGGATGAAGATTTGTGACACTGCCACGACCGTCTGGCCAATGAAGGCCACCGGAAACAGATTCGGCGAGGCGGAGAAAACTGTGAACATACGCAAATACTTTTTCAGACGAGAAAATGGGGAACGTGGAATTTATTTAAATTCAAGCTTGTCACCTTTTATCCATGACCCCAACGCCGTTCCAAAACTTCCAATTAGCACTGCCTTCCTCAACCCCTGCTCACAGAAACACGTCAAATTAAATGCATACAATCTTACAAATGGTACAGAATAGTGCTTGTATAGAAACTTTGGAAAATCAATAGCAATTTGCAGAGACTGATTGGTGTAGCTTAAAAAACTAATGTACAAGCTAGAATGGCAAAATTGTTATATAAAAAAATAATACATGGATTTCAAACATAAAATTGTTAGTTGGCATATTCACCAGCTGTATGATTGGTTGTAATTTTGAATTAACCATTCGTTAGTGCTCGTTAGTTGAAACTGATGTGCATTGACATAATTAAAGGAAGCCATATAACTACATATTAAACAATAAATAGGATGGAGCATGAACTCACAAATCTGTCGAGGAAATACATGGCCGGGAAGATGAGAGGAATGTACGTAATCATGTAAATCATACTGAAAGACAAATCATGAATTAAATACTTTTGAACTTGAATATTTTTGCAAACTGTTTTCATACCTGGTCATGTCTACAATTCCGTCGGAAACCCTGATAGCAAGACAAAGTGCTACTTAATCATATGTGCATATATTTAGGTATATCTGTAAAATTGCCACGAGTTCCTTACCCATAAAACTGGCCCACCAGCCCGTTGATGATGGCGAATTGAATCCACTGAAAGGCGTTGGACATGCTGTAGACGACGAAGAGGATGAGCACCACCCAACGGAAACGGTACACTTGACATTCCTCCCGCAGGGCCCCCTCATCGTTTCCCCCACAGGATGCCTCCTTCGTCTCACCGTTCGCGTCGCTCGCAGCCGGCGTCCCCAGCTTTTCAGGACTTGCGGGGAGCGACATTCTTGCGCCTCTCACACTTTTACAATACTTTTACGAATTCAGAAATTGAACCTGACCACCAGTTAGTTATTCAGTCGTGCACTGTGGAATGTGTATCAATCGCATACGCTCTTCCAAAATGAATCGCGTTCAGCTAAGATTGTTTTGTTTTCAAAATATTTTGGAAATATTTTGGCACCGTTTGCATAAACAATTAATGAGTTGAATGGAATGCCGAATTCATTTGGTGTTGCGCTGGCTTTATCTGAATACTGGGAAGGGATCACTTGTTTTTGGGATGCAACTGGTGGCTCGAGGGGAGTGCTGAGCAGTAAGCAGCGTCGATGATGAAGAGTCGGGTTAATGACAAGCATGCAATTTGGATTAATAGTAACAATCGTCAAGTGGCGACGACTGACTCCAGCTCAGCTCAGCATTAAGCAGACTACTAACCATTGTACTTATCAATCACTTTACTTTATTTCACTCACAAATCACAATCGCAAATGATGTGCTCTTGAATACAGCAGGGTCGTCAAATTCATCCGATTCCTATTCAACGCGAGCTCTCGTCTGAGTTACATTGCATTCATAGCGGATTGTATTATGCACTGAGTCGTTCTCTTGGAGGATACACGAGTACAATAAGCAAGCAACGAGGAGTAGCATGAGGAGTAGGTATACTTGCACCACAGAATCATGTACAAAGTGGTTGTGGCTGCGAGATCAGAAGCCAACATTAATGATGTGATGTCAAAATGACAATAAAATTTGCAATTCGGACCCATCCATCAACTGAGGACGGGATGAATGGTGGTAGTGTCATAATAATACAGCAGACGGGAGCTCAATTTATTTTACACGATCCAACACATCCTCTCCTCTGTTTTAATAAGGTCCATCACTTCATCTAATTTTAATGCATTGTGCCAGAATCAGAGCTCAGTCTAACGCAATTTAAACGCTCAATTCATAATGATGTCCAGCAAGCAACGGCTATGCAAATGTCCAGTTATTGCAGACTCGACTAAATATAACTGGATGTTGGCAACAAAGAACAAACACGCGAGCTGTGTATCACAGATATGTTCTATTTACATCGTCCCCTCCTTTGTTGCTGCACCCCAGAGTTAATTTAAATCGTCGAAGCTGTAATTTCCTCGATTGGATTCACAATGTAATAAAATTCTGAATGAGACTTGACTTTTTCTGGGTGGTCAATTGATGCTCTACTAAAGCATCAATATGCAATATATACGTATATGTACATGCATATGTATGTGTAATACTGTGGAGGTCTAGGCGGAGAAGATTATGGCTGGAAACTTGCTCAAATCTGTCAACTTTGTTTTATTCTTATTAATGAGATCAAAGATCAAATGACAGTGGTATTTCAGAGCAGAGAATGGTTATGGTAGTAGTATAACCTCATTTGCTCGGTTCTCGGGGGTCGTTTGACGTTCAATAAATCTCGCTGTTTTTCCACCAACTTATTAAACCCGCAACTTACTCGAGTCTGTCAACCAGGCTGAAACTCTTTTTGTTCTTTATGAAGATATCAGTTTTACAATCCGACAGCGTAAAATATTTCCAAAGTTTTCACAAGTTGTTCAACTTCTGATCCAAGTTGTAATTGAAGGGCTGCAACTTTATGATGGATTAGAATTTGGATTTAAAAGAGCTTTACCTGATATTAATATACGCATTTGCATTATATTTATACAGGTCACGTTATTATTGTCGTGAATCACTTGTTGTTTGGCTACGTTTGCATAGAAAAATGTCTCACATTACAAGCCGAGGAGTGCAGATTGTCTCAAGTCTCATGAAATATTTTCAGGTCGCGAGTCTTGTACATTGAAGAATCACTAATGCACACACTGAGGATGAGTAATGAGTCGCGTTTCAGCTGAAATTAGAAATACAGGTTGAATGAAGGATTTAAATAATATGGTTCCGTATCAAATATAGATTTTATCAGCGCTGCAACGCACAATCAACCGCACAGAGCATGATGTGGAAACAAATTGCAAAATAAGCACTTCCTCTGGATAAATAGTTGCATTGTCTGCTCTTATCTGCTTAATTTTTGAATGCGTAATTGGTTACGTTTCATGGACACAAATATTATTTATAAATATGTTTGTCTGCTGTGCTCATCAGTATTGGTAAACAAATGGTTGGGAGACTTTCAAACACCAGCCTTGTACAACTAGTCCATGTAAATTGATAGCTTTTCAGAGATGCTATTGAATTGTACGTACATCACACAACGTACGTTGTGCTCGTTATTGTGCTCCACAGAATATTTGTGTTTGCCTGATAATAATAAATAAATATGAATCGTACTTGTGGTGCACCAAATTATGAAGTACGTGTGAAATGCTGTATTGACACTGCTGCTCTACTTAACTATTTTCCGGCTCAGTTCTACTTACTTTAATCGATCCAAAGCACAATAGTCGCTTTAAAGAAGTTGTCCGCGACGATGATAATGAGTTTGGTTAAAATTTTATATGCATGTTTCCCTTTCACTATTATATTGGTGACTGGGTGCGCCTACTTCAATGCGTGTGCTTAAATATGTATCTATATGGTCAAGACGATTGATGGGGGATTTCTTATTCAATTAAGTGCAAAAACGTGTAGAGGTTGTCTTACAAATAATAACGGCGAGAATCCATGCAGTGCTCCAAACCATGAAACAAGCGACACACCACGAGTTAGTCAGGTCGCTGTATTTGGCATAACGGGGCTTTTACCACCCAGCAATGTTGTATCGATACCCGGAGAGACGAGCACGTGGAGTAGGGCAGATTGGAAATGAAAGTAAAAAAAAGTTGGCACAATGAACGAGTTCTACTAAATTACTACTGTGCTACTTACTAGTGTTATCTAAAAACTTGCTTGATAAGCACCACACTCGGAACAGTCCTCAATATTTACACTGTCAACTAGAATGTGTAAAATTGCCCTATTTATCATTCACCCGTCGAATTAGGTCTTTTTGTGACTATGCAGACCATCAACGCACTCAGGTAATTATCTTGCTGGAAAGCAGTCTGTGATACGGATGAATAATTTCAATTCACTCTGCCTTTCTTAATACACCGAATTTAGATCGATTTGTATTCCTTTTTCACTAGAATGCACATTAGTGTAATTTATTTGCGACAATTTCAATTCACTCGGCACACACGACAGGAGAGCTGGTAGTTGTCCTTTTAAAAAAGACCATCGGGAATTGTGCGACGACTGTGGGAGGGCTATTAGTGCAGGTCTTTTAATGTAATAAGGGATTACGTGAAGGCTGAGTAAATTAATTGAAGCTGAGGGAGCAGATAAGAGGATTAGAGGAGTCCTTTAAGGCTGAAGTAATAAGCTTTCTCTGGCTCCGTGGGAGACACAATTTACAACCTCCCGAAATGGGCTGCTTGAACTCTGTTGTACTGCTGACTAAACGTAAATAATATGTGCACGTACTCGTGTTTTTTTTTCGAAAATGCAAATTGTCGAGTTGATAAAAATGAGATAAACTACTTTCTCTCGAGTTATTTTTAATCAGAAAACAAGGAAAACGAAACTGGTGCTGGCAAAATTCGTGCAAATCGTGCAGGAGGAAACCAAACTGAGAGAACAAAGTGAGGAGTGCAGTGCAGTGCAGTGAAAATGTGTGAGGAGAACTGAGATGAGTGCGTGAAGCGTGGCTGGTGCTCAGGGGTCAGAGTCCGGAGTGGAAGTGGCAGAAATTCGGAGATGGGCCTCGGCTTTCATCTCCCCGAATTTGCCCAAGTGGGTGGCGAGCAAAACTAGGAGCCAGCATCTCATTTGGTACATATGGACAACAACTGGCAATGCTGAACTTCTCTCAGGAAGCCTCGTAATAACCAACAACCTCTGCGACGCACACAATTGACAAATCCAGTCCCTCTCTCTGCAAATAGCACTGAAGCCATACAAAAATCCTTTCAGTGGTGAAATGTACGCAAAATTCATTTTGTGCCATTCCGTTTTATACAACAAGACGGATTTTTTTCCGGAGCTATATTGAGTTTCAGAATTTGACAGCAGCAGCAGGAGGAGCAGTATGCAGAGTAGAATGGAATCCAGTCAGGGTGAAAGTAGCATACATATTGTTGACTCGCTTTCTCCGTGCAGACAGGGCAGTGGGCAATTTCATTCGAGCTGGAGGGAGACGCACACAGCTTCATCTTCTTGTGCAATCACTCAATGCTGGGAGAAAGTTGTGTATAAGTGGACGAATAGAAATTGAATGTTATCAGTCAAGCCGTAATCGAAGAGATATGGACACATCGTGACGACATGGTCCTCCAAGTCCATTCGTCGACGCATTTCTTGGTCCTGGTTGTCATTTGCATTGCTTGTCAAGGACATATCAGCCTTCTCGGCGTGATATGCTGGTCTGCTTTCACTTTCATCTCAACTTCCCTCGTAGCACAAACAATAAGCTGCCATCATAAAACCCACTTTCGCTGGAGTGTCCTGACTCGTTTTGTCGGTGCACCAATTCTTTCGTGCTGATAGAAGGTGAACTACTGAATGACTTCTTGGTTCATCTCATGCAATGTAGATTGGAAACACTGCTGATTTTAGAAAAACAGTCTGCGACAAAATGAAATGAAATACTGCATGTTTTGGAATGGTGGCCGGGCATTTCCGAATTCCCGTTTTCCGACTTATCGATTTTCGGATGGCGGTAATAAAGTCAGTTAAGAGTAGAGAGCCGACGGAAGTGGAATCTTGGAGAAGCACAATTAACTTCCTCTCCAAGCGAAAGGGAAGACTGTTGTTGGCCAGATTTTATCAATTCTTCCCATCTTCTCCATTTCGTAAGTTTTACACTTTCCCATAAATGCCAAACTTCGGGACTGTCCTGCGAAAGTGAAGAGGCACATTTTCATAAGAAAAGGTCCTGATTGCATAATTTTGTGTTGGTTGCTTGTTAAATTAGTTACAGCGAAGCATGCATTGTTCAGTCAGTCGCATAGACTAATATATACGGTCAGTCACTCGTTCCTCTGAGGGGCATACGGACACAGACATTGCGATTGTATGGAAATTATGACAAGGTTCTTGTAATATATAGACATTGAAGTTCAACACTAGTTCTGCATCAGCAGATTCAGTCATCATTCATGCTGCATACAGATATTAGCAGTTGGATTACGTCAAATACAAATGTGTGCTCATATAAATACATCACCACACTCGAGCATAAAATAATGACAGCGATACCTGCATCTTTGAAATACGCATAACTGCATCCAAGCCAAATTTTTTAATGATTGTATTTCTATAAAAGCAAGCAATAGAACTTTTAAATGGACGGAGCATAGTCAGAGTCATATGTAGATCGCTACATTGTGCATTATGTACAATCGGAGTACGTACTGCACTTTGGACGACTCGACTGAACCAACAACACGAGTAAAGATACAACAACCATAACATAACCAACGAAGACATTTTGCATGATATACAAATCGACCTCAGAAACCATATGATTGTCAGTACACTTTAAACTACCGGTTTAACATGAAGCTTGGCATATCTAATCCCATGAGATGAAGTTCATATTCGAGTGTTTCTTAAGAGTTGATACTATTTAATTCGATACCAGAAACATTTACTGGGCCAATTACGGACGGCACATCATTTTCCAGGTATATTCCATCCCAAACTAAATGTACATACATACATATATATTACTTAATATTACTTTGATTTTTCATTGGTTCGGATCAAGTTGAAAATTTGAACTTGAATTTCATACGAATTTGTAATGTCTATGATCGTGACTTAAAATTATTGGAGTTACATATATTCATATGAAAGTTGTGCCTTGCCAAAACTTATTTTTGATTCGGCAAGTGGGACAAAAACGGATGTAAGCACAAGGACTGAATTATGTACAGAGCATGTAAAAGGGAAGAAAGAAGGAAAAGAGAGCAACAGAAACGGAAATGAGAGATTGCTCGGAGAATATTTTATGAAGGAAGTCCATGACATGGTCAACCAATTTGCTAACCTGAACTTGCAAACTTTTCCATATACTCGCAATAATAATACGCAGCCAAGTGTGCGCCACTTTATTTAGCGTTCCATATTTTTATTACTTTCATACGAATCTCGGAGATAAAGTATTAGTCCAGCCAGCAGCGCGAGTAATAATAACATTTCTAGAATTATTTACAGAGTCCAAAAGTTATGGCAGTAGGTCGTTTTAACTCCTGTATCTTATTTATGACCTTAAAAAATCTCTCTGTGAGCGAGGAGTTGGTTTTTTTCGAATGTCATTTCTTTATCCAATGTTAAGAAGAAGATGCGTTTGGACGCTGTCCAATTTTGCTTTCGTCGTCGTGGTTGTTGTTTGTTATGCTCCTTCGAGTCGCAACTTTCGTGCAGAGCACAAAGTCCTTTCGATGATCCTTATTTCGGGAAATCGTGACGTAAGTAAAATGGAGATGAAAGGAAGTTAGGGCTGCTTTAGACGGTCGTCGTTGTCGTCGTCGTCAGATCAGTTCTATTCAATTGTTTCATGCTGATGGATATCCAGAATCTGAATCTCAGATAAATGGATAGATAGCTGAAATAACAAAGGAGAAAGCAATGTCTTTCCTGTGCCCTGAGGAGAACAACACCACTTCAAGTGTTGAATGGCCCTTTTAAAGACAACAGAGTTATCGGGTCGAATTGTACACAAGATTTATTGCGATGCAAAAACATTGCTGAAATTACTTCACTGTGCATTCCATATATTGTACTAGTTGCTAATGGGGAATCTACAGACGTTGTGTATGTAAGCACAACTTTTTATGGTCTGGACAAACGTCGGGCACAAGTCGGGTTAAAAAGCAGAGATAAATCAACTGATAAATATGCCATATAAGCTTCTTTATCAAGAAAAGATGGTTGCATGATTTATTTTAACCATTGAACAAAATATAGCTCATGATGACATGTACTTATGTCATGTACCTAGGACTTTACAAATTGCCCGATATGTGCTAAGCGTATTCATCATTTTTCAGAAATATATACTACACGAGGATCTAATTCAATCCGAATAGAGGAGGAAGGAGAGGATGCAGCGGAGCTTTCTTCACAGGGTCGTTAAATTCGGTGTAGAAGATCTAAATGCCTTCATTACTGTGGTGAGTTGAAATGTGAATCCTTAACGACGTGAGACAATGTCCTGACATCAGTATCACTCGCAATCCTTTGTAGATTCTAGTTTTTGTAGGATGCAAGTATGTGTAGCATTGGTCAGGCTGGCCGGGGTTCTCTGCTTTCTCTTTTTCCCCTTCACTTTCTCCTCCATTCTCAATTTTTGCCCAGATAGAAGAGGACACTGTCCACTCCAGAGAATATTTATTACTGAGGCTTCACTTGGCACATTCCAGATTCAGTAAACACATAGCCTTTGTTTTGGTTGGGTGGATTTGGCCCAAGTACGTAAACACAATACATGTTCTCTGGACCCTGGCCTATGTGCAGTTCAATGAGACTTTCACCTTGAAATGCATGACATTATGCTGTCCATCCATTGTCTGCGAAAGGGGAGAGACTTGTCGGTATGGCCCAATAATGAGACTTGGTTATTGGGTATACCACAGACAGGATTCATAGTTGTGCAAATAGAAAAACAGCCAAAAGGTTCCAGAAGGGTGTTGTTTTTTATTGGGCTTACCCTTGCATTTCATGGTTGATATACATATGCACCCATAAACTAGCTGCATGGGTTTATTTAATTTGTATGTAAACACGTTCACAGTTGCGGAGCAGAGTCTGGAGGGTCGAGTTGCAGCGACGAGGAGCTTCAAAGAAGACGTCAGCAGCCGTTGCTACCCTCGGACGACCTCCCATTGTGCCCAGAAGTGCTGGCTTTCTCCTCTGCGGCGTATTTCCTGTGGTGAAAGCCTGGTCTCCTTGGGTCAAGAAGAAGAAGGGTGGAGAGAAGGAAGACGAGGACAATAAAAACCAAACAACGTCTCGCTCAAACAACTCATCCTCCTCTCCACTTCGATTAGTCGACAAGAAGGACAAGCAGTTGAGAGTCGATATTGCACAAGCAGATGAGTGGTTCGAGAGCGGCAATACTGCAAATTATGAGAAGGCCTTTGACATTTTGATGCTTCACTTGGTATGACTTAAATGATGTGAAGAGGATGCTGATAAAATCAAGTGACTGATCGAGTTTATAAATGACACGAGAAGGTCGCTATTTTTGCAGGAAAAACGAGAACCGGAAGTATTGTGGCGTTTGGGAAGATTGACCTATGAAAAGTCCAAGGTGGCGCAAACGAAGGACGAGAAACGGCAGCGAATTGAGGAAGCTTATGATCTCGTCTTTAAATCAATGACAATTGACGAGAAAAACTTTGCCGTGCACAAATGGATGGCCATCCTTCTCAACGAGTTGAGCACTTTTAAGGGGATCAAGGACCAATTGCTGACATCAGTCAATGTCAAAAGGCACATGCTTGTGAGTGCAAAGAATATTCCTGCATGAATGAGGATAAACTGCTGCATAAATCAGTTTTGAGATATTGCATTGCTGCATGTACATAGAGAGCAGTGGAACTAAACCCTGAAGATGCGACGAGTATTTACTTGCTCGGCGTTTGGTAAGAAATGTTACGTCAAACGTTTGTTTTATCATATTAATAATGGACTTTGGAGAACTATGCCGTAAATAATTAAAAGCATGACGTGTAGGTGCTATTCTGTGGCTGACATTCCTTGGTATCAAAGAAAAGTCGCCGAAACATTGTTCGCAAAACCGCCCGAGTGCCAGTTCGAGGAAGCGTATAAACACTTTCTCCGAGCAGAATATACGCAGCCAGGATTTTACAGGTGAGGGTTGAGAAATTTCTAACGGACGTCATGCTAATACTCATAGTACAGCGTCTCAATTAATGTATATGTGCATTCTTCTGACAGTATGAACTTGCTGATGTTGGCAAAATCTTGCGTTAAAACCGGAGACATGGAAAAGGCTGAGCAGTATCTGTGGAAGCTACAAAAGGTGAAAGTGAAAACTCAGGACGATTTTATGGCCAAGAAGGAAGGGAAGCAGTTAAGAGAAAAATTATTCAAAGCTGGGAATAATTATAGTACCACAGGAGAGTCAGCGGAACAGGAAAAAACATGACCAACATTAGACAAGTATACATATAATGCCCTACAATATTGTGATTATGATCCGTCAACGTTTTAAGATTAAAAATATTTTATTATATTATACAATCTATAAATCTTTACCCTACTTATTTATTTCTATGAGCGTCTCATTATTATTTAGTATATTTATCCAGTAACCTACGTACATATATTTTTATAGATTTTTTATAAATACTCAATATGTAACATCTCTTAGACAGACAGAGAGTCAGGTAAAGTATGCGAAAATGATTACATACTCAAATTTGTGAGGTGATTGTAAAGGCCGACGCCAAATCAATCTAAATACCTAAACAACTGTTTATGTATGATCTATTAATTTGTGAAAAATACATTTGTCATCAGTCCTTGTTTTATAAATCACTCAAGATAATCTACCTATTTCCTTATAACAATACCAATAAGAAGAAATAATTTCGAAAAAATGCGTATAAATTAAATATGTAAACGGGATTCCATCAAATGTGCATAAAGTGAAAGTTTGCTTTGCATCTTTCTTGATGACCTGATGAGAGATACGATTGCTTAAAATCCTCCCAGCTCTGCCTGCCCTGACGCTGAGAAGAAAATTGGTTACGTCTGAAACAAAAATCAAACATTGAAAACCTGCATAGAATTTGATACTAACTATAAAAAAGCGTCGTCGTCTCACCATTAATAATCAAAAATGAATCTGCTTCTGGATTTATTGATTTGTTGATGCATCACAAGTAAAGATAAGGAACGTAAGGTTAAATAATCATCGTTATCAGTGGTAAATAGTGCAGTGGAATCACGTGTGGAATTGAAGATATAAAACACACCATTGTTGTAATAAGCTTACTTTGGACAATTCTCTTTTTGAAACTGTTCGATGACTAGAGACAAGTAATCCGTGGATGTGTCAGTTGTCACAATTTCATCTTCTGGCATGTCGAATCTGAATGGACGTGGTTTCAAATCTTCCGGTAGCGGTTTTGATTTTACAATAGTGGAACTAACAACAGAACTGCGAGATTGCGGTAATGGCCTTTGTTGAGGATAAGTGTGTTGTTGTTGTTGTTTGGGTTTTCTCTGCACTTGAGAAGATTTATTGACAACATTTACAATTGGCAAAAAATTACCATTTTTATTTCGATTATTTGATGTCGTGGTACTATTAACATGAAGCCTTTTTGTCGGCTGCGGCGGCGGCACATGGGAGTTTTGAATGCTGTGACACTGTCGTTTTCGAGACCTAGACGCACTATTAATATTGGTTTTGGCAGTTGGACGAGAACTGCCATTTACCATTGTTTGTACTTGTTGCACGTGCATTTCGGAATTTGAATTGAGCACTTGAATAATCTGATGGTCACCGTTCTCATTTATAAATACTTGTCCATCAACACCACTCTCATTGTCAACAGCGAAACTGGAACCTTGTAATGACGATGCTGGAATCAAATAATTATTTCCATCGGGAAGTTGAACCATAACATATTGTTCTTCCGCTGCTGAAGCAGGCAAGTTGGAATCTTCTACTAGGTCCAAAACTTCAGAACCTCCTCCGAGATGTTCCTCTTCCTCGCCGATTGAGTCTTCGGCTTCGATGCATAATTCAGTCTCTGAGCTTGGTTCAATATTTTGAACGGCAGTTATAATCTCTTCATCGCAAACTTCTTGCTCGATATTTGACGACTCTATTTCTTCACACTCAGTTGTCCCGTCCAATAACATGTCGACATTTTCTTCAACAATATCAGACGACTCAACATTTCCTTCTTCTTCATCTTGCGAATGCATACTTAGAATCTCGTTATCACGGATCACCATTATGTAATTCCCAGAATGTGTTTGAATCGACGAGTGAACAAGGCGATCCAGATTATTTTGTAAGAATGGGGATATTTCTGAAGGCTGAATAAGCTGATGATAGTCGTCTGTAATGTAAATTTGATTATTCGAATTTGAATCATCGTCATCCAAGTCCCCTGTTATAGATGTTAACGAGTCAAAATGATGGTGGGTTTCTTGTGGAAACGACACATTATGATTATTAGCAGATGAGATCGTTTGTTTGAAAGAGTTCTCAAATGAGTTTTTACTATTATTCGGAAATTTTGATGTTAACAATTTTCCGGTACCACCACCACCACTATTGCCTCGAATAATGTTGGGTTTCCTATGATCTTCACTAGCGAAAACCAACTTTCCCAACTTTCCATCATAGCGAACCGCCATGATTCTTCACAATCCTTCCGTCCGACCTGAACACAGTAAGATAACAATGCTCTGTCCGTGAGCCCAGATTCACAGCAATTCTAATAATAAAAGTAAACAAAATGTAGATCAACATATTATTCAATATAATTTTTTATTTTGCTTTTACATATACTACTGCTAGACATTGACAAATGAGCTTACCTTAATTAAATAAGTAGATGAATCAATCTCCGTTTGATTCAACGTTTAGCAAGGTTTACGCTACAAAATTTACAGAAAAATAATAACAGAACAGCTGCCGGATAATTCTCGATTGACACCTTCTCTTTCGGCCTTATTTATCAGGGTGGTTTAGCTAGACAAAATTCAAATCAAATCAAGCATTAGCTTTATGTTGATTGTATTGTTTTAATATAAATAAATTAAATTGGACAATGGTGACCAATCATAATTGACACGAGTTCAACAATGAGAAAAACCTCACAACAACTCGTAGAAGTAGAAGCAAAGTGCAAAGACAGAGAGACCGTGAAAAGACAAAACGTTCACTGTACCTTAACGTTTCTTTCCTCCTGAAGAATTGGTTACAAGTTGAGTTTTCTAATTTCAAAACACCATCCAAAATCTTGGAGTAAAATTTTTCGTTTGTGTGATCAGTTGTAGAAAGAGGCACGAGATGAATTGATGCAAAAGACCCGGCAGAAGGCTTCTCATTGTGCCCCACAACCTGCCCCGCCAACACTTTTATCCTAAAACTACTACCAAATCGCACCATGTTTTAAAAACACACATCCCACAAAAGCCGAAAACATAACTCACTTCCTTCTTCTTCTGGCGATCGTAGGAAAAATAATTTCGAACGTGCGCTCGGATATCACAGGACAAAGACTGGATAAGCTAATCAAAACTAATGCAAGGACTGTACGTCAAGGTCAATCTTTTCTTGTTCTTAAGCTGAGTAGTTTAATGGGCTCTTTCTTTGTCAGAAGAAAGGTAAGTTAGGTTTAGTTTGAGTTAGGTTAGGTGTTAGATTATTTAAATTAATAGTATTAGTTTAATTAAGCGGGTATTATTTATTATTAACATAAACATTGATAAACTATGAAATACATTTAGTTGGCTTGGGGAGTAGAGGAAAAACCCGATGAAAAATTGGGAAATCCCAATTTTTAATCAAGTATGTTCACGTATCCTGGATTCATCCACCACCCCAATTAATACCGCTAGGATTTTGGCATCTCTGTCAAAAGAGTCAGGTGCATGGTTGCAAGCCTTACCATCCAGGAATTTAGGCACACTTTTAGACGATAATTCCTTTAGGATTGCAATTGGTTTGAGGTTAGGTTTAAAATTGTGTTTCCCCCATAAATGTGTTTGTGGTACACAAATAGATGAACTAGGATTACATGGCCTTTCATGTAAAAAAAGTGCTGGCAGGCACTCTCGACATACACAATGTAACGACATAATAAAGAGAGCCTTAATTTCTGCAGACATACCAAGCATTAGGGAACCATTAGGGTGTTGTAGGACAGATGGAAAAAGACCGGATGGTCTAACACTAATACCTTACAAACAGGGACGCTCACTAATATGGGACTTTACTTGTACAGACACTTTTGCCCCCTCTTATCTCTCTCACACACTTAGACATGCTGGCACAGCAGCAAAACTAGCCGAGACCAAAAAACACAAACTTTACTCTGAACTTGAAAAACAATATATCTTTGTTCCGGTGGCTGTCGAGACATCAGGAGTATGGGTGATGGAAGGGTTGAAGTTCATCCAAGATGTTGGGAGGAGGATGAAGGATGTCACTGGACCAATGTCAACAACATTTCTCATTCAACGGATCAGTTTGGCAGTTCAACGCGGGAATGCGGCATCAATCATGGGAGCTGTCCCCAGTCAACGAGGATTAGAGGAATTATTTTATATTTTAAATGATAGGTCGTTTTATTTACAAAAATCCTGTAAGGGGCCGAATGGTGATCTCGGACGCTTATCCGGATCAAGTAAAGGTTTTCCCAACCCACCAACATCGGGTTTTTCCTCTACTCCCCAAGCCAACTAAGTGTATTTCATACTTTATCAATGTTTATGTTAATAAATAATTTTCAACTGGAAAAACCCGATGTTGATTAGTTTAATACAATCTTCAGTCTTTCTTTCAGGTAGCACTACGATCCTGATGATGGAAGTGGATTCTTCCTTTGACGAGGACCAAGGTAATAAACTTGACCTTAAAGATGGGAAACGCACAAAATGGCAGCTACCTCCGTCACATATCGCTGTATTTTCGAATCCACCTGAATCTATTATCGCGACAACGACAAAGTCCAAACATTCTAGGCCACTACTTTTGTCAAGTACAGTCGATTCCCAAGGAAACGAAACTACGGGAACAACGAATATTCAGGATTGTGAAACGGTAATCGATGCAGATGGAGGAGGAGGAAATAATAACATAACTTTAGAAGATATTGCTGAAACTCTGGCAGCCCCTAAGCTAAGCCGATTGTGAGTAATTAATAAATAATATCCATGTTTAACTCATTTATATTTTATAACAAGCAGGACAATATTAAGCACAAGCACATTTAAGCTAATTATACTCTACCATATGTATTTTTAACAATGATGAGTAAGTGATCCTCCTGGTTAGTGTAGTTAATATTTTGTATTTATATTGTTTTTAGAAGCGTAATGGCTCGTGCAGAAATATGCCCAAAAATAAAGCGGGCAAGGCTGATGAGTACGAAAGGAGTCGCAGCGAAAATCATGGAGCAATATGGATATGACATTAGCAATACTACGTTTCTCTACGCTGAAGAAACTATTTACCTCCTGGAATTGGTAATTTCTTCTTAATGCACTGGTTCCCCTGCGAAGGGAAATAAACATTAAACGTCTACATTTTCTAATATTTTTATTACAGGGTAAATTAGAGGTAAATCTTGGACGTATGGCCTTAAGTGTTGAACGCGCAAGAGCTTTACTTCTCCACTCGAAATCTCACCCATACAATCCAGACTCTAATATTGCTCCAAGAGTTCGAACATGTTCGGTTGACGAGTATCTAGTTTATAAGCACTTATCCGAATTAGGTTATCGGGTTCGAAGACGAGATAGTGATGTTAAAATTAATGTTAGTCAATCAGTTTTATCGGCTTCGAGGGAGCGGTTGAGTCCCGTTGCATCAACCAGTGACGATGTTGAAATGGCCACAAGTGATTGTGGAAATCTTCTTGATGGGTGTCAAATGGACCTGGACGAGGAATCCGTACTGATTCCATCTGGAGAAGATGGTGTAGAAATATGTCAAGTGCCTGAATCGATTACACAATCGTTAACTAATTCATCATATGGATTAGGTAAAAATACTATTAATGACGATGGAGGAGGAATGTGTCAAAAAGGGACAAAGCGCAAGTTTGGAGAATTAAGCAGCGATAACACGCTTGGTTCAACAACGTCCTCAGCGAAGGACATTAGTGATGACGACTATGCTGATGAAGAATTCGAATTAACTCAGAATCCTGCCGTCAGTGAGATGGGAGGGTCGGGGGGTTTCGTGGACTCAACTGGAGACAATAATTCATTATTTTATCCAACAACCACATCTAATTACACTGTAATCGAAGCTGATTCGGATGTTGAGATTACCGATGAACCTGAACCAATAACAGGGCCTAGCTGCAATAATGGAGTGCACATTGAAGAAATTGGCTATTATTATGATGCGGATATAGAAGAGGATCCAGGAACCTCGAGCCAAGAACCTCGTATGTGAAATTAATTGCTTAAATTATATTGATAAACTATTAATTGAGTTGTTTATTTATTATATATTCAATTATTGACAACATTTTTTATCACAGAGCCATCAACTTCAGCAGCATGTTTCTCCAACGACTATCAACAACACGCAGTTGTGCACCTAGCAGACAGTGATTCAGAAACCGAAAATTTTCCTAACTTCCACAAGATGTGGAACAAGTTTGTGCCAAATGCGACAATCCAAATAGGGTTTCCCCCTGCAAGTTTGCTACCTCCAAACATTCCTTATAAGGAATCAATCTACGAGTTTGAATTGAAAAGCAGAGAAAGTACGCGTTCTGACTCTGATTTAGAGTACTATGTTGACGAGCTCACTCTAAACCCATCTCCTACCGAGTCGGATGGGAAACCAATACGCGTGGGGTCCTCTTGTCAGACTTGGACGGAATGGAGGGATGGCACAATGACTGAAGCACGAGGCGTTCTCAGTGAATCTCTCTTGAGACGATGTAGCATGTTTACCGGAAGCAGACAAGATCCAATGCAAAAACTGCATTTATGGGGAGTGAATAATAAAGAACCGCAATGTAAGCGAAGGACGGATCAAGGCTGGAAGGGATTCAATATTCCTTACGAATTGTTCCACCCATCCGTTGGATTCACCAAACAGAAAAACAAAGAAGAGTTTCTCCCAAGTTATGTCGTAGCAGTTGTGAGGTAAGGTCTACAATACCAACGACACCGAGAATGTTGGTTTTATGCTCATCAAGGAAATCTAAGTAAATGAAATTTACAACAATTTATATGTTTTATAGAAATGATGACCAAGTGCCTAGTTTTGCAGCTTGTGATTCACTGGTGAATGACATTCCAGTACTGATTGCTGTCGTCAGCGACGAATCAACTATTATGTTTATGAATCCTGACGGCTCGCCGATACCTTCGCTCTTCTAAAAGTTGAATGCATTCGCATTGAATTCGCAGTAATATAACTACGAATAGTCAGCATAATTGCCCGTCCGGTTCGCTTTTGGTGATGTTCTTGGCTCAAGTCAATTTTTAAAATATGATATACATTATTTTTTCCCTACATGACACGTTCGCGAGACATTAAGTTATAATGATACTTTATACTTTACCTGATGTCTTAATCAATCACCGCATTTATTTCTGATGTATTTAATTTTCATTTTGCCATTGTTTGTCTTTGGTTTAATAAACTTTTAAAGCTGTGCTATATAATGTTCCTTAGAAAGGAGACCAATTTTGAGTTTGGGCACACCCCAAAGCTTTCATAAAGATAAGAAAACCGAAGTGGTCCTGCAGAATTTACCAAATTTCATGTCATGATTGTCCAGACCATTAAATTGACAACAAAACGGACCCCTGACATTCGACCACGCGACGCGAGATCTCAGAAGGATGAGAAACATCAGAAACATCCTGACCATCAAACTGACTTACGATGTAAAAAACAATTATTTCGAGATGTACATAATATTTTATGACTCGTTCCTAAAATTGTGCCCGTGTTAGACTTCTAAAAATCTAAAAAGATAGGGAAAGTGGTTGGAGAAAGTTTAGCAAGCATAAGCAATTTATTACATAATCATATGAACCTGCATTGCCCCATGGTTCGGCTCGGCCTTTTCAAACACAAAACCGAGCATTGCAAGTTTATAATAATTTTTATTTTTTGATATTTTTTAAGTGAAAATTGAAACCTCTCTAACTCCTTGACTCAATTGATAACTAACATTTAAGAAAATTCACGGCAGATGTAAGTTTTTACTTTTTTGTGAAAATACGAAACGTGAAGCGTAATTTTTCTATGTAATTTTCATTTCAGTTTAGTCAAGTTCTACTACTGTGATGCCGACCGGTGACCGTGTGGCCGGTGTAACAAGTTCACAAGCTGGCTGCAGGTGACTGACCAGACATCAAAATGCTAAAAGCTTGATAAACAAATAAGATTACTTGCACCATATAATAATAATAATATATTAATTTTAAAATGGTGCATTTTTGCAATACAGGTAACTCATGTCTATTCTACGACATAAAATACCTCGGGTGTATCTAGTGATAAATAATGTTCGAAAGTTATGGCTGAGCCATCCTCAATACGCAAGGACACATTATCAAACGTTAGGAATAGGAAACGCGGCATCAAAAGCAGAAATCAAACGAGCCTACTACGACTTATCCATGAAGTACCATCCAGACAAGGATAAGGGAAACGAAGATAAGTTTAGAGACATCACCACAGGTAATATTTCTAATGTGAATATAATGCTGACCCTTTATATTAATAATATGATTGACAAATAAATCATCAACAAATGTTTTTTAAATAAATATTTTATTTACAGCATACGAAGTTTTGGGCAATCCTAGGCTTAGGCGATTGTATGACCGAGGTCTCATCTCGGACGAACAGCCCGATGCTTCAGTTCATTACCCCACGGAACCTGGGAGTGGATCCACTGGGTTCACCGAGAGTGACGTGCAGAGGATCAAAACGTCCGTAAAAACCTTTGACCAATGGACACAAGACCATATGAGCGAAACCTTTTCCAGAACCCAGTACAACAGAAGCAACCAAGATAAGAAAAATCGTGCAAAAGTGATGCACAGTTCAACCGGAAATGAAAATACAATTTTGCTCGTAATCTTTGGCTTAATTTTAGTGTTGATATGCTGTACGCCCGAAATTAAAAACAGCGATAGGAAAAAATCTTGATGATAAAGTCATTTAGTGTAATAATAATAATACATATGTCGTAGTGGGGTGAACGGGGTGAATATTATGCAGTCATTTAATAAATATTAAACAAATGAATCAATTACATCAAATATTATTAATTGTAGTTGACATGAAAAATTTTACTTGATAATAGCTAATAAATCCGCCATGATACATGTCATACACGTATGCATGTTTTTCAACAATACATTTCATTGCAATATTTTTCAATAAATAAAAACGGCGTTAGTTGAACTACATTAAATATACGTCTACCTACAAATATAATTGATTTGATATACTTATTAATGACCAGTTTTAACTGACTGATATATATAACTGTTGTTCCAACAACTTCTGAAATCGGAGCCATAATTACTACACCGTCTTATACGCATTATTTTATTAGGAATAACAGGCTTAATGACATCGCGGCATTGTACTACTAATTATTTCCTGAATTCCATCAATGTCCGAGCTACATATATATATAGCGCCAGGTCATTACCATTGCATTATTTTATTGTTCTGTTATTGGTTCAATATTACCACAATTATTCTAACAACATTAACCCCGACTCGGGGTCCCCGAGTTTCAATTTACAGAATAAAGAATCAAACTCAAGCAACCAGACTTGTAATGATCCTCCTGATCCTTATATGTAAAATATAACATGCAAAGTAAATGTTATATATTTACATTATGTAGGAGGCAATGTTAATGCAATGTTACATTGCATTGGCCAAAAATACCGGTCATACCGTTATTCTGCAATATAATCATATTTACAAGAAAAGTAAAAAAGAGTAAAAAAACATGTACATAATTTGATTCATAAACTCAGATCAGTCTTAAATGTTACAGCATCTCGTAATTAAATATTAAAACCATAATCCTTTTTTTCTTAACACTTATTTGTACAATTTCATGTCTTTGGATCATTTCCATATTACTTTACCATATTTTTTCGTACTTTTGAAGTATCATTGCTCAATTCTTCCAAGTACATAGTCTCAACTGCGTACACGGCACAGATACATACCGAAACATACAAGTTATTCTATATCAAAGCAAAGTGAGTACATAATTTTTATTTTTTATTATTACAATGCAAATGGTGGGTAGAACGATGGATTTGTCTTGCTATAACATAACCTATAACAGAATGTCGTCGATGAATGATATGCTATATTTAAGGTTAAAAAATGAGACGTAAAATGTCAACACTACCGAGTTTGCGCAAAATTAAGGGCAAGAACAATTCGTCGCCGTCCTGGTTCGTCCAAACTAGCCCCATTGTTATGTTCACTTAACTTCACTATTAATATTATTATTGCTGACATAAGCACTGTTCACCCTATTAGAGGCTAAAATATTCTCATATTTTGCAACCAAGAGGCTCACGTTTTGTCAATGGTAAATCTTTGGCGCAGAGCGATCATTCACTGTTCTCGTAGGCTTTAGTTTTGTTCCTCGTCGAATCTGATCCATTAAAGAGTCCCGGCAAGAGTTTGGGTCAGGCACGGTTTTGGAAGAAATCCATTGACGGACTCGAATTGCTCTGGATATTTCTCCAAAGCTGTTTCCCTTTTGATGAGAGGACACAGATGCGACTAGTTTGGATGCAAAACTGGTTGGTTTTGGATTCGGTGGTGGTTGATGTGCTCCTACGTGCGAGGGGGAAGAGGAGGACGAGGGGGTTGAAGAGGCGTGTGTGAATGGATAAGAGTTCTTCCTATCCGTCTGCGGACCCTGACGCATTTGACTAAGTTTTGCAGAAAGCGTCTGGACAAATATATCTTTGGACGTGACCAGAGGAGCAGAGGAAGTAATTTTGCTCCCAAGGACACTATTTTTAACCAGTGTTGCAGTCGTCTTCAATAATTCTTCAGAGAACCTCCGCGGTGGTTTAGGAGTACCACCGTTACTTTGAGAAATTGTTATCGACCCATCGCTTCCTTGATAGTGAAGTTGCTGATAAATTGGCTGGGATGCGAGAGATTGTTGGTAAACCTGAGAATAGATTGGCTGAGATTGTTGCGAGTATTGTTGGTGTTGTTGCTGATGAGTAGTGAGTTGCTGATAAATCGGTTGACTTTGGACATAATTATTATTTGGGGTACTTTGAACGCTTGCGACTGTACTGCTCCCATATGGATGGTTGTTAACCAACTTTTGATTAAGGGCAGTGGTTTGCATCATCATGGTGTTGGATCTGCTTTTATTGTTGAGAGAAATAGTAGTGGAATCCACATTATTGCACGATCCACGTCTACTGTTTGGAGTGCTGCGAACTTCTTTCTCTTTGGATGACTCTTCTCCAGCCTGTCGCATTGACTGTGCTCGCCGAATCATGTGGGGACTGTGAGGGCTCACTGGATGGTGATTTTTATCCGTCAAGTTCTTAATTGTTTCAGCCACACTCAGTGTCCTTTTGGTATCGTCAACCCCAGCAGGAATTGGTCCAGACTGACCATGTGGTTTCTTCTCAGCATTCAAGTAAGCAGGGGGTGGAGGCGGAAGGCTTTCCATGGATGCGTGTGGAGTAGTTTCTCCGCTGTCCATAGATGATCCCTGAGACCCTGACAATGAGTGAGAATTGCTAGACTGAGAAGATCCATTGTACGTTGGGTTGTGGATGTAAATAGGGTATCCTGGCGCATTTGGATTTTGAGTTTGCATAGGAATGGGCTGTTGTTGCTGTTTACTAATCGTAAGCGAGGGTTGCTGTTGTTGCTGATAATTATTCATTATGGGAGACGAATTATGAGGCATCATTGGCACAGGCGAGTTTCGAGAGGGGGACGCAGAAATGACCTATTTTTTATAACATAAAAAGAAATGAGCGATTGTTAATCGGGATAATAAAACTTCGTATATAAAAAATGTCTTCTCAGAACTCCACTAAAGGCTCCAATAAAGCGATTGTTCGTTTACAGAGTCAATGCAAGAAGAAAATAAGTGGGAATTTATTTAAAGAAATGGATGGACAGTCAATTTTAACAAACCGGGTCAATTCATACAAATAACAAGGTCAATCATAACAGTAAAAATTAAATTTTGGTGACATTTCCCAGGACCTGGCGTAGCTGAATCGGGTAGCGACCATGTTGAAACATCTGGTCACCAGACAATCCAATTTCGCCCACGTAAACTGGAGGGACACCTTCCCATGCCAGACGGATGGCATGCCGGATCTCCTCTTCACTGCAGACGGAGAGGGACGTCCATTCCATGTGCTTGTTGATGGTATCAAACTTGACACCATCCACTCGAAACCACATGTACAAAAATCCATGAAGCTGTAACATAAAAAATATATAAATAAAGATAAATGATATGTTTAAATTATGAATAATTCCTTACCTGACGAAGTGCTTCCTCTTTCCTAGCCAGTGTCCTGGAAGCAAAAGTCATGACATCAACTTGAATTGGGGTTCGTCCCTCGGCGCGTGCATCTGAGATGGCGCTGAATTTCCTGGAGTCATGATCAGCCACACTTTCTCTACTATTGACCCCAGTATAAACACCAATTTTCAAGTCTTCTTCCTTTCGGGTGATGATTTCTTCGCAAATTCTTCTCGCTGAGCCAGAAAACTGGGTACCTTCTGGTGTGATTACGGTGTACACAGTGTGGCTTGGGTCATAGTTTTCCATTTTTGCTCTGAATTCCATCCTCCTTTTTACGACTTGACTCTTGCGAGATGCATCACTTTTCGGACGAGACTTTTTAGCTGGAGGGGAATAGCCAGGTCCTGGAAATTGGTCACATTCTTCTTCAATCTTAGCTTTCTTGACCTTTGGCATCTCAACCACCAGATCTTGGCTCCATTTGGGGTGGATGAGGCTTCACAGTAAGTCCGCTTGCAGGCGTTCTTCGTGCAGATTAAGGGGATCCCTCTTACGCCCTCATTGATGACATTTTCAATTTTGGCGTCACTTCCATGAGCCATCTCATTCCTTTCACGATGTTGGTTGAGAATGTTGTACTGCGGAATGCCAGGAACTGGTTCATACTCCGCATCAGTCATGGCTAATTCCTAATCAAATAAAAAATAATGTAAAAACTAGCAGTGAAATATATTTCCTTTAAAAAAATAAACACTTACGATTAAACACGCTTCGTATGTACACATCCGCTTGGTTTTTTCGGCCCACTCCCCAGTAAATTCCTCCCTGTGCAGGCAAACCACCGTCAGACCCTGACTTGCAGCTGTTCCGAGTGGAGAAGACTCCGGGTTATCTTCATGATGACGGTGGATGTCGAGTGATCCAGAGGCATCTCGTCCAAAGTACAGCCATACCTGCTCCGGATGATCCTGAATGAAGCTGCGGATGTCGACCCCCTTGTTAAAATCCTTACCGAGGACCGCGGCGATGTAGACAACAAATGGTTTCAGATCACTTAGGTGTAGTTTGTACTCCATATGCACCTTAACCCAATTAAGCATCCAATCAATTTCTTTGTCGAGATCAGCCAGTGGTCTGGGAAGAACTAGAGTCCGTTGTTCTGGCATGTGTGTGTAACAGACTGGACTTTTAATCTTCATTTCAGATTCACTAAAAAAAAACAATGAAAATAAAGTGAAACTCAAAGAATAATAGTAAAAAATTGTTAACAACTGAATGACCAAACTTACCGGAGTTCTTGTAGAGGCAAAACGGGCGTGTGATGGAGAAAAATATGCTTCACTAGGTTGGATTTTAGTGTGTACTCTTTATCACAACCCAGTTCCTGGCATCTGAAAACTGTTTCTCCATCTTCATTTTCTTCTGAAACACTAATAAATTAATTATTAGCCAGGATACTGGTAAAAATAGAGTAAAAATATTTATTTACAGTTCGCCGTGTTTATTGTATCCAACAAATGATGGCTTGTCCTGGTGGATTTGTTCATGAATGTAAAGGAACTCCTTTCTGCAGAAGTATTGTGCGCATTCTGGTATTGAACATTGATATTTGTGCAAAACGTTGACTCCGACTACATCACTATTAAGAGATTAAAAAATAGCAAAAATGTACCTAAAGCATGTTTTTGCCAGTGCCTGGGAATAAGTTAAAGGTACTTACTCATCACTTTTGGCGTAATGCTCCTTCTCATGGTCATATCTGTCCTTTACATCATTGAATCTTGCATCACATGATGGTAAACTGCAGTTGTAAATCGTGTTGCCAGTAACTGGGTCCTCGGTACCTCTCCTAAAAAGATGGCAAATATTTAATAAATACTTGAGTAAATTATGTATTATTTTTACCTGTAAGTGGGACACTGCCCTCTCTTTCTGATCCTTCTTTCTTCATGCCTGGTGAGAGAATCGTTTCTATCAGTCGAATACTCACAATGCACACACCTAAAACGTCTGAAAAGAACAGCAACAAATTAGTATTTAAATTTGATAACAATCAGCCAGGATCCTGGTAGTAGTAGTATAAGTTTGATAAGTAACTTACCCAGCCATTATCCATATAATCGTCGTCGACTGACGGTAGAATTATTTAGATTGTATTATATGTACTATTTCTAAAACAATGAAAAAACGTCTAAAACTTATTCGATTAACTAAAAAATCGACCACTACTCGTTTTACACTCTCCTACTAAATTAACCGTCACCACGTTGCAAAATTTTCACTTTTTAAGTTTATGTAAATATTGTTTTGGAGAAAGAATTTGAGAAAAACCCAGCATGCATAGTCCAGATCCTGGCTTATTACTTTGTTTGCTTGCTCGTAAATCGCAAATCCACCACCACCACCCGGGGAAATCATATTTCATTATTTCCTATCAGCCGGACAGTCATCTCATCCACTTGTTATTCTTATTACTCCTGTTTGAAATTTAGTTAACATTAAATGTATTATTGTGGTGGTGGGGGTGGAGGGGGTGGTGATAATCGTGGTCGCTTTCCATTAAAGAGTTGGGTGAGTTTTATTTACAGCCAGGATCTGGATTTTTATTTGTAATAATTGTTTGCATAATTATTTCATTTCATATTTTATAGGAAATGGATGATGGCGGTGAGTATGGAGAAATTACTCTATTTTTTGGCGACGGCAGGTCGTGATGTTGCCATCACTGCGGGGGAACGCCAGAGTCTGGCAAAAAAGGATATAGAGGTGACAATAATGACAATTTATTCGATTGTTCATAATAATGTTTGATTAAACATTATAACATTTGTGTCATATTTTAATTATTTAAAGCTCTGGAGCCGAAATTTTGACTTTAGTCGTCAACTGGACGAACTTTACCATCATATGGGGAAAACGACGTTGTCGAGCGGAGAAGCGGAGAAGCGGAGATTGATGGATAAGGAGATTGATTTTATGGTAATCATTTTGCTAATATTGGTAATAAATGCATGATTATTATTATTATCATATTAACTAATTAAATAATTTACAGTATGCAAATTTAAAGTCGGAACACGAGAAAGTGGACATGCGCCAGAACCTGGCTTTGTCACTTGAAAGTGGAACATTTCGACCAATGACAAATCACCCTAAAAGTCTTGGGGTTATTTTATTTACCGAATTTCGTCGAATTGGTGGAGCTGGTTTTTCCTGAGCTCCACAAGAGTTCCTTCTCGACCCTGTTCCGGAACTCGTAGCAGAAGCTGAAGAAGCCAAAGTTGGCTGTCTCCCAGGAGGACAACCTAGAAAAAGAGGAAGTCGAGTTAATTTTTTTCTCCATCACACATCTGGGTGCATTTAAGCCATCACACATCTACTCGAGATTATGTGTTTTGATTTAATTTCAACTCTTTCATCTTTCATGCATCCATAATTTGTAACGTCGTCGTACTAATCTATTCACGAAACTACCAAATTATCCGAGAACGTCAAAGCTTTGCACAAAAAAATATACAAAATTATCACATAAATTGCTTCAATAACACCCGAGTGGATTTTTTACGAAACATTTATTGTGTTAAAGTAATCTCGGAGAAGCCGGCAATTAACCTCTAACGAACAATCGCGGCTGGTTTTTGCTATCTCCTTTATTGATGAGTAGTCAGACCGACCACACCTCCACAATGTACATATGCGCATGTATTTTGGAGAAATCAGTACAAAAACAAAATAAATCCTCGTTTCGTTTGAAAGAAATGCAATTGCATTTCAGTTTGTGATGCTTTTGAAATGCACACAATTTGAGTTCTTATTCATTTCATCTCATTTATCAGTGAAGCAATTTATCTGTTGTTTTTGGTGTACCTCGGATGATTGGACGACTACGACGCGATTGGGGACAGTTGTCCAAGCGTCTTGGTAATGTACAATAGCCCGGGATATGCATATCATCCTCACAAAAGTAACAAACTTGAACACCAACAGGCACCAAAACTAAAAATTTGAGAAAATAAATTAACAAGGCAAAAATTAAATTATTCTAAAAAATTACGCACTTATGTAAAGTTTAAAAACTACAAATACATTAGTTTAGAAATCATAAAAATAAAATTACGTTTGTTATCATAGCTGGGCAACGAGGACAATATGTCAGCATTGATTGTTCCACATCGTTCTTCATAGATATTAGCGAGGGATAAATAGCGATACAAATTTTAGCAGCATGTATTTACATAACTTCACTCCCAGGAATTGGACGTCATGTTTTTAATATAACAAGCTGGAATTCGCAAAAAATCATGTTCATGCAAAAAACACAAGTGGAAGGCTTACAAAATAAAAAATGCACACGAAAACAACAGCAGAAATCACAAATTATAGTTTATTGTAATTATGCATAAATGTATAATTGAAGGCAAGTTGCATTTGGTAACATTTCGGTTAAGTAACTTGAATTATAATACATAATTCTACCCGATTTGTGGAACTAGTCGTATTACTAACTAACTACAGTTTGTATACGTACAATTCAACATTTTTTGGTTTTATATTCAAGACCAGCTATAGATTTCAAAGGTTTGGTCAGTGACCTATTTATCATTAAAGCACCACGTGAATCGAGTCGACTAATAGAGTTTTGTAGCAGGTAATTATTGACGACCTGTTATTGGAATTATTTGGACGGAATATACCAGTTTATACCAATTGTTTTTGGGGAGCATAAGGTTTTACAAATGTAAATGCAGATTTGTAGTTAAATACATAAAATTGAATGCAGGATAATTATTAATCGAATGGAGTACTTTTAATAATAAGAATATTTACGAAATAACTAATGGCTGAGACAAGTGGGACATTAATTTGTAATGTCTCGTGGTAAATTTATTTGAGAGTCGAGTAGAAGGATGTGCAACCGATGAAACAGGTTGCGCATCTTGAGATGCCTTGAGGAAGGAATTTTTAGTGAGACTCTGAATGGTGGTTACCCACCTACAGCTATATTTGGTAGCAATAATGTGGTTCATCTTAAACAAAATCTCGTTTTTTAGCTACTAGTCGATACTGCATAAACGTAGAATGTGCTGGTGCAGCAATTGAATGTGGGCGAGGCAGGCTATTATTCCTGTGTAGCATATTATTGTTATAATTATGATACTGTTGTTGCTGCTGCTGGGTGCTATCACCACACCCCTCGCCACCACTGCCAGCATTGTGAAACAATGCTCGTCCATCTAATACGGGCACATACGGCGCAGTGGGGTTGTGTCGTCTATCATGAAGTTCAGCTTCCAAAGATTCAGGTCCACAACTTCCAAAAAAGGTTCTCCCGTTCAGATTAGTGTCAGTATTACTACACCCAACAAAACCGTGCCCACTATTCATAAAGGAACTATCGAAAGACATGCTGTGTTGAAGAGAATGACGGTTGCGATTTTGTCGTAGGTACGCTATTCCACTTCCTTGCGCTAAATTACTGACATCTGCACTTCTACTGTCACTACTACAATTACTGTTGAAATTATTATTGTTATTAAACTGGTCGTTCAAATCGGAGGGTTCCAACTCCTCCACCCCATCGCCTCGCGACCCCTCAGGAATGTCGTAGAGCGGGTCACTACCTCTCAGCACAAAGGAATTGGGAGGTCGTCCTGAATTGTTGTGAAATTGGGAGGGGTTAGAGTTAGAGAATGAGGCAGAGATACTGTTCATTGAGTTAATCATGCTTTGAAGTTCCATGCGAAAATCATTACTAGACGGCTTAGACCGAGAAGCAGGGACAGATCCAAACTGATCACCTTCTTGTCCTCCCGTGTATCCATACACTGGGGTTTGTTGCTGCTTGAGATGCATAGTGTCCTCGAATTGACCACCGACCTGACTTCCGTATCCACTGGATAACCCTCCGTCTCCATTCCGTCCGCCTCCGTCCACCTAAACACATTAGAAATTATACATTTTTAACTGCTCAGGATACATTATGCTAATAATTTCAAATTATAATATTGCATGCCGAATTGTCTGTAATATTGTAAACTGCTGATGCATTGTTGTATTTTAGGAACCTGAGTGGTTTAGTAAGAAAAAAGAACTGATTCTGCTAATTCTCAAGGAATCTTTATGGCAGGTTCTTGGCTTCTTGCTAATAAAAACAGATCATTGATTCCCCCATATCTTATTGGTCTTGCTAGCCAAAAAGACGTAGTATAGAAGAAGAATTATAGAAAAAGCGGAATTACAGAGATAGGATTAAAAAGACGAAAAAGTTGGTCTTATTTGTACGGATTCCAATAGAACAAAAAATTGACAAGCCGTGCTAAAGGAAAATACAGCGAAGTGTTTTTTTGTGAGACACGCACATCTACGAGTCTCAGATTTAAACGCACAAGAATATACATACCATGCAACTTTTGTGTTCGCATCCATCACACAAATTATGCACTTTGTGTAGTCAAGTGAGAAAGAAACGCACAAAGCACGAATTTGTATTCCCTCAGACCATTAGTTATGATAATGACAAACCACAACTAGGAAATGTGCGTTTGTAAAAAAAAACTTCCACTTCAAAGCGAACTTATGTAATAATAGTGGAGGAAGAAGATGCACTTATTGCAAGGACATTACACTGTGGCGAGCAACACCCTTCATTAGACGTACTTTGGCACATATTTATCATAATTCAGTTCGTTTATCTTTTTCGTTCCCACACACCAGCGAACGAACCGAACCCTGGAATCCTATCCTAAGTCATGTCTTTACATAGGCAGATAAACTCCTCCGCTAACTCCATAAGCATTTAACTGCATGGCGTTGTCACAACTTTTAACTAATTACAGGCGTAATCTTTGTTACTTGTATAATGTATGGTAAATATAAGTAAAATATGAGCAATCAATCTTTTTCGTGCTGATAATTAACCCACGAGCTTGCGTGTTTTAGAAAGAACCAACACTGTGGGGGTTGACAAATGACAGTATTTGTTGCCTATTTTGGACAATAACAGTCAAGCATTGAATATTCCAGAGTGTCTCACAACGCCTATTATTACCTACAATTTATCGAAACCAGTTCATGTCTTCAGAGTTAGTTCTAGTCATGCACCAAACCCACGTCTTTTCGATTAGAGTCGTTATTATTTGAACCCGAGGGCTTAATTTAGTAAATCTTACAAAAACATGGCGATGCGATGCAGCTTCAGTCAGTAACCTCGCCATGTACAGGGTTTGGCACGTACGTGGATACGAATTTGACCTTGAATAACCCCGGAACGGTTTGTCGTAGCGGGTCAAAATTTTGAACAGAGGAGCATGTTATCCTCAGATACGCGTGTGCAAAGATTCAACTTTCTACTTGCAAAAATGCCTCCCCCACAGCCCCCAGAAGTTCAAACACTCATTTTTACTCTTTCCAAATTCCGTCTAAAAAATTCGATCTCCGCAGAAAATTTTTGTTTTCAAGTATCCGACCCCAAATAAGTCCATTTGACTTATGTCGGGGGATTGTACAGGTATTTCACTATTCGAAATGATTTTTATCCCCAATCTAGCTTCAAGGTCCTTTGCATTATCTTGGATCAACTTTGCCGTCTGGGAAGACGCTCCGTCATGATGAAAACTCACCTTAATTATTTTTTTACCGTGCAATTTAAGAAAGTGATATTCTAAAAGTGGTTTCTATACACGGTCCACATCATACTTCGAAGATTCCTTCACTTTTTGGGGGACTTTGATAAGTGGGAGGACACCATGACCCGACATTGCACCCACGACCATCAACTGTTTAAAAAAGTTCTCCTTACAAAGAAGCACCAATTTGAGTGAATTGTTTTCGACATTTGTCGTGTAGTAAGCTCTTCGAACCTAATTAGTAACTTGTAGAGAAATTAGTGCTTCGTCAAATGTCACTAATAACTCACTCTTATTCCTTCACAAAAAATTCGAATAATTTTTTTTGTAAACACGGGCGCGATTTTTTTCCTATTTTTCAGTCAGCTGATGCACACGGCTTTTCCGACGAAGTTGTTTCTTCAAAATGTTAATTTCTCTTTTCACTGAACGCTTAGACACCCCAACCTTACGGGAAATTTCCTTTTGGGTCAGTGGATTGTTTTCGAAGGTCAATAGGTCAATTTTCCTATGCACGGTCGAAATTAGCACTTTTTTTGCCTTCTTTCAGGGGGTGGTGGTTGCCCTTACTCAAAATTTATCGCTTTTCACCTATATTTTTCAATACCCTATTGATTGTAGATTTCGAAATTGTTTTCCATTCACTTTTAGAATGTTTAGCAATTCTGTTGTACGAGTATTTAAGTTTGGAAAGAGGTTTTATGGGTGCCTCAGCTTCTGGGGGCTGTGGGGGAGGCATTTTTGAAAGTAGAGAGTTGGTTTTTTGCACACAACTATTTGAGGATAACATGCTCCTCTGTTCAAAATGTTGACCCGTTGCGACAAACCGTTCCAGGGTTATTCAAAGTCAAATTCGTATCCACGTAAGTGCCCAACCCTTCTGTAGATGCAACCAGAATAAAAAGCTGTTGTTTTGTATTGTCTGCTGCGATGGGGAAGAATGAATTAAATTGCATTTTCAGCTTACGACGCAGAGAACATTAATTACGAAACAAAGGATCGTGGTAATCAAAGCCAAAAATTCTTATCTGCCTGAGAACATGACACCACTTCCATATTTTGCCCGTCACTCGGCTCGAAATTTGTCAGGCGCAAAGTTTGGATCATCAGAAAACATGCAGGAATTTATCAAGATGAGATAATATCTCCTTATTTGTTCTTCGAATTCCAAACTACACATGGAAAGAAGAATGAATGAGCATCACACTCTGTACATGCAGCATTTACGCCGAGGCGTTGTTCACCCCTCCTCACAAACTAAACCCGTCACACTTATTACAATGCAGTAATTCTTCTCTTCTCACATGGATTGACAAAACGCTAGGGTAAAACCATTTACATTAAATCGCAGTAAGTCTGAGGTAGGATGCAGAGGTAAATTTGCGTAGTCAGCAAATTAATATGATGAGTCGACATGTGCATATGTCGTTGAAAGTGCATTATATATGTGCTAACTGATATTTTGGCTGTTTCATCCCTTCCACGGTACCACCATGTTGGAGACCTAGGAAATACAGCGGCCAATAACTTGGTTAGCTCAGTTAGCATAGCACATAATACACCTTTAATAACGTTACAGCTTATGTCATTACAAGACAAGATAGCAAACAGTTTGTCATGCTAAAAAGACTGGAGTACATATGCCGTGAAGTTAAATTGGTTCGAATGAGTGTTTTGTTCTACATAATAGAGCACGATTTCTGGCTATTTCTCTCAGCGATAAGATCAGAAAATCCAGCCTAACAGTAACCATTGTTTTTTGATATTTCAACAGGCTCAATATTTATAAAAAGAGCGTGCATCGTGGTAAATACATGTACTGCACTTGGACTATAGTAAATAAATGTACTTCATAAATTCAACTGAGGCCAAAGTTCGTGGTCATTTTTAAAGCATAGGTGAATATATTTATTGAAAGAAATCGTCCGTATATAGCAAAAAAATAACAATTGCAGGACGCACACCAATCTAGCAAGGTCTTAAGTAAGATCTACATATTGAACAATGTTCCACGTGGAGAAGGAAGGCTACACGCTAATTCACCATCATTGCAACACAACACCCACCCATCCCTTATTTTAACACAATACATAATGCAATGTTGTTGGGGTCACACACCATGGAAAATTCAATTAGACGTTGACATGAAATGAATTCACGGCTTATTTTTTGTACAAAATTGTGCTAGCGACTTTTCTCCATGATCTAACGTAGATACATACATTCGTAATGGCTTGAGTGAAATACGAGAGTGTAATGTTACTTGTTAGACGCGTACCTTGTTTGCCATCAATTCCGGTGGGGGAGGTGGTAGGTCCATCTCCTGCCGTTGCCTTTTCTCCTTGGCCATTTGAGTTAAATCGTGCATATTGACATACATTGGCTGTGGGACAACTGTAAGAGGTTGGAAACGGAATTATTGAAGTAAAAAACATATGATAAGTAAGTAAGCTATGATAAGTAAAAAACAAGGAACTCGTAAATTCAATTGTTACATTATACTATTAAATTACACAATGTGTTCCACTTTTTGTCTGGAATGGATGAGACGTTGCAGTTAAACTAATCGCATTACTCTCCAAGGAACCATTATAACCTTAAAGATATTCAATTCAACATATTCAATTAGAGACTCTGCTCAACGACGGAGTTTTTTTGAGACGGTGCAAGATATCGTATTCTTTGAACTCCCAACAGTTTTGTATACTTACAGTCTCATGAGCTTAACGAGATATGCATATATAGAATCATACAGTTGTGTGAAATACGTCAAAACCTTGGAGCAAATATTATCATATGCATATATTGCCCCTCACAATTCATATTATATTACTATACCTAACTATGGATGCACACAAGAGCAATATTTCTTGCCTGGAGTCTGGAGACGACACATGCATAGGGAAAAATGGCAGCGTTTTATTGAACTCTATTCATGGGAACAGGATGAAGGATTATAATCTGGCAGGAGCCCAAAACCTAAATGGCATCCAGGATCATAGCAGAGAGCGGCATGAGAAGGAAGGTGGTCTTCCTTAATAAGGAAGTTTGTAAGCTGAGACTTCCTTGGAGGACACTTGGAAGTAAATCAGAAGAACGAGTTTGACCACGGTTAATGTCTAATGCATGCTGCTTTCTCCATCCCTCCCCGTCGTAGCAACAGAAAGCAGTCTACAAGCTGGTGGGGATAGTGGACATTATTAGTCCAGCTGCAGTGAAATACCAGGCGGTGGATGGATGAGGGTGGTGGGAGTCACGATTAATCGATTGGCCTGCGACATTTCTATCAGACCCTTTCACTTGCAAAAGTAAAACTTTCTCCCCCTCCTCTTCTATCATTCACTCGCACTGCCACTGGTCCAACCAAGGCACAAAATTCTTTCGATCTTGGTCCATTGTTCAAACTACCACACAGCGACCACAATGCAAAGAGTGAATGGACTCATTCTGTAGTCACAAGATAAAAACTTTATCCTCTCCACTGATTCCCGTCATAAAAAATGAATGTAGGAGAAAGTGTTCGCCAATAGGAACATCCCTTCTCTCAAAGAAGGCAACCTTGATAACGACTGACACCTCGATGTCACTTTTATCGGGAAAAGGTGTTCAGTAAATTAGAAATACGCCAAATACTTTTTTTTTCTACGTAATGCATTGCTGCATCTTCAGAGTCAGCCTACCTAACGAAGCAGAGACAAACCGTGCTTAGCTGTCAACTATAATAACACTTTGGCGAGCCCTCTTAGTACACTTGCCGTCTTTTCCAGTCAACCACAATTACGACCTCCTCCTAATATTCTGTTATACCTCCAACATCGTCGAGGAGGACCCTACATGACGTAATTCTAAAACTGTTCTTATTCGTAATGTCCTCGTATATAATGATCAAATTGATGAAGAACATTGGGGAGGAGGAAAAAAGAGAGGAAAACAATGGTTCTTACTCATGTCTTCTGCGGACTGATTGAAATCAGGAACATTGGAAGCGTAAATTTTGTTGATATTATCCTTCTCCTCCTGTCGCTGCTGCTGTTTCTTGGCCTCTTTGGATTTACTATTTTTAGGCAGAGGTTTTGGAATTTGTCCGCCACCTGCGGCGGATTGTGGACGTTCGAGAGATGAACATCTTTTCGGAACCGGGGGTTTCGCATCAATCGACTTTCCTCTCAAAATTCCATAAATTTCGGAAGCACTTTGATATATTCCTCCTAAATTTATTCAACACAATCAGTCATACATATCAATGAGCGATGAGATCAACGCTTGAACATTTCCTCTTTTTTTTAGAGCAAGAAGATTCAAATATTTTTCATACCTCCCAGGCTGTGTGACTGCGAGTCTAGGATCACGGGCGTTACGACGGGCGTAGATGGACTCTCTTGATGATTTGCATCGTTGGGGTTTGGGGGTTGAAATGTATACACTGTCAACGGCGGTCTTTGATGTCCACGTTCATACGCTGAAATAATTCCATAATAATGATAATAATTATTGTTAAGCAAATATATAATACGTATAATGACGAAATCTTCAGCATTCGAATGCGGTGGTAGCCAACCATGATTGAAAAGTAATAGAAACGATAATTGCATTGTGATATTATTCACAATCAATAATTCTATCAGCAGCATCAACTATCATCAGAAGTCAGTAGTATTTCAAGCACACGCACATAATTCTACAACTGTAAAGTTGCAAGTGGTGGTGGTGAGTGATGTGCATAGACCAGATACACATTTGAAAATTTTCAACTTGCTTTCATGGAACATAAATAATTCATAAACCTGTCGGAGGGATCAAACAATGCAAAACATTTGAATTTTTGTACATCATGCAAAAGTAGAATAGCGTAGGAATAACTTCCAGTCCAACTACTACGAAGGATCATGTATGTTATAGCACAAGAATGATAAATGATCAGGATGAGGCAGACAAATCTCTCCACATTTCAATGCTTCCTTTCAACATCATCATTCGTAAAACACATTTTGTACTAGCTCTTCAATCAAGTTGCAATCCACAACAACCAAACCACTAAATTTACTGCGTCCATTCCCATCCTACATAATTTCCATCATTCAAAGTGGACTAATCTCATACTAACTTGTAGTGAGAGACGTATTGAAAATTGCAATAGCTGCAGTGTCGCAATTCACATTTATTCATAGCACCGCAACTTAGGAGTATTATGACTACATCGTATGTCTTCTTTTGCGTCAACCCAACAAAATATGCCAACTACTTGAACTATGAGTAACATGACAACTTGCGACTTACCTGACGAAATAGTGTGCGGCCTTTCATTCATAATGGCACAAGCTGCCCTTTCAAATTGCATGGAATCCTCTAGATTAGGCCATGTAGTGAGGGCCGTGTTCCCTGGTGGATATGGCGAAGACGGTGTGCTGGAATTACTGCTAGCGGTAGAACTTGTATTACTTCCTTCAGATTGGTTCCCAGGCTAGAAATAGTAACAAAGCAGACTTACACAGTATACATAAATCTAGTATGTACGCACATGTACTGGGTTTGATATTTACAATGTGATGGTTGGTCACATCCTGAAGCATGAATTCTAAACAACATGGTCATTTCTCAAATTATGGAAACCGTCGGGAAAACGCATGTTTAATAAACACATTTAAAGGAAATCTACAGTGTAAAGTGGTACTGATGATATCAGCAATTTTAACAGTTCCAACATAAGTACTGCACGAACTTGACAATTTATTCATGTCAATGTATAGTTTTTCCAACGGGACACTTCGTCTTGTTGCTTTCTGACTACTAATATCCTATATACTTAACCGAAACAATTACATAACCGAAACAAATGGGGGAAACTATAGAACTAATCTTTCCTCGTGATAAGATAGTGCGAGATAGTCTAACTACGTTACGAAGTTTACATGTATTATACTCTCAGGAAACTCCAAGGCTCCTGAAACGTATTTTCCACATGTGACATGCAAGCTTACAACGACAAATGTTCAACGCGAAGTACTTTAAATGTGATTTAGAAGACAACCCAACGTGCATAGGAAAGATACGCTAATTTGGAATGACATTCCAAGAAATGAATAAAATATATAGCTTCCAATCTTGCACAGATAAAATTCTCAACGGTAAGTTCGGGAACTCATGAATGACTGGGATTCCAGAACATATATTAGACTTCCTTTCTCGCTGATAGAAAAATTAGGAAATAGACGTAACACTGGAGAAATACATGTCCTCTCAAATACGTATGTAGGACCGACAAGTAAAATAATACAGTAACATTGAGCAATATATAAAGTAATAACAAAATACCTTATTGTGCTGAGGAAAGAAAGATGTGTAACGAGAAAACAAAGTATCCTGAGACGTGAATCCGGAATCTTGAGATGAGACACTTGAGTACCGTAAAGTACCAACTTGACCAGGTATCATCACAGGCTGATTCCCCCAAACATGGTCAACATAAAAGAAAATTAAAACAAACAAAAGCAAAATAAATATTTTAAAATCACGAACCAAAATTATAAACAAAGGACACTCAAATTCATACAGAATTGGTAAGGCGAACAATAAAAAGAAATAAACCTTTGAGCGTATGACATAATCACCGCAAGGGTCAAGCCAAATCTAGTCTCATATTTTCAGTGTAACAAATTCTGTATTAGTGAGCATTGCCCAAAATGTAGATACGATCTATTTGATTATTGCTTCATTCACATTCTTGTGTCACTTGATGCACGCAGAGCCATAAAGTCATTTCATCCCCGGATGATAATGACCAAGCAGCCCGAAAAGGAATTAAGCAAACATTGATGAAGCAGAAATGCATTCAACTTTTAGTCCACTGTTCCTACATAAACGGGCTTGAAATGACATACAACGAAACCGATTCATCTCGACATGTCCTTATTACACAGGCAACGTAAAGTACAGCCAATTACATGCTGCATAATATCTTCTTTGATAATCAATAGTGATGATGGATTGTCGAATAATTGCTTCACGACACGTCTCTTTTTCCAATAGTGTTGTCCAATGCAACAATTACAGGTTGTTGGAGTCAATGTTTATCTTGAGCTCGATAGCACAAGAAGGAAAGCTCATGTCAGATGTATGCAAACACTGTCAATCTTGCAGCCAAATCTCTTTCTTTACTCAATAGCTTAAAGCATGATGATTTATTTACACAGGAAAAATCTACAACTCTACGCTGCAGCCTTAACTAAACATAAGGACCAACAGAAACTTGTATGTTGGCGTCTGGAAAATGCATCGGCCTTTTCGAATGCTGGAATTTCTTCAAGACTGGCTTTGATAGCCATGCAGGGTGCTGAACACGTAATAACTCATACTCATTGCCATCATGGTCCTACTATTCTATTACACTTTTCAAACTCAACAAAGAATATAAAAAAATTGTGCAATGCCAACTAATTGTAACCAGCAGATAGACACACTTATTTAATTAACGATTATGACGGCGCTTTTCAAATTCTTATGGTGGAACTTTCTGAAGTTGGAAGTAGCATAATATCCAGCCACCGACCAACAGCATATGTACAAGTTTGATGAAATTTATATTTCTTCGCCTTCGGTGGTGCACATTTACAGAATGAAAAAGCGAAGCTGAAACAGGATTTCAGAATCAAACCTGTCTGCTCCGCACTGCCAACAGAGCCAGCATCATCGCTGTCAAAATTCCCCTTGTCAGCAATAGTGTCTTATCGTCACTTCGTAACGAGCGTGTGTATATATACTTCATATTGCGCCTTTTCAGTTTAAACCATAACTTTAAACTCGCTGAAAAATACTACCAGTTAGCTATGACGGTGGCGTTGAAATTCTGGAAACATGCAATTTCCTCCGACATGAAGATATTTCGTCCCTTCGAGTGCAATGTGAATTTTCAGGTGCGACATGCGACGAGGATTAGTTCGAGACTTCCACACGTACGACTACAACTTACTACGTGTTATTTCATACGCACTTTTCTTAAATTTATATTCACATAGCGAAATGCATTACATTTTTCAATTCTAAAAGAACCTAAAATAATCTTATGAAATCCTCAATCCAAGGGTTTTGTATGTTTGTTGGTTTCGAGCTCAAGGAGGAGTTTCGAGGAGTTGGCTTCGTTTTTTGGTTTATATGCAGGGTTGTAAATATATATTTAAATCAATAAATGTGTTCGAGGAAAATTGAGTTGAATCAAATTGAAGGAATCGAATCAATTTAAATCGAAGTTCAACCCACCGTGGAAGCCCAATCAATTCAATTCCAGAGGCCTCGGGTTAAGTGCTCAAGAGCGAATGAGAGGTCAGATCAACTTTTATATACTGCATTCTAATGACGACATCGATTGAAGCTGGAAGCAAATGGAAAGACGTTTCTTTCAACAGTGAATGCAAATGGAACAGTTAAAAACGGTGCCTCAGAGATCTAAAAATCGGAGCCAAGACGGAGTCGTAAAACACAAACCAAAAATTGGCTTGGTTCATCCTGATCACGAGGTTATAAGAGAGCAGCAACATTGGTTGGTTGGTATTATACATATATCCCAACCAACACAAAGAAAACAGCGACGGAAAATGTTGAGGTTGACATTTACCGATCCAATTTACCTTTTTTCATTAACTTTTCAAGGAATTGCCCAATGATCATAAAAGTCTAGACAATACCATTTTTAGCATAAGTAGCCAGAAAGTCGAGTCAGGGTGGTATAACGGAATTATTAGTGTTGGGACGCTAATAATAACAATAATGCGAAACACGGCTGCTCGTTAGTCGAAGTTTTCACGAAATAAAATTTGCTATCTGTGAATGCATTTTTTAATAATAGCACAGAAACACACATATAAAACAATGGTGAACTTATGAAACCCGGAACACTGATTTACTATTAGATTATCAAATTAAATGATTTAACCAGCCATCCTTGCACTGTGTGTTATCATGTATCGGTGTACATACATGGTGTCACAAGTCCCAACATGCGCTCAACATTGTCAGCTATAATAAATTACTCACCGGGTGATGAATAGTGCGATTGTGGGCCTTGTGTGAAGGAGAATGTGCAGACCCGCTGGAAGAGCTGTTTGCAGAAGAAATGCTGCACATGCTAGACTTTCGTGATCCAAGGGAGCTAGGACTACTCGGAGGCGTTTGGAAGCTCCAAGCCCCACTGTCACATGATCCTTTCAAATCCGCAATAACCTGAGCATCATCAAATATCAAATTGTTATTCAGGCACGTTATATATCATCGTCAAATAGCGCCAAGCATCCTTCATCAGGCTACCGTAGCACACATTTGTCATTGCAAACGTCAAGCAAGACATGTTCGACGGCCGTATTTGGCTACCATATTTCTCATTTTCAAGCAGCATAATCCAATTATCTATAAAATCAAACCTGTTCACTGGCAGGTGGGAGAGTAAATGGGTCAGCAGAATGTTTTTCCAGCATCTGCATAGCCTCCTGCACATGTGTCAATTCAAACAGCATCCCAACTTCTTCATCCTGCGACGGAAATAGAACACAAATTAAACTATAACCAGCATAAAATTATTATACACTGTATTTAGGAATCCTAAATTAGGATTAGCCCATCAGCGCCCATTCACCTCGACAATTTTGGTGGGCTTTCTTTACATCTCAATTTTTTCTACTTCTTTGTAGACTATTTCTTCGTGCATCCCACTCATCCTCAAACTACCAATATATTAGAAGAAGCAGTTAAAGAGCTCGTTATAAACGAGCATCTATTGTTAATAACAAATATCGGTGCACGCCCATCTGCTCCTGTAGTAATAAGTACATAAGAAGCAGTAGTGCAAGCCGGAAAAGACGTCCTCAATAATGTGAGTAAAGTTTTTGCAACTTCATTATTAAAACAACAGACTTTTACAAGATGCACCACACGATGCGATGTAATCTCATCAACTTTAACCACGACTAACTGATCTCATTATTTTTTCAAGCGTAACTGCATATTCACCAAGTCTTTAAACTTATTGCAACTCAGATTGTAATCTCCGAATCAAAACAAAGATTTACAAAAGTGCAACTACACACAAGATTGATCATCAATGCTTCAACGGTCAACCACTAAACGAAATTATCCATCTACGTATACAGCAGCATAGCAGCGGTACGCATTTTATTGAGCAGATTTAAATTTAACTCGAGTCATCAAATATTTTTACAAATTCAGTGAGTTACAGATCACTTGTTCCTCTCCTCGTTAGTATGAAACCAATAATGGGATTTTGAAGTGGTGTAGGCGTAATAATAATATGCTCGCTGTTGGCACGACGCTTATCATATTTGATTGGTCTCGCCCATACGAAGAACAGCAAAGTTTATCCTCCTCCAAGTTAATTACTTATTGTTAGCAAATGCACAAGAGTTTAGTCATGATTAAATTAACCCCCCATGTTTCAGGGGTGCATTAATCAACGACTACTCACACTTAAAACGACACAAGTATGTATGCAAACTTACCACAACTGGCTTAAGATACGAGACAAAGAGGGCAAATCGACTTCTCTCCTCCAAGAGAGCATTTCGAATAGCCTGCAAAAATAAAATATATAGAAACTCAATAATCGGGCTAATCACGATTATACAAATATATTTCTTTCTACTATTTTGCTTACGACTTTCTCGGCGTCCTCAAACGCCTGGCGTTTATCGGCATTGTCCCTGAGAGCAACTTCCAAAATTCGATTGAGTTGATTTCCTCCGTGAAGACTGCCCGTGTCCGACCCGTTGCTGCCCCCACTTCGGGGAAGTGTTCCAGTGAACGAGCCACCGTTGTGAGAGCTTCCCTTTCGCAATTTCTTTTGAAGTCGAATTGTCTCAATTGACCTCTTCTTCAGTTCAGTTCTCGCTCTTTTGTACTCTGAAATCAAAACACATATACGCGATCAGAAAGAGTATGTCGATATGTTCGGATCTTTGAAAGCACTTGATGCCAGATCCGCAGGAAATTGCATTTCATTTGAACTTTGACAACTTGGGCTTCGTAAAATCCCAAAAATTCGCCTTATCAAATATGTATTTCTACCCACTACTACTACATAGTCAAACCATATCAAGAGCATATGTGTGCATGTATGTACAACATGGAAGGCCAAGCATGACAGTATACACATACACTTGAACAAATTGATTATGTAAATAAAAGTACACTGTCATCCTGACTTGTACTTTTTCTTGCAAGTATCACATTTCACGCCATAATAATAACGTAGCCCCACGTGTTGTAGCTTTTCCGATGGCACAGTGCAAATTGTATTTAGAGGCAAATTTAATCGAGAATGAAAGAGCTTTACTTCAAAGATAAGACCGTGTGAAAAAATCCTCATTTGATGAACCCTGTACATGTTGCTGTCACGATACATAAATTGACTTAAGAAGGTGACCGAACGAACAAAGGTTACGGTACAAGAGGAAGAATACAAACTGGTTTGGCTTGACATAAATAGGAGCTCTTATTCTTTCGAATAGGAGTCAGGTTCAGTTTGTTTGCACTTTGAATCTCACGACGATACATTCAAAATGAACATGAGCCATTAGTTACATCGTTATCGGCATCCCTCTCTAGGGATCCAATCATTTTGAATTAAATATACATCGAGGTGTTGAATTGACGTGCTACAACTATTATTCCCATGATGATATGTTCTCAAAACTTCACACCACCAACTCGCAAGATGCGAACAACATTGAAAACATAATGCTTTTACGTTATTAGTTCTGATAAAACGTCAAAGACCACCATCACATCTTATCAAATGATTGAATCCAGTACTTATAACTTAGTCGCCTAATATTTTCTACATCAGCAATTGCATAGGCATTCGATCGATTCCAATCGGCTTATTTGCTAAGCACTCAAGAACCAAGTTAGTAAATATGTAGCGATGATGAGAACTAGAAAAAATTGCCAGCTTCATTCAGCACTAAAAGTGTGATCAGATTAGATTTCGAAGATCAGATTGGTCTTATAAACCCAGATTTGTGAACTCTCCTTCGTTAACGTCCTCTTTCTTAACGAAATGTCGAATGTATGTCATGCATTTCCTTCAGCAAAACAACTCAAAATCTTATAAACACAAAAACCAACGTGCAATAAAAAAAACACTGTGTAGGAGGTAATACTTGCACTCATAAAAAAAGTCATAGATTTATACATCTCTCTCAAGACGGTACCACAGACTTATTATTGCACTTCTAACGACACATAGGTGCGTTTGCAGTTTGTTTGTGTCCAAGTGTCATGAAATCACAACAACACATTATTGGCGTACCAACCAGGATCAGCATTGCTAACAACAAAGAAAATAACAAGATAACGTCCAACCCACTAAATGGCAAACCCAGTTCAACTCTCAATTCAATCCCAGTAATAACGAATGTATGTGGAAATGACATCGTCCGTTTGTTAATCCTTTGGGTTTAACTCTCTCTAGAAATGGGGATCATCTTGTAAAGAGAAACATGGACACATGATAATAAATAATTGTAAATGGGTCGACTCATATTATGGATTCTGAATTTCTGACTGAACAATGCAGTATGCAGATCAGTTTAGTTCCATAAATTATTACTTTGGCTTACCTTTCGCATGGTCTTTGTCAAGCTGCACCGTTGACTTTTTCCAATCCTCCATCTTGTCTTGCAAAGGGAGAACCAGACAATCCATCAAGGAGCTGAAGTCAATCAAAGTAAAACAATTATTCATTGTGACAAGACATCATGATGCGTCGTTTTTATATGCAATAAGCCTTTTCGCTAAACTCTGTTACGCCCTCTTAAATAGCTCCGTGTGGTGCATGTCACTTGTCTCAACATGCGATATTGTGATGCATAAAACACCGTCGTTTCCATTTCTGTCTCTTGAGATGCCAAATCACTCATTAGTTTCAAACGCACAAAGAAGATCTAATAATTTTTAACGCTCCAGGAATCTTTGAATTTGGTACAATTTGTGTGTGACATGCGTGATGGGCGGCGAATGGGGTACCGTATGCATTTATACATATGTATAAACGTGGCGAATCGCCCACTTATGCGACATATAAATATGCACTCTCGAGATGGAAGTTTTCTAAAGTCTTTTGAAACATTATGCATTTAAAAGAAAGTGAGAGCTCGGTAAAGACCTCGAGGCAGCTTGAACTAATTGAAAAAACGTCCTCGTCCAATTCAATCTAATGGAGTATTTGGTCTTCATGATTTATAACAATTTATGACAAACGGATCCAATATCTAACTTGACAATAACCTGCCACCCAGCATCGTGTTGTAGTTTGTAGAATGTGATTTATACAATTTTAGTCCTAACCACAATCGTCATTGTGTTCCAACGGAAGCATGAGAAAATGATCGGAATTTAATAATTCGTTTCTAGTTGGGACTGCAATATGATGTACTCATCGAAAACATGTACATCTTCACAATTCATACTCTTCTTCTCGCCATTCCTAAATATGTTCTAGCTGATTGCAAGGTTTGATATAAGTACAATCATAGGTCTTGATCCCAATAAGAAACTAAAAATTTCGCCAAGGGAAAAGTAGGTCAAACATAGTCCAAGAATTTAGCTCGCGTTCCGTCTCTCAGTCCTAATCCTTATATTACGACTCGCTCTAACGATGAGTAATACGTAAAATTGCTTTTCGCATCATTTTCACAATGTGTGTCGTAATAAAGTCAAGTAAAAAGTGAACTCTTCCAACCCTTCTTCCTTATTTCGACGGACCTCGAGTTGTTGTACTTTCTGCCTGCGACATACACCAGCAAGCAAAGAGAGGACTCTAATTGAGTCAAATCGCTCGAACGTGCCATCGTTGGGATTGTACGTTCATTGCAAAAACTCAGAAAGCACGACCAACAAATTATCAATTTGACATATATTTCGTCATGATCTCTTATCAGGGAAAGCATGCAAACATTTCTTTGACGTTGGCGTAAATATCAACGACCCCGTCGAGAACATCTTGCGCCGCATACGAGTGTTGCGACAGAATAGGACGAGCATGTGAGCCCTCAGAGCAACAAAACACCAAAAATGAAAAAGTATTAATGTTTTCTAGACGTACATGCCTTTTTCAACATCCGTAATCACAGAACTTAACTCACTTTCAGTATAATCTCGTAGTCGCGATGAGTTGCATAACAAGCGTATGTGTATTATATGCGACAAAGATCATAATAATCCAATCAATGCTAATGCCCACCGTAAGTTAAAATCTAACAAATAACGTTGTAGCTAATTGTGTAATCGAACCAATGCATTATTCCTGTTTGTCTATAACTTTGAAACAAAATTCCCTAGGAGCACGATAAAATCAAATTGATTAATAAAACCTCAAGGAAAGTTATCCATTATATTTCTGAGCTGACTGACTCGAAGCAGTGCACTTACATAAATCATCTTTCCTGTAATATAGGCAAAAGTAGCATAGAAATTCTGAGAAGAATGAAACCCGATTCCCAAACTCCATTCTGGTGCGCAATAAGTATTATGATAATACTATTATCCAATCCAGTCGAGCCAAGATTTCTCGTTTTAATTTAATAACCTCCTCAGGCTTCAGAGAAATGACCGTAGGTCTAAAATAATGAATTACGATGATGTTGTTGGATCAGGTAGGTATTCATTCTCATGATAAATTATAAATCGTCCATCATGCTCGCGAATAAAATTAATTGGATGCTACATATTAATTTTCATCCAAATTATTTCCAAAAAATAACGATCTTACATACGTCTTATATGACTTGGGATTTCTTTCCTATATATGCAAGCGAATTTTTTATGTAAATATAGACACTTGAAAATTTGCTGTTCAATTTATTATGTCCCTTCGTATAAATTTGAAACTCTGAATCGACGGTGTAGCTCCGCTACTTTGCAAGTGTTGTATAACCTTGTTATTGATTTATGTTCAGTGTTAAATAGAATTACAGGGAGACGCCAAATAAATGGGAATTTGGTATACGAGGTAACACATGTGAGAACATAACACAATAAATTGATTTTGTATCAGAAAGATCCATTAGGAGTAAGTAAATATGAATGGTTTCCTTCTTGCCGAGTACCGACGTATGTATTTATCTCTGAGCATCACCTCTATGCACCACCTTGACCTTTCCAAGTTCCTTCCTACTATCGTGCTTAAGACGAAGTCATGTCTATTTAATAAAGATTAGTAAGTAGCGAGGGGCGAAAGCAATGGCAGCGTAGTTATACGAGCGAGACGCACAATCACACAAAATCAATTCGAATATACTTGGTCATACAATGGTCATTTCTTGACATTATATAAATGTCCACCATAATAACTTGCATTAGGATTGCGCGAGGAAATGATTGAAGATAATTTACGTGCATAGCATAGGTTTGATGTACATACATATCCACACATTATTGCAGACGTGAATAAGAACAGGAGCGAGTCACCAAAATCACCATTATGGCATATATGAATGTACAACAATAGTGGCTATTGTTCAGTTATGAAAATACATATGAACATGCATACGCTCGTTCTATACACATCTGCCGGACATGGAACATATAAAATGTTGCTTATTGGAGGCACGAGCACAACAATAATGACGAACTAAAAAGTGGAGTGATGAGGATGAGTATCATAATAATCAACTTCCTCTCCCGAGGTAATTTTCAGAACAGCACAATCAGCAGCTTAACAAAAGTTGCCATCCAACCCCCATCAACGAACTCTAACTATACACGTATACATGCTTCTATATACTTGCAACTACGTATGCATACATGAAAACTATTATTACCGAATGCCTTCTCCTTCTTTACAGTTTGTGTGCGGATCTATTCTGGAGTTTTTTAAAGCCCAACCAAATCAATCTGAAACTCAAGTGAGAGAAATGCAAAAAAGTTCCTATTGCCACAACGCATTACACACTTCCATCACATGTGAAATGAATCAGACTAAAGCACATGACAGCAATGTACTTAACTCTCACTCCGTACGGCTAACCATTTCAGAGTATTTATTGTAACATTGACCCGATGGAATTAAAATACAGCAACTTCCGGTAACCCAATACTTTTGGATTACAATAAAAAAAGGTGGCCTAAAACTGTCATTCGTAACGTAAGGCACTAAATTAAATACCAACGCCTCTATGCAATTTACTTTATAGCTCGAATATGTACGACTATATTTATTTTTCATTGGGCAAGAAATATTTGCAGCGTCAATTTTTTTTAGTTTTGTGCATATGTATCATTATGTATTGTGGAATACCTTGTAAATGTCTTCATCTTGGCCTCCAATGCTTTGTGTCTCAAGCATATTCGTGTTAGTGCAGTTCCAATGTCCTTGGTCGCACCTAAAAATCACAAAATATTAATCTTCATTAGACGACAATGGTAATCATAACAAATTCCAGAGTTTGGGAAAACCATTCTTCCACCCAATTTGTACATCATTTTTGCATTTTTATCCTATTTGTAATCATTTAACACTGAGGTGTTGCTAGTAAATATAGAATCGGATACAGAAACGGCAACTTGATTAGCACATGATTGTCTCAATTGCTCGTATTTTTCAAAATCAGTAACTTGAATTGAAGTGATTCCTACAAATAAGTTCATCTTGACATGTTCATGAAAATTGTTACTCAACCAAAAGTAATTTGTTCCCCTCTGTTTTGCGCTCATTGCCAGATAGAGCATGGAAAAGTGTTGACAAGAACGACAACGCTTTCCAAACAATTGATGATTGTATTTTTGATGGTTTGTAAATATAAAACAAGAAAAATGAAAGCTTACTCCAAACAGTGACAAACCCTAAATGAGGCTCAAGTGTGAGTGCACGCATTTTTTACCCAAAATCCAACCACGCAAAACCTGTGGTTGATATTTGAAATACACAACTGAGTGAGCAACCAAATGTTCAAAAGACTTATTTTCAGATGTAATTAAACTACTTGTGATATGACAAGTTGATTTCATTATTTTTAAGGATTTAGAAAATTAATAAGAGTTTTAATAACAGTCATGCATTCATCGTCAAACAATCTTTAACAGCTTCCTAAGCCAAAATTCGCAAAAACACAATCCTACGTGCTACGTATTATACTTGTCTTGTGTGACTTTGGCAATTTAATAGGAAAGTTTCATCAAACTGTCAAATTCAAATTCATAAGCTTCCTCGTCTATAGTTCTGGAAAAGGAAATCTCATGCTCCCTCATGCAAACTTTGAATCACAAATGTTCTTCATGTAAGTGAACAATGCGTCTCTAACGATAGTGTTGCAATAAATAAATCTAATTCAGCTTATCGTCCCTGCTCTACGTAGCCTCTAGCACTTGATGCGTTCAAAGTAACGAAACAATATTTCTCTTCCACTTTAGTTGTTGTTAGTGTTCAACCAAGATTGTCTCGATTCTCTACCAGCAGACCGACTAAGTAAACTAAAAGCCACATATTCCCATGTGTTGGGAAGGATTTGCAAAATCCACTTACTGCTGGCTTTCTTGAGGGGAACTTCCACTTTCCCTCCATAATGGAGAAACCACAATTTTGATAAAAGCATCTACAAGATTTGATTTATCGAAAGTATGTTTTCCAACCCGAAAATCTCCTTCCTTCCTTCCCGCAGGTTTGCAGAACAATCATTTTTTTCTAAATATATGTATCTAAACACAATCTGAGACGCACGAATCCATCTGGCGATTCAAATTCGGACAGCAAATAAATGTCGTAAACCCTATTAAAATAATATAAATATGAACAGGGAATTTTGCTCATCATGCTAACAAGTAAGGGCATACGAACATTGCTAGCAAGCTTTTTTGTAATATGAAGTTTTACAGAGTTTTCTTGTGTATTATTTTCCACGGATTTGGTAGAAACAGAAAACGTACTCCCCAAAGGCAGAATCCATGGACCATGACCAAGGCCCATTATTCTGCGTTCATCAGCCATAAAGTCCAATACAACGAAATAGAATCCACACAACCACGACTGCTATTAGCGCGTCAAAGCGTTGCGATGAAGGAAGGCAAAGTTAGGAAGAAATAGAGATTGAGGTTTCAAGTCTCAAAGGAGCAGAAAAAGCATCTTACACAACCAATTACTTGGAACACTTTTAAGGCCGAGGTTTTACAACACGAGGAACATGAAACCAAAAGCAAAGCAAGCACAGCAAAGCACAAGATTGAGCCGAGCTGCTGTTGTTAAAATATAGCTTATTGGACTCGAAGAGTAGAAACCTTTGTTGAAAGTCTAAATTGCTCAGCATGTGTCCTCCAAGGTCTCAAATTGGTTACACTAACAAATGAGTGTGGTACCAAGCCCAAGGACCATTTTTAAATTTCAAATTATGAGTGTCTGCTGACATAACATCCACGAGGGGATCTAGTTCAGCCAATTATACGTAAATATGTATGCGTGGCACAAATTGCTTACAGTCTAGGTTAGTTTTAGGTGTAGACATTTAGCGAGTTTGTGGATCGTGATAATTAAAGTCATCAATAATGCTGCTTGATTCTAGTGCACGTAATAATTTGCGACAACATATTTCAAGTTAAAGTAGTCACACTTCACAAGTGCAAATAATAATTATTGCTCCACTAATTAAACATAGCACGCCTGGCGTGATCTGATTACAAATTTACCCTTCAAGATTAAATGGCACGTTGATTAAATATGAACGCCTACACACACATGTATTTAGATAACCTTCAACGTCATTTAAACAGGTTAAAATCCGAGTTAAAATCTAGTTTACAAATTTTTAGTGATAATTCAACTCGAAATTAGAGTGTTGACTTTTACAAATGTGAATTTGATATGGCTCACTCGCATTTCAGAGCTGAATAGTGCATCTCTTGAACTGTCCCATAAATAATCACATTTGAAGAATCTGGACACTCTCAATGGTCTTTGCTCTCAACTGAATAAAGAACATTCTTTTCCTCCTCGGTGTGGTGCATCCGTCAATTATATGTACTAATTCAGGACTGCGAACGGAATTGACAATATCTCTATTTCGACAGCATCTAGGACAAAAAAGTCTAAAATGCATAGGCACAAGACCATATGCTGATTCATATAATATTGATAGTTGAAAACATGGCATAATAACGAAGTGCGTAAACTGGTGCACTGAACTGCTGCACAGCGTTTACACAAATACAAACTACGACTGACTATATAAATAAATTGACTTTGAATGAATGTCCTGGTTGTTTAACTGGGAACAGCAGACAGATAGAAAAATAAACCACGAAAAGCATAATGGGAGTTCGTTCTTTAACGCAAAATGCATGAAACCCTTGCCTTGTTCCATCCACCAAGCTAATCCTTACGAGAGTTGAATGATTAACTTGCTGCTCCCGTTCAAATTATTGAAAGAGTAAAATAGCTGCACAACCCTGCTGCATGGATTCTTGTGCGTAATAATAATATGTACAAGTCTGTTCCATCATTACAACTATTATAATCAACCCTTCTCTCACACAGCTCTCTCCATTTACTTACTTCCTACAGATACTTATGTAGTTATGTACAATCCACTGCATATGGTTTGCAGTATGGTAAAGTTATTGCCCTTGTTTTAGCCTATTCTGGTCTGCACGAGTTACAAGAGGGGGAAAAGATGCGATATGGTAGCCGTTATGTTTAACCTACGAGAAAATCGACAGAATAATAAACTAATACCTAATACCGTCGCCCAACTTTGGTGTGGATCTGCTCTGCTTTGCAGGCGCCTTGATAAACCAGCCAAATTGACAGAGTGTACACAACCAGACGCACTATTATTGCATTGCTATTCCACAGACTTGACTACGACTTCCATTAGGATGCCACTCGAGACTACTCGAATGTTGGAGACAAGAAGCTCCAAAATACCCTTTCGGTTCTTCTTTTTGCGCTATTGTGGGTTATTTAGTCCCCTTCTCATTCATTCATCCATCCAATCCAGCAACAAACGGGTTTCTGAATTCCTGAGAAGGTAATGAAATGAATTGGAGTGCACCCCAAGAAGACGTGCAGAAGTGCGTGCAACAAAGTTTCAAATGCACACACTAACCCTTTCCCTTTCTAAAATTAACAACCAGAAAGCGCACTTGCTGCTACGAGAGGAATAACGAACGTGGATTGCTCTATTACAAAACTCACGCGTGGGACGCGTATGTTTTAAGTAAGAGATTGCAAAATTAATCATCATTACCATTTCAAACGCAAATATGTCATTTGTCGACTGCAGCATGTTCAAGAAAACGAGGGGGGTGAATGCATGATGAAGGCAGATTTGGAAGTGAATAAATGCTGATGATATTTATTTCTCTATTTGTGTGACTTTAATCCCTTTGTCTACTTTTGTGTGCTGTGCAGTTGTTTGTGTCCCCTTGGACAATCACAATTAAGTGAAACAGAGCTTGATGACAATTTAGTTAGTCTGTGTCACTTTAATCATGACAAAATACAAATATGCTTTGTTGCATTATCAAAACATTGCACTCAATTTTTGCCATAGTCATCCCACAACAATGCAGGTTTCACTCACTGATGCAATAAATTCTCAGCTCAAAAACAGAATCAGATAATAATGCTCCAAAATCAAATTCTGCAAGACAACTTGCTTGTGCCTGGGTGTAGGGTAAGTATAAAGTAAAAAATAAGTAAATGCACGTCAAATGAACTTTTTTTGGCATAGTGCTGAAAATCAGATCTCATGTGAAATTGCAAATGGATAACAACGGTGGCAATAAGAGAGACAGTACATCTTAATGACAGATGTCTCGAAAATTAGAAAACCATACCGGGGACGAACGGAACGAAAGGTAATTGCATCGCCAACCAAGGAACTCCTCGCTGAGAACAACAACTTCAACTTTAAAATGTCGCCATCATCATCTTACGCCAGATGCAATGGTCATTATGTTACACAGTGAGTATTTGAAAGTGAAATAACAGCATAGCCTCGTATTTCCCATTAAAACTTTAAATTTCATATAATTGCATTGTCACACAGTTACGCACATCAGCACTTAAAAAACCTATGAATTATTTTCATCCAAGAGAAATTCAATACTTTATTAGATTATCGCTATTATTAACAGCAGTTTTGCTATTACGGAATCTTGTTCTGAATAACCAATCGTTCATTTTGATTTTAAAAGAAATAATTTTTGGGCAGACGTACATATGTGGAAAATAAAATAGTTCAAAGCAATTAATTTGGCAGGTAAAAAATGCAAGTGAAATTGAAAAGGAAGTGCAGCTGTATGATTACCTACATATACGGCTCACATACTATGACCGTATTTCTTGCGGTTTCAACAATTCTACCCCAACAAAAACACCGGAACAAAGGAGGAGAGAAGAGAACAAAGCTTGCGCGAGTGCAACCAAATACATAAGTAAGTAACATGTTGGAGCTAGGTGCGTTTTACACGTCAATTTACGGCCTAAAACTCGATAAAAATTATCAACGTTAAAATAACCGTGTACAAGTGAGGGTGCCTCATGCTCACCAACCAACCCTATAACTCGAAAATACCAAATTAATAATTTTGTAGTGGTAGACAAACAGGCAAATAAAACCTAGTAGCCTCTGTAATACACACTTTTATTAAAAGTCACCGTCACCGTATTGCTACACCTCCGTAATTTCTCAACCCCCTGCAGCTCATAAATCTGACTGAGAAGGAAATGTAGTAGCAGACAGGGGAATTTTCTCTCTGGAAATGTAAACCTGAGCTGAAATTATATTATGCATACTACAGGACAGAAATCGATAAACAACTAACCGAGCTTTCATTCGACCCTTCTTTCAGAAGAGTGGCTTAACTTTTCTCACTTTTTGCTTGAAAATGTCTCTCACTCTCGACTCTTAAGCTTAGTACTCACGATGGACTTTACGCGCGGAAAACGACTTTTGCAGAAATTCTGCTCAATTTAAGCCCGAGTGGTACTCAGGTCTTCGCGTGAAACTTGTGCGGAATTTTCCGCGCGAGCAGTTTACGCTCAATGCAAGCTCCAAGTTTCCGTTAAATCGAGGCAATTCTTTCAGGTGAAATGTGAGCGGAAAGTGACTCGCGGCCCTCTGAGTTCAAAATAAGAGGGCGGAGCAACCTCAAAATCTCAGTTTCAACTCAATGGCAAAGCGGTTAATTTAAAATGGGGCAAAATGAAACCTGTTTTTCAGCTCAAATGACCTGAGTACCTACGAGTGAAAATTGAGCGAAATATACGAGTAATACGAGGAATAGTGGTATTTTCTGCCCGCTTACGAATTTCTCTCGAGCGAAAAATTTAACAGTATTTAAGCACGATGAAATTCCGCGTTAACATTCGTCCTGAGTACTAGGCTTTAGGGACGACGCTACGGTGTGAAACCAATGAAATTCGGTTATGCTAAACAAGTAAGGTAAAAAAAACTGTGTTTTTTAAGTTTAAAAGTAATGGAAAGTTCACAATGTCGATTAAAATGCTGTACACATTTTCAAGTAGACGTTTAATTGAATTTTAATCAATTTATCAGTTGAAGCGAGAAATGAGTCAAGTCCTCCTTCTCTCATTAATGAGCAGAGATGAACAAGAATGGGCGAAAGAGAACCAAATTAACAAAAATATTTGTGAAGGGGAGAAGTTCACAGAAAGTTTCCGACCAATTTGACAGGGACAGAATTCTTGAAGAAGTAAATCTAGATCTTGGGTAGCAAATACACATCAACTACTGTTTGTTATGTGTCACATTACACAATAAACTTGGGGAAAGAGAAGAAGGGTTGGTTATCAGAAATATGTCTTCTTGGTGGATCCTATTCGTTCTTCAGAGGACACCACCACTCCCACATTCCCACCACAATTCCAAACTTTTTTTCAGAGAATAACAACATACGACAAAACTGAGTTATCCTTTCAGTTAGTTCTTCAAATCCATTGCACAACTTTATTCGTCTTCGCATTCTCTGATACATCGTTATTCGTCCCCTTCCAAAAAAACTATACAACGTAAAAAAATGAAGCTGGTACGTGAGTAGGAGAGACTGGAAAAATTACTGACATCAGAGTAGGATCAATACTTGAATGATATATTGAACCTTTTACTGAGAAATACAGTGGAAATCTAAAATGATGGGATGAATGAACGACCTTCAATTTCAAACTATCATCACAGTGCCCTTCTCGTTTTCAATGTTGATATGATTATTACAAATATAGCATGGCTGTGTGTGCAACGACGGATTATAATCGTTCGTCGTCGTAAACATAATCTTAGCTTCCAACATATATGTTTCGTTGAATTGCATAGTACATGCACAGTCAGTGCTTTGCATTACACAAGGCGGTTTGCCAAAATTGAAACATCCGAAATATAATCAGACTCGGGTCCAACCAAATACATACATCCGCACGTTCATGAATTTACCAATCCAAGCAAAACGACGTAACTTGAACCCCTCTCTCCCACCCTTCCATATGCAGCGCTTACTTTTATACATGCCTCGACAACATAATCGATCCACGCACCCGGCAAACTCCCGGACCTGGAAATGCAGAAGTGAGGGTCACGGCCACCAAACTTGGTTCGGGTTGCCTTCAGCACCAGGCGAAATGCGTACCCTCACTCATTCCCCACAAACCAACCCTCCACCAACAAACTTTGCCGTCCTTTCCATGCATCCCAATAGATCAGCAACTGTTGTAACCTAAACTAGCGCTCAACCTTTATACACATGTACACATTATGATGATAGCATGCAGCTCAGCTCTCCCGGCTTTTCTCCTTCCTTTCTCCACGAAATTCTCCCGTGGTAATCATATTCCTGTTCCTTTCTCAAACTCGAATTCACTGTCCTTGGTTGGAAGTGGTGGTGTACACAAAGAAAGCAATGGGGCTGTGACTGCAGAAGGTAGATTCACCCACTAGAACATCGGATGGAACAACTGTAGTCATTCCACATTCCCTTTCAAATCTAACCTCCTCCTCCTTCACTTAAAATGCACCACCCATCATCCATACCTACATCCATTCACCCACCCACAGCTGGATTATATCCGCCGTACAACCTCCTGACAGCAGAGAAATTTAACTGGCTTTCTCCTCGCTACCTCATTCGTCTTACTTTCTTTCATGCTGCAATATCCACTTGTCACTCTTCACAAGCAACGTCGTCGTTTGTAGAAAGTTTAATAATCCAACTCAAAAGTCAAAGCAGCCTATTTCTCCTTTCAGTCAGAACCCGAGTCTACGCGCAGTCAACCAAAGTGTGCTGGCGTTACCAGAGAACAACTCGTATCTCGCACATCGGAGGAAGTTACTTTCACCCTGTAGGCAGATTATATTTGTTCTGAACCGGAATTTAATAAAAAAGAGAAAAGAAACCTTTACTACTTTGGCGGATCTAGTATGTGGTTCCATTGTATGCATTCGTCGCTTGGTGGGTGGGTGAGAAACAGTGCCCCCAATGATTAGTCTTCATTATTAACTCTGAAGCAATAAAAGTTGCTATGCGTAAAGGTTCAAGACAAAGCAAAATTACAAAACTTTGGCTACAGCATGAAAAGAGAGCTCTCTGGACAGACATTAGAATAGAGTGGGAGAAGAACGCCCATCCTGTAAATTAGTAGTATTCCTGGTGAGATAATGAGAGCCCAAAATTATGTACTTCTGTGTAGCAAACAAATAAGGTGTGTTTTGCTTATAATAATCCAGCTCAGTCAGTCCAACACTTACATACGTACATATACATACACAGACATCTTCTCCAATTACGTAACTGTATTAAATTATAGAGTGAGTGAAATTGTATATTCACGAGTTTGCCAAGATTTCAGATTTGTTCAAGTATTACTTACTATCTATATGCAGATGGGAGTATGGAAGGCATCTGCGATATTGTGGTTTTATATTACCACACAAAAACTCCAAGCTTATTTATGTAACTACTATGTGTAGTGTATCAAACATGGAGTCAGGACTACTACATTATGAGATGAATGATTCAAAATTTGGCATTATATTCTTACAGCTTGATTGGTCATCTTATATTCTTGTAGTTTCCAAATATTCATCACGATTGTGTGGTTTCGTGTATTTTTCTCTCTCTCAATGAATATATGATTATGTTACGAAAAAAAATGTACCTTTGGTTGCAGTGGCAGCATCTGCAATTTTCTGCAATGTATCCAGAAATGAAGAAATGGCTTGAAGGGTGGCCCTGTAAAGTGTAACACAATATTGCCGGTGATTTAATTAGTCGTACATAATTCACCAATAAATGTAATAACATTTCTGTTGCACAAATCATTGTGAATAAGTCAACATTACAACAAAAGATTTACACTGATGCGAGTAATCTAGGTCTAAGAACTAAATGATAATTTTTTAAGCAAGGGTCTGTTAGTGGTTATACATAGAGTTCAAAGAAGAATTGAAGAATTATGTCCTTCATTAATTCAAGCAGGTCTCTTACTGTTAACGACTGTCAACATTTCTATCTAATTCTAAGCTGGCTGGTTTATTTGGCTTTGTTGTTAGTTAGACGGGGACGTAACCTTAAATTGCCTTGTGTATGTTCACTTTTGTTGGGATAAGTTTCAACTGTATAAGGCAATAGTTGAGTGCTCGTGACCCAAAAATATATTCTGGCGAACCAACAACAACTGCATCCTACATCCTACAACATACATGTTAAGACTTTCAATTTATTCAAAAAAGGGTGAAGTCATAAGAAAGCCCTTAATAAACTCAGGATGTGGTTAATAAAATTTACGAGATATTTAAGAAACGAATAAAATATGGGGTCAACACTTGGATTTTGCGTGCTAATTTTTGCAATTTTCATTTTTATATTCGCATGTTAAGTCTGTATGGGTAATAAATATTAAATCTCGAGTTCACTCACTATAGTAGAATATAGTAGAATTGAAGATATACAAACTAAAGTGCTTTATAAGTTCTTCGTGCATCACATCATTTAGTTTTAGTATAGTTGATAGTTTTGGATCGAACAGACTCCTTGCTAATCGATTTTGTTTTAAAGAATAAACTCAATTATAGTTCTACCAATTATGCCATAATTGATCCTAACTATGACTCGAATGTCACGACTTAAAGAGATTGTCACATTTAATATAATAATCACTCTGATCTAATTCTAGTTTTGACTTGGTTGAAACGACTCACCGTAAGCAAGAATGCAGCTTGGTCGATCGGGCTGTTAAATCTTCCCATAATGGAGCACAATTCTGAAATTTACAAATAAAATGCAACATATAATTATGTATTGTGTGCACATACATACATAACAAAACGAATTCAGTTTCAGCTTGCCGAAGGCCAATTCACAATGATTTACATATTTTCAATAATCATGTTACCTGATATGAGGCCTAATTAGAACAAGTTTATGTAAATTCAAATTGACTTGCATGAAAAGTCGAAAAAGCAATTAAATATGCACGAACAAAGAAGGTTGATTAGCTGGAATCTCCAACGTATGCATATGAAAAAAAAACTTTTATTGTGGTTTCAACAATCTTATAGTAAATGTCAAATGAATGAATTAACGCTAGCTAAATAAATGGTTACAAATACTACCAATTGAAAAAATAAAGACAAAGAAGGTAACGTAGATTTGTAAATATTCTCTAAGTTTCTATTGTGGGTATGAATGAATGAGAACTGGATATCCAGTGTTATATAAAGGAACAAAGAGTGTGGAAATAACAGGTTCAGTGCAAAACCATAAAATGGAAGATATATGTAGCACGTGATGAACTTGTTCTATAGATTCTTTATATATTGTCCAGCGACAAGTTTTATTAATTGAGCTTGGGTATAAATGCACACACTTCACACTTACCTTCATTTCGTTGATGATTTGTTGGAACAAAGCCCCGAACGGGCAGTCCTTATCAATAACGCCAGAAGTCTCCATAATAATATTCCTTAAAATATCTCTTTTTGTAGAGTTCAACCACAAGTTGTCTTCGACATCCACACCACGACAAGCGAATTCACAGAGTAAAACTCCCTCTTATTTAGCTTATCTTATATCGACAACTAAACACCACAACGTATTATTCAATTAAATTCACTAAACCTCACTTTAATTAGTAGTACGTTAGCAACATCTTCCTTCATGCACTCCAATATGCAGTCTGTAAATTTACAATAATTTCATCTACATATTCACCAAATCAGATCTGGTTATCTGCAACTAGAGATCTCGAGTGGCTGGCCTGGCCTTAACACAGACGATGCACTTTAAACTGGTTGTAATACATAAATTGCATTCTCCCGTTCACTCCTTAATCCAATCCAATGAATATGAGTTGCAATATTATGCATTGCATGATATACTGTTCAACATACGATAAATTGAAACTAGAGCAGTTAAGTTAAGTTTTGTCCATATCATATATATGTTGATCGATTCTTGCACTCCATGAATTATTTGGTTTATTTGATCCCGTCCTTGAAAATTTAGATGGAATATTTTGTATTGTGCTAAATTTCGAGATATGATAATGTAAGAACTTTGACATATACAACTCACCACCGGTGAAACTTGTCACTTCAGATGTAAATCTTGTTTTATACGGCACTAGTCAAGGTCAATCCCGTAACCTTCGGGCTTGCAGCCTTGTGGGGTTGAAGCGGTCGAAGAACATCCATTACATTTAGAAGAATCAACACAGTACACATATTAGAACAAATTTTCAAATCATTTTCGTAATTTCTAATTTAGAGAGCGAAATACAACCACCTCGTTCGGCTTCTCGATTTGAACTGGTAGAAAAAAGCTTTTTGCTGCTGTTCCTCATTATCGTGCCAGCCAGCCATAGACAAAGTGGCTCCGTTCTTCCTCATTCAGGGGAACATTCGCCCATCCTGCCATCAGCAATTCGCATTAGGAAAAAATCACTCGTTTAATGGAAAAATTAAATATCCTGACAAGTACGAAAATGAAATCAAGTAATTATTTGCAATGCAAAATTTGTGCGTACTCCGAGTTGCAATACCAATGGTGGCAAGATTGTTGTGTAGAGCTTACAGAATTTTACACACGTCTATCGCCTATCCTTCCCGTTCTTAAAATTCTATTGGCATATTCATGTATTTAGCATTTGCAGCAGATGCAATTTCCAAACTCATGAATTTATGTCCTGTACAATTTGGTGCCAAGAACAAGCAACAATGCAATAATATCTTGGAATTAAAAAAAAACATATGTAGAATAAGACGATGAAGGAAAAAGTATTCCAGCTACATTAATTAATATCATGTCCTTAGAATCCATGCATTCATTTCAAATGATAGACGATGGAAGTCAATCATAAAACTAAGCATATCGTTTATTTATTTATTCTATAAAATAAAACCTCTTTATTAGATAAAAACATAATAATTAATTTCAAAATTGTCACTAGTCTGAATCTGAATTTTCTGAAGAGCTATATGCTCCCAAAAGCGATAGAGATCCCGAATTCTTAGCCGGAAGTTGATCAGGTGGCCGGATAGCTGAAGAATTTAGAGCCGACGACCCTAGCTGATTGCTACTTGTTGTTAAAGTAGAGCCAGTTTTTGGTTTAACGAGAACTAATTTTTTCTTGTTGACAGAAATCATTCCAACACTCTTTTCGCTAATATGTTGTTCCGCAATTATTTCTTGGTTTTGAAGTTTGTCATCTGCATTTGTGAGAAAATCGGTAGGTTTTTGAACAATTGCTGAAGACATAAACTTTTTATTCGGTGGCTTCTCATCATCATCATCGCTGTCATCTTTAATGCGTCTAATAACTTGTCCGTTTTTACCAAAGAGTTCTTCGATAAGTCGATCATCCTCCTCTTCGTCCTTCCTCGACTCTACGTCTCGAATTACGTCGTACTTATTCAGCATGGTGTCGTAATCCAGGTTAACTTTCCGTTGATTTAATTCTCTCAGCTCTTCTAAAGCTTCTAATGATGCCATTTCATTTTTGGATGCCTCTGTCCTCTTCTCCAATAGTTTCATGGGATTCGTAGCTTCCTCTTCCTTCTCCGCTGCCTCCTCCCGTTCGGCCTGCTCTTCCGCAAGTTTCAACGCCATAAAATTCCTGCTTGCGCCAGCCTCGATTATGTAATCCGTGCTCACAGGATCCGTCTTGAACGAAATTTCCTGGAGACACCTAGTGCACTGCAAATAAAAATGTTAACAATTCAATTAAGTAATTAACTAGCGCTTTTCAGAATTCTAGAATATTGATGATTAAATTAGTATTAACATAGGACTTCACTAGGTACATACCTTAATGTAGAACCTGTATATTCTGATTCCGAGATAATCTTGATTTTCCACATCTTCCTTCCTGGCATTGAATTTTTTCCCTTTGTAAATGTACTCCCCGCAAGTGTCGCACCTCATGTTGCAGGGGGCCATCAGACGAACAGTGAACTGACGATTCTTCCCTTGACGAGCCCTTGGGATTTTGGAGGGATCAAAATCCGGCGGATAATATTTCTGTAATATAGTCATTGAAATTATTTCTAAATCCACGGCAAGTTTAATAAATATAGTAGGTACTACAATTATCGTTTTTAATCTCTAAATTAAATTTCAAAATAAACAAGTTTAAATAAATAAAATTATTAAGTACTCACGTTCAAGACTTTTCGCTCAGACATCTTGCGCTAGTTGACTGCTACAACCCGACACAATTTACTAAACCGACTAAATAATTAATAGTTACTTAATATAATTAATTAAAAATTTCAGGATGGGAAGAATTGCGACAAAAATTTCGTCAAGCGAAGAAAACGAATGATGTTATTTTCGTTTTGTGATTCGCAGAAGGATCAATGAGAATGGAGGAAAAATGAGACATTCGCCGCAAAAAAGACTGGGAAAAGAGCACGGCAAAAGTTTTGTTAAAATTTAATTTAGAAATGTAGATTTTGAAAAAGTATATATAGCAAATTTCATGGTGCATGGCATTTCTAGTTTTGCAAAATACTAGTGATTTGTAGTTTCACAAATAATTATAACACAACATGGCGATTTATCACCGACTTGTGACATCGACAGCCCGGTTATCCTTCGGTTTCGGTTTCGGTAACACTTTTAAATTTCCTACTTTTGTATGTTAAATAAATAATCGGCCAAAGTATAACAGAAAATGGTTTGCATATTTCAGAACAGAAAATCGGGTCATTACCTGGAGCTGTGTGGTTACGACAAATTCAAATCGACGCCACGAGAGGAAGGCTAATAATGCCTTTGGCTATGCCACAAAATTGCGCCTTATTAAATAAAAAAATAAACACTTTAAATTCATTTAATCAGCAGCAGCAGGTAAACTACTCGTCAATCACTAGCTTCTACAACAAAGGTAACTGCCAAAACATGGGGAAGGTGTACTAGTACGGCTATTGATAAAAAAAATTATTATAATTTCAGTAACTGCCCAGCAGTTGTGGAAAGGTGTGACTAGTGTAAGTAATGCTGGTCGTAAGAGAGGTAGAGGAAAAGGTGTAGGCAAAAAGTCGGCGAAAGATTTAAATAAAGGCCAAATCATTGGTATTGGTGAGTTGTAAATTATCTCATGATTTCACTGTTAAAAACTATTATGTACTAAAAATCACCTTACTGATTACATACTAACACGATTGTTGTTTTTAATTATAGGGAAATTAAATATGTCGTGGCCAGGGTTGACAACCCCGATTATTCAAGGGAAGGAGATTATGGAAAGAAAACAACTTCCTCCAGATCCAGACCGAGAGGCGAAGCTTATTAAATTGAGGGACAACATGGGACAATTTCGTCCTCTCCGACTTAGCCCGTTGGAGCGAGGTTGGTCTGGCACGAAAATGCACGGTAGAAGTATTGGCCCCCCAGATCCAATTGGAGAAGGTACTATTATTTAACAGTAACCGTTTCATCTCCTGACTGTAACCACGTAGCTAGGTTTTGCATATATCATATCTACCATTTTGCATTTATCAATTTTTCAATTTATTTCACTATTTTCACACAGACACATTTGAGGGATTCGATACCAAAGTCTTGGAAGTACGTAAAATTAATAAGCACGTAACAGATTTGTTGAGTATCTTACTTAAATTCATTCAAATGTTTCACACTTAGATGAAAACGGTCACCAACATGGATGCCAATCTTGGTCGTCGTCGTCGTTTTAGTGTTTTAGCATTTACTGGAAATAATGATGGATGTTGTGGGTTTGCCTTGGCCAAGAGTCCAGAAGGCAGAGGCGCTCTTCGGAAAGCAAAAAATCGAGCTGGACAAAAGTTACTTTGGGTTGAGAGATATAACAATCATACTGGTAATTTTCCCATTATTCATAAAGTGCATTATGTGTATTAATATAATTTTGTAAACTAACTTAATGATCTCATTATTGATAGTTCTTCACGATTTCTTTTCTCGATTCGGAAATACGAAAATCTTTGTGTACAAGAAGCCAGAAGGGTTTGGACTTGTGTGTCACCGAGCAATCAAAACTATGTGCGAATTGATTGGAATTAAAGATATATATGCCAAAATTGAAGGTTCTACTTGCGTGCAGCACATAGTGAAAGGATTTATTTTGGGGTTAATTCAGCAGGTTTTATTAAATTGACAAATGAAGTTTAATTCTTTAAAAGTCTGACGCATAAATACTAATACTGTACTGTGATTTACTTTAGAAAAGTCACCAGCAATTAGCAGAGGAAAAGAAATTATACTTGGTCGAACAGGTAATTGAAGTTGCAGCACTGGTTTGGTCAATAAAGTGTATGCATTGTTCAATAGTAGCTAACCGAGTAGTTTATTTTTCGTTTAACATAGATAGTTATTCTCTTTTTTCTTTCAGCGAGAAGACAATTATAATTTTCCAGTGGTAATTGCGGCGCCGAGTGAATGCAGAACTGAAAAAGAAATTCAATATGAAGAATGTTTGGATTTTTCTCAGGTATGGAGTGTAAAGAATCCGAGAGTACTCAGAAATAGAATTAATTTTGCTCTATTCAAATTCTAGATTGGATTTGGAGACAGGATACCCCTGCGTCGGAAGTTATACACGCCATTTTATGTGAATTTGCCATCTTGGGAAAATCATTTGATGAAAACTGAATGGAGGAGGAATCACCATGAGGTATACAAAAATGATGAATTTAGCTGCCCATGAATAAATGTTGAGCATTCGTTTCAAAGTAGTTAATTTTGAATCCCTGTTTACAGATCAAACATCAACTGCTGAGCGAATACGGTACTTTGAAAAGTAAATTTTCTGAAAAGTATCCCGAGAGTGATGCCTCGTATGCTTGGCGACTTTGGCGTAAACAAATTCGCGAACAGGAGGCAGCAGAAGAAGCGGAAGAGTCTTAAATTATTTAGTTACCTAATTGTAAAACTTAGTGTCACTCGTTGTTATCTTTGATATTGAATGAATGATTTAAACACTACTTTTCTGGATAATAATTGTGCATTTATTCAGCGTGAGACGTAAATTGTTTAAATATATACTTAACTATACACACAAAACAATCATACAATTCTTAAGCTTGTATTTCCCTCAGGCCGTTTTAACTTTTTTGGAAGATTTTATAACTAAAGGAGGTTTATTATTGTTGCAAAAAATGTAATTCACAGATATCACTAAAGTTATCAGCGATCCGAATACAGTAAACCCAAGAAATATCCAAACATCAAGAAGCCGCCTTTGGTACCATGGTTGATAAATAGCCAAAGGTTTAGTAAAAGTCAAATTTTTGTGGCGAATCGTATATTCCGTCCACCAAACGGCTGTGTCAACGGGTTGCTGAGGTCGGTCTTTAAATAGTTCTGAAAGTCTCATCACGTTGTTTTTGTATCTGTGCACACATTGAAAATTAAGAGGGATTAGCGTCGCTTAATAGTATAACAATATTATTAGTCATGAAACGTGTTTATATATTCTAGATTACGTCACATCCGAGATTAGTCTTCGAACATTAGTGGCCAATTCATACTGAGTAAAATAGGCAATATTCATCATAAATCCAATCATCGACTTTTCTATTATTATTGAATTGTAATCTTCTTCAGGTGTGAGGGGAAATGCGATGACAGGGACGCTGTAGAAAATTGCTTCTTGGTGGCTAAGTGCTCCTCCGTTCGTTATGAAAGCTTTGATTTTCGGATGAGCTAAAGAACACAAACGAGTTACAAGAAGTGGAATTGTTTTTACTTACTTACTACAGCTTTTCTTAAGACTTACAAAGTATCGCAGTCTGCGGAAGCCATTTAGCAATATGAACTCGTTTAGGTTTCTCATTTGGAGCATTTTCCACATCATCACATTTCCACAATACTGGCATCTCCAGAATTATAAATGTATTAATAAACTTTTCAATGACTATGGCCGGTGCTCTGGAAAATTCAACTTGTGTTCCAAAGCTCATATAGATGAATCCGTTCTCGGCGTATTTATCCAGAAATTCAGTAATGTCCTATGATAACAAATTGAATTATTTACAATACCCGATCTACGAGTATATGACGTACCGGTGACAACTCTTGATCTCCGTCATCTTCATCCACCCGGTCAAGTAGATGCAGACCTCCCACTGGGACCTTCACCGTCGACATAACACACAATATATTTATTTAAACGTAACCGATTTCTATTATTCGAATAATAAAAGTTTACCAATTTGGCAAAGACTTACGACAAAAGGCGGCAGTGACCTGGGATACTCTTGAATAAAGTGTGTATTCAGCAAGAACAAACTCGTGCTTCTCTCCAACTCATCCAAAGGAGGGAGGTCAGTCACGTTCAAGGACTTCCTCATGAGTTTCTCCAGTTGCGGGACAATGTAGGACACTCTGTTGGTGGAGTAGAACCACTGGAGTGGCGTCAGAGCATTTCTCACTCTTTGGAGAAAGCTCATCTCGGTGGGAAAGTGGTAGTAGTAGTTCGGAAGCCATGAGGTTTCGTCGGGAAGGCCAAACATCTCCTGGTGCCACATGTAGAGGGACGTGGTTCCAAAGAGGATGTGGGGGCAGCCAAGGCGGTGGGCCAGCGCCAGGGCGCACTCGTTATACGGAGTGTCAATCACGACCAAGTCAAACTCCTGCACCTTCGCCTCCACCCACTCCTGCACCTCCAAGCTCCGAAATATCACCCGGCATATCTCCAACGCGTTCTGCATCGAAGCATCCCAATAACCTTTCAAATTACATTAATTCAATTTTTTCTTCGTTTTAAATAACTGCAATTATATTTGCATGTATGTAAATGCATAATATTTTGCCTACCTTGACCATCACTGTACCCTTGCACTCGCGAAGTGATGGCATCCCTGGTTCTATTGTTATTTTCTTTTTCTTGCCAAAAAACGACGAGAGATTTAGGGTGGAATATTCTCACATTATTATTGAGAGCAGACTGTGTAGGTGTCTGTTCTGAGCTTGTCGTCGGCTTATCCTTAGGAAACGGTGGAGACAAGAAGGTGATTTGGTGACCCTTCTCAGCCAACTTTAATACCAAAGGCCACACTGCAACTTTGTGAGAATAAATTGAAGAGCCGAAATAAAACAAGATTTTTGCGCTTTCATATTGCTCAACGTAGAAAGAAAAGAAGAAAAGTGTCACAACGGAAAATACTTTCGAGACTAGCATTTTATTATTTTCATAGAATTACAAATTAAATTATCAGGAACTGTAGTATAATAAATAATTGCCTTTATTCGCTGTATTTACTTTTATCAAAATGCACTTTTCATTCCGGTTTTCTGGTTCAGACAAATCAATGAAAGTCACGAACACGGCCGAAACACCCACATTGAACTTTCTCCGGGCAACTTTGCTCGTGGGTAACGGCGAGTACTAACAACGAGAGAAAGCGTGTGAACTACTGTGAACCACACGCAATCCGCTATGAATCCGTGCATGCTTAGAGCTATTGTATTATCATTTAACGCGAAAGTTTTAAATAATTTTAAACACAGAGATCTATTCGAACGCATAAATAATTTAGAGAAATTAAGAGATTTTTGGTTAGGCTACTTCTGCTCATTAAATCCATCGTCATGTGTCTCATCCGATTTCTTCTTCCCTTGCCATTGATTCAAGACAAGTTGCGCACCTTTTTCGCCAATCATGAGCGCGGTGGCCTGTGTGTTTGTCGTAATTATGACCGGCAAGACGGACAAGTCCATGACTCTCAATCCCTTGGTCCCAATCACTCTGAGCTGAGTGTCCACAACGGCGTGGGGGGAGGAGGCACTCCCCATGGAAGCCGTGCAGCAAGCGTGGTGCAGACTCACCGTGTACCGTCGGGCGTAACATTCCCAGTAGGCATCAGATCGGAATTCAATGTTCTCACAACCTGGCAGCACTTCGTCCGTGAATCTGGCTCCCAGAAGTTCCCCAAAAGCAGTTGTATTTTCAGCCAAAAATAATGCTATTTTTATTCCATCAACCATAACTTTCAAGTCCATGTTGTTTGGGTCTGAGTAGTAGTTTGGATCAATTACAGGGCTGTCAAGGGGACTACTTCCACCCAATTTGATATGTCCACGTGACATTGGTCGAGCACCAGAGATAATCAGGACGAAAGAGTCCTTGCCAACAGCATGCTGATAATACTGGTTCATGTCGTCAAATCTAAGACCGAATGCTTTTGAAATTTCTGAAGGAAAGGATTTTGAGACAGAAACTCCAGAAACAAGAAAATGAAGATCAGGCCAATCTCCGTGACCTGAAGCTTTGGCAAGTGACGACGAGACCAGAGCGGATGCGTGCACTCCGGATGATGTGAGAATTCCTCGACCAGCACCAAGCCATGCCAAATACACGCTGGGAGTCAAATCTCGATCCATTAAAAATGTTCTTGGCTGGTTTATGAAAATTGGATTAAGGTAGACGCTTGCATGATCTTGCAAATTTTTCCCAACGGGTAAATCCTTTAGCGTTGGAATCTATCAGAATCAATAGAATCCAAGTCAAAAGGTCAAATACGCTCACATTTAAGGACTTTTTTTATTAGCAGCCAGTATTACCCCAATTTCTTCAAGATGTTCTTTTGGTCCAATTCCGGAAAGCATCAAAATTTTTGGGGTTGCAATAGTCCCTGCGCTGAGAATTACTTCTTTGGTTGCATATGCCGTATGTCGTTCTCCATGTCTGGACATGAGCAACAGTACGATTAGCTTAGGTTAATTATTATTAAACTTCTGACTTTCAAAAATTAATTAAATAAAGTTACCTATCGTATTCTACTCCGTATGCTTGGTTCCCTTCGCGAAACAATACCTTCAAGCAAAAAATACCCATTAAACTATGTATAATTGAGAGATGGTAAGTTAGTTTATTTAAAATTTCGAGTGTATGTACCTTATTGACATGGGCATACTTTCTAATGGTGAGTGACGTTCGTGACCTGATGGGTTCCAAAAACGCTTTGAATGGGGCTTGACGAACGCCGTTTTTAATTGGGTACCGCACCACGCCAAATCCTGCAAGCAGATGCACATTCAGTTTTTTATTGCAAGTACTACAGATATGGTCATGTGAAAAAGTGATTGATTGCCCTGCTAGATGTGTACCTTCATCATAAACCCCGTTGAGGTCGACCATTGGGTATCCCATCTCCATGCCTGCCTTTATGAAATCAACCCCAACTCCAATGTAATCTGGAGCTTGAATTCTGAGATCACCGGAAAACCCGTGATAACGTTCTAATTAGGTAAATAATAAACCAAAGTTAAAATGCAAATAATTGGAATATTACTGAGCATTGACTTATTTAACGCACTATCCACATCGAAAGCTTCTTCATGATTTTCATAACTTTTGAAGTATGGAAGGACGCCTTCCCAACCCCATCTTTGGTCACCGGTTATGTTGGACCAGTTTTCATAATCCTTGTGATGTCCTCGTAAATGCACCATCAAGTTCAACGTCCCGGTACCTCCGAGACCTTTGCCAGCGCTCCAGCTTGATTGCTACATATCACGATCACCACCAATCAGACCTTGCCCTCCGTTATGTAGCTAACTCATTATGCATTTTCATGTAAAGGTAAATAATTGTTCCTTGGTCTTACTTGATTTACAGAGTTTAAGCAACTTTTAGTCTGCGGCACCGTTTTGTACATCCAGTCAGTTTGTGGAGAGTTGATTAAAAAGAATCCAAACCCAGGAATAAAGGAAAACGGGTTAGGTTCTCCTCCAGCTTCGAGTAGTAGAACGTTGTAATGCTTTGATAACCTATTTGCGACAATCGTCCCAGTAGATCCTGCCCCCACTATTTTTAAAAAATCACAATAACTTAACCAGGAAAAAAGGTACAAATTTGTTTAGCATGACAGAAATATCTTATGAGCCGCATCATTAGCATGACAATTTTAATTTTAAATTCATACAACTTACCTACAATGAAGTCAAATTTCTCCGTTGCCTGTGGCCGCCACTGCTCGTCCTGCATGACATCCATGCGTTGCCACATGGCCAAAAATATGCCAATGGATCCTATGAAACTGTACATAGGTGGAAACCACAGATAGGTCATGAGGGGTTGAGTTATGGACTCGAACATCCCAAGCAATCCGTTCCCACTGCTCATTTTGAACACAAAGGTAGCCTAATCACTTGATTATTACGGATTTTTATTAGTTTTTATCCGATTCGGACGCACTATTAAATCGTCATGTTGATCGAATTATGGAGAGAGCAATATCGCAAAATTAATGTCCCTTCTTCTTGAATTGGCTTCACACTGAGAGTTGGCAGCAAAATAAATTATCTTCTAAAGGAATAATTGTGTAAATATTGAAAAAAATTGATGATGAAACGACACACTGATGGTAATGACAAAGGTGCATGATGATCATGATCATTTATGCAACAAATTTCTGTATTGCTGCTGCTGGGCTAATTATTGACCAAGACACTGACTTCAACTTGCAGTTTGAGTATACAAAGTAGTTTTTTGTCAAATAAGTTTCCCAACGCTATGAAATTAAGCGTGCATTTACTTGATGTACCCAGCGTTGATTTATGCAAAGGTCCACTTCATCAAGGTCCACACGTATGCCTATAGTTAGAGTATAAGTTCAAGTGCAAACTTCGCAAGCACTGTTAAAACAACTTAATTGAAAGGTGCTATCAATTTATGAATATTGTTGTGAAACATAATCCAATACATACATTAATTTTTTGCTCTGCGTAAAATGGGCTAGATAAATCAACTATTGTTACGCAGAATTACGTATTAACTTGCGCAGCTAGTTTATATTTAGTTTCATCTACTTATCTGCCCGTCCATCATAACCCCCGTGAACGATGAGGGCACAGGTCACCATACACAATGTACCCATCGAAGTCCTTGGAATGGTCTTGAGAAGTCATACAAGTTGAAAAATGACAGATATTTGAAACTCTTGTGCATGGGTTTAGGTCAAATGATAAAAAATGCTTCACTAGTTCATTGCATGCGTTACAATGTTTTATTATTAGCAACATGATCCGTGATTGTCGTTTTTGTTCTTTAATGTCATATTGTTCATCATTTTACATTACATAACTATCATTGCACCAATATTGATAATCAATCCCAAAGTAAATCAACCTTTCATAGTGACTGTCATAATTGGACTCTATTAGTCTTGAATATTTAAGTTGTGATCCTTATACATCGTATTACCTAAAATGGTAAATTAATCAGACGAAACATGTTTATTTGTGGGTAAATTATTATTTAAACCGAACGAGCATTATATAACGTAATTTGTGTCAAATTCTTGTTGTGTCTCTCTTTGTTCATTTGATTTTTTAACATACATAGAAATCAAGTTGTTCATTATACTCCATCCACCAGAGATCTATAATCCATAACTTCTGCTTCCTTGAACGGAAGTGGAGTGAACTATATTTAATTCATTAATCAATCACAAGTACATAATCACAAGTCACAAGCAAAAAATATTTGTAGTAACAAAATGCAACAAGTCAATTACGTGTGTACCACGTATGCATGTAAGGAACAACCGGAAGGAGTCCAACATGTTGACAAATCATTGATTTGAAGACCTAATTTTACAATTTTCAGGCAACTTTAATTAACTAACTCGTCGTTTTCATCAAATCAACAACTATGTATTGGTTAGCGTTGTTGTCGTACATTTCTGCTCATATCTGTTTTACAAGGAGATTTTTTTCTGTTTAAAAATCAAGCTATAAAATATTTGTAAAATCTATTTTCTGGATTCCTGAAATTCATGTGCAATTTATGTTTTCGAAAAATTGCCATCATTATGATTGCTATAATTTAGATACTAAAATGAAGAGATCAGACTATTATACGAACCACAAGGCTTGTCGTCTAGTCGGATTTCCCAATCAAATATTTTTACAAAATTTTCACAGCCATTACACATCCAACACGTTACTAAATTTTTAAATAAACGCTGTTCTGCACATTAGAAAAAGGTGAAAGGAATAATGGGGATAGACGTCTTATTAGTGATCGAGGTTTAGCTCATGTACTTTCTCATTCTTCGAGGTATTCAGCAAATCTTTTTGAAAAGTATAAAAGCTATGAGCAAAGAGCAGGAATTTGAACGCGCATCTCAGAAAACCAATCTAATTCCATCAACCAGCGATACAGATACGGTGCATGAGTCACATTATCTTGCCCATTGCTGTAAAGTACCCTTTGCTTGGTGCACGTTACCTCATTCAATTTTGTTCATAATTCATCGATAAAATTTGAATATTCATGTCAGTTTGTTGCAGTGCAGTGGTGGTGGTTGTAGAAGCCGAAGCGTTGTAATTCTTGAGCTCGCACGAACGAACGACAGTAAAAGTCAAGCCGTATTGCGAGACGAGTTGAGGAGTCCTAAACTCACGCGAAGGAAGGATCCTCATTGATTCGAAGTACTTTTTGATTCAGTTGATCATAAAGTTCCACGTTGAACGGTCGTGCTGTTTCAAAAGGCCAAGCGGAAATCTTTTGGAGTCTCTCCACAACCAGTATCGGTTTCAAGAATGCGTCGATTTGTTGTCGCGGTAAGTGACTCCTCGAGTAATAATTATTTACTTTGCAGATATAAAAGTTGGTGTATAAATTTAGCACCCACAAATTTATGCAACATGCATTGTCTTACGTACTGTTTTAAAGAAGATCTAAATCTGTGATTAAATCTCTGGCTATCATAATAATTAATTTGCATGTTTAGCATTTGTTGTGTATTTTCGTTTGAATTTTAATTTTTCTACTTATAAATTTTGCATTAGAAATCATCATGAAATTGACTTCACTATTTTTATAACACGGTTTTTATGCAACAGGTATTAAATGCAGGTAAAAAATGTTTGCATGCAAGAAAAAAAAATGAGCAAAAGAAGGATAATATGAGACGCAAAGAAATGGTCGCTCATGAAAAAATCATTGTCGCATAAATTACTATGTAGTATAGTACTAGTAGACTAATAGACTTGTAGTTCAGCATAAATGCGCACAAAAATTTGACATGTTTATTAAAATCTGGTTCAGAGCATTTGCCCACAAACTGTCATCCATCCATCACCATGTAATTAACAACTGAATTAATGTCTCGACTTGATGCTGGTTTCCCTTTTACGGCATCAGCATGTCTGCATATCCGACCGCACTTTAATTAGGATTGTCCTCTCACAATCAACTTGATTAACAAGATTCACGTCCTTCTTCTTTCATCGCAGGATTAACTTTCTTCCAAGTCCGCACTAATCTGACACATCTTTTCATCTTTAATTGTTTCCCATTAACTTTGTGAAAGGGACGAGTTGAATGCGTTTGTTTTTTTGCATTCTTCGACTCAAACCAAGCACTTGTTATTATTTTATTTCGAATATTATCCGTCTGTAATAGTTTGCTCGTCGTCACACTAATCAAATTGGATTTGCAGTTGCATGCCCATGCATCGCCCAAGGTGCACATTTAATAAACATAAAGAACGAGGATGCGTAATAACAGTAGGAAGGAGGAAAATTTAAGAAATTTGAGGTGATTATTACTCCACATAGAATAATAAAATGATCTTCTTTATTATTATTTAATTTCTCTGCAAGTATGGAAGCACTTTTTGAATACTTTCTCTATAATTAAATCATGCATTCATCGAGTGATATATGGAAATCGAGAATGAGATTTTAATGAATGAGATGGGTTCGCTCGAATGGAAATACGTACGTAAAAATACAAAATGCTCAAATATTTGAAGATCTTGGCCAAGTTTCAAAAGTAAGCAACTTATTGTTTTGTAGCAGACATGGCAAAAAAGTTCCTCAAACTCTATAATAATAGTAATGCCTAATAACACTGCCACAATACACGCATTGCATTAGTTTCCAAAATTTATAGCCAAAAGCATGTAAACATGAGAATTAGCACAAATGTGCAGGTCTACTTAATTCACATTTACACTTTTTCCATCAAAAGAATGACACTTCAGTTTCGATTTCAACATATTTTTATAGCTGCAACGAAACATGCTTTACTATATACAGAAATACACATTTGTTTAGTTTGTTGCTTGAAAAAGCTCAAGTGAATTAAAGACGCCATCATAAATACGTATGTTAGCATTTTCAGACCTTTTATACACACAATTGCCTACTTTTTGTAAGCCAAGTTTAGTAAAACTGGTCAAACAGTGTTTTGTTTTCAATTAAGGGCCAAGGGTGACGAACGACTTTGGCTCAGACGCAATGAAGCATGCATCAATTCGAATGGTTCACTAAATTCAGATGACACACGTCTTTTTCCATTTCAATGATAAATTATTGCATGGTGGTCGAGATTTAAAATGAAATCGTAAAACCAAATCTATGTCTAATTGGTGGTAGCATTTTATCGTCTCGACGTATCTTTTCTTCCTAAGCGAAGTATTGTTAGGTCCTATATTGTCCACAAAATTTGCATTGAGGTTAACTCGTTAGCTAACACAACCAATGTGTCGGTATGTCGATATGCACGTGAAAAACAGAAGGCGGCGGCTCCTCATCTCGTTTGTAAGCCTGCATCCACAACAGGCTCACAAAACTGATCTCATTATTAATTCTTAAGAAATTAGTGAAAGTGGTCGAGTGTGTGTGTGTGTGTATGAGCTGCAGTTTGCTCTCGTTAAATAAATGGTAGGACCACAAAATTCTCCTGATGCGATCTCATTTATTTGTGCGCTTTGCAAACCAAACACGCAAAATGCAAGCCAAGCAGTGGTCGTCAAACAATGAGAATATTGCAAAGTATGTATAATAATAAGTGGCGCAATAAGTATTTTACCCTGATGCAGATAATAATAATATGTCCACTCACTCGCTCCTCCACGGGCGAATGGTTTGCATTGTCAACTGTTATCATCCATGTCTATGAAATCCATTTGTGTTGAACGATTTTGAAATGGGCCATTCCAATCCCATAAAATGAAAACAAAATTGCATCCGCATAAATTCAGAGGCTACCCCAGGCGTCGACATCACTTATCCTCCTCGTACGAGGAAGGGACGGCAGATTTATTTCAAAATAAGGCAATAAGTTGCTGCTTGGTAGAAATACTTGGTTAGCGTTATCAACTAGATCATCGTGAATATTCAGATTTATTATTGCTAAACAAGAAGCCAAACCCAAAATTGCATTGTTACGTGTGAAGGAATAGTGCAGGAGTTGCACACCTCTCCTCATGAAATGATGCTCAATGAATACGTCTTGTTGAGACAAATTATTGTTCAAATTCCCATTACATGCATGTCCTCTTGTTGTCTGGCTTCTCCTCCTCCACGTCATCTGATAATTTGATCTCATCACTGAAATGGACTACCATTTCACTTTCAATGGACATGCAACATGATGCGATAATAGATTTTACGTAATAATAAATAATCACCGCATGAATTGAAATGAATTAATAGCTTATTGCTTGCTTATGAATTGATAGGTGTGCCTTTTGGCCCACTCAACCTACGGATTGCCACAAAGAGGTGTTCAACTTGGAGGTGGTCCACGCCCAGTCACCCAATTCACTCATCCCCAGCAGCAGCAGCAGCAGGGTCCTAGTCAACCACCACCCAATTTTGGTCCCAGCTACTCTCAACAACTCACATTCGGCCCATCCGATGCAGGGCTCAGGGGTCAACAAGGAGGACCAGGAGGGGCCGCGTACAGGTCACCCCAACCCATCCTCCTCCAACAAGGCAGCCCCTCCGCGGCCCCACCCTCTTTCGCCGGATTCCCCTCACCCCAATTCGGAGGAGGACCAACGAGAGGGCCCGTGACGCACGCCAGACCGACAACTGCTTCCCCTGCGGACGACGAGTATGAAGAGTACGAGGACGACGAAGAGTCTCCAAAACCACAAATCCAAGTCACAGGACGACCCATCCAACGTGCTCCTGTTCGAGTGTCGCAACCGATTGCGTTTTCACAAGGTCCACAACGTTTGGTAATTCCACAATCGCAGCCGCAGGTGCAATATATATTGAAGTCACGATTTTGTGTGTACAAACTGTGTAAAACATGGTAGACTAAAATTGGGAATTTTTCGATTATTTGTTAGCTACAACAAGCTCCAGCTCGTCAACGTCAACCAGTTCCTCAGAGACAACCCCTGCCATCCGCGGCCCCACAATATGCCCCACAACCTCAACCACAACCACAGCGTGTCCAGTCAGCCGCACCTCTGCAACAACAGTCTCGAGGACAACAAGTTGCATCATTCGGATTGGACGGGAAGCGTACCAGACTTACCACCCCTCCCCCCATCCAAACTGTTAACAGATACATGAGAAATAATGATGATGGTTCCATAACTTGGGGTAACATAAACCTCGATATGCAAATATTTACATAGCATCCGCATATATGACATATAAATGATTGCTTCTCATGCATAATATTAATCCGTCTTCTGTCCTAAAAAGGCTACGAGAACGAAGATGGCACGTTTAAAGAAGAAACCATCGGAGCCGATTGTGTTGTCCGGGGAAAGTATGGATATGGTACGTATGAAAAGTGCGAGGTTACTATAAATAAACTTTGGCCCCTATAAAACGGTTGTTTTCGCACACGTATAGTTGACCCTGACGGCCAGAAGCGAGAGTACGAATATCAATCTGGTAACCCATGTGACCCCAACAAGAAGAATTTGGAGGAGGAAGAGGAAGAAGCAGAACGTGAGGGTCCAGGACCACAACAAAAAATTCAAGGCGTTATCAATGCTCCACGACCACGCCCACAATTGGTACAACAACAACAAGTTAGGAGACCTGTTCCACAACAGCAGCAGCAACAACAGTATACTCCACAATACGCATAATAATTATATATTGACAAAAGTTGGTAGTATGTGCATGAGACAAGCTCTAGAACTTGAAAAAATACTCTTGTCGTCGTCCTTACCTTGCTTACCGAGTTTTTCAATTGTTATTTTTTTGTGATGAGATGATGATCGACGTAAGAGTGGTGAGATCCAAATTTCTTTGATGAAGAAATGAATGCATTATATATTTGTAGTTATGCTTTTTGACACCTTACGAATAAACATTGAACGAGATATGGAATATGAATATGCAATGTACATACATACCTACAAGATTTTCTTTCCCAACAACTGTATTTTTTTATTTTCCGAACTCATGCAGTTCTCGAGTTTGCTTTCTTTTTGTTTCGTTTTTATTTTTCTTGGCATAAGTCTTTTGCTTTATTGACAAGAATCGATACGAAGTTAGCGGTTAGCGTTTTTAATTAAAAAAATTAAATTTAATACATAAGGAAATTTCGTCGCATATTCTTCGCTTAAGTCTGTTTTTTAACATGATTAAAACGGTGTTCAAAGGGGGAGCAATCAATATGGAGTCGTTCATGGTGGAGGAGCACAATATATGTAATGTATCGAATAATATGGAATATAAGAAATTTCAAAAATCTTTTGTAAACATTACAACCTGCGTGTACTTAAGACGTAATTGAGTAATTCGCAAATAATAGAATATTTCAGAGCACGTATCAAACACTAATCACTCTATCTGAAGCTCATTTGTCAAAGAGACTTGAGTGGCATGAATCTCGAGCAATCCGGGCTCACGTTCATCGGTTGATCCTCTCTTCTTTCTCTCTCGTTGCTCAAAAACGGTTAATTTCAAACTATTGTGCAATATACAGCTTTCGAGAATATAGATAATAGTATTACGTATTCAATAACTTTGCTTAAGAGTACTTAGTAGCAGACATATAAATGGTAATCAATCATAACAGGCATCATCTTCTCTTCGTGTTCTCCAGGGCTATTATATCATAGTGATCACATTCCAAGAAAACGAGATTGGAACATTGGCATCCGAAACGGTACGCGACAAGAAAAACGACGACGTAATGCAGGTAACACGGCTGATTTGGTGACGCTGCTCGAAGCAATTGCGGCTGGGTCACTTTAACAATGGCAACTAGCTAACGGGATTTATGGGTAGTGAGCTGACTGGTACAGGATAAAAGACTGGGCTCCCATTAATTCCGTGGGGTGCAAGCGTTGGTGGTGACGGTATGTTGGAATTGCTGCTCTGCGATGTTCGCTCTATTCCGTTCAGTCTGTTGTCAATCAAATTCGCCAATTTATCACGATCAGCCTGAGACCACAGGAAAAAAGGAAATTTACTAGCTGCGACGACCTAACAATACAGAGGGCCCACACGTGCCGTATGCTTGAAGACAACCCGACCTTTTCATCGAATGCTTCTTAATTTATTTATATAAAAAAACTACAATCGGTGTACAGAGTGTTTTAAAAATTAATTCCCATCTTACCATCTTGTTCAAAAATAGGTTACCTTCTCTCATGGTTGTCCGATAGTTATGAAGATTTACTAGTGAGCAAATGAATGAACTATTATTGAAATACGCTGTACACACAATCAAGTGCAAAGGAACAAAAACTGGGATTTTATGTGTACGTAGATCGGGTTGAATTCAAACAGAAGCAAGGCATAAATATTTTCGGAAATTGGTTATGCCTCGTTAATAAAACCATGGTAGATCAATTCATTGGCTAAATCGAAAGGAGTATCAGTCTCATCAACAATTGTTGAAAGTTGTCGGTTCATCTTATCGTCCATTCTGACCAGAATCGTACACTGTAAATGACAAATCAAACAAAAATTGAAGACAAAACTTACCCACACAGGAACAATTACCTTACTGAAATTTGCACTCATTTGCATTTATATATCACATTTAAATCATCATCAAAATTTCTTATAAAATGGGTATCAAAAATTGACTAGACTCTACACTAAAATTGAACACTTCATGTATTGTACGGTAAGGAGGGACGAAATTATTGGTAAAAGAAGAAGAAAAAGAACAAAATTATTAAGTACAAGTAATCCGGGTCCTTCGTCACGAGCTGAAAAAACAAAAACATTGTAAGCAAAATAATTTTTTAATGATTGTTTTTAGTATATACATTTACGTGATAAATATCAACCTAGTCAAATATCAAAAAAGGACAGAAAGTAGCCGAATTAAAATCTAGATTTTAAATATCAATAATAAGACGTAATATAATTTTGGGACCGAGACGCGCATCTAATATTTCTATCTGCTTATACCATGTTCACTAAATACCAAGCATAAGCCTTGATTGGTGTTACTGTCCTCCTTTTTGAAAATGTTGTTGACATGTTACCACAATTAAATCTTTACGTGCGTATTTGTTACTTACGTTTGACGTTGCACATCATGTTCACAACACGTCTATTTTCATTGTCAAATGGTTCAGGACTAGTTGACTTCACGCTGTCAATAACTTCTGGACTTCTGGAAGCTTGTTGTCGTGGAGGAAGGGGTTGTGGAAGCTCAAAACAAGTTAGAGGATATATTCCAAATCTGAAAAATGAGTAAAATCACCCCGTTAAATAGATTCTGCAAGCCAAAAGTCCCCTAAATTAGTACACAAATAAAAATGCCGCTGAATGTCGAACTCCTAGAAAATTAGAAACACATTTTATACTTGTTCATCAACGGTTCCATCGTAATCAGCGAAATTACCTCACACTCGCCTCATCATATGCAACACATATAAACAGCATAGAAATAAAACATAACTTACTTTACATCCTCTACAAATTTTTCTAATTTCTCAGAAACTGGCACATCAGACATCTTCCATTGAACAGAAGTTAACTGCGATTCTTGACCATCTTCACTTTCAGCTGAGGTAGTATGTTTAATTTCTGCTACAATCACGTTCGGACCGTAATGACGAAGGAGAACTTCATCACTGATTGTTTCTGAGATGTTTGCTGCAATAAAGTATGATAAAATTAGTTGTGAGAATAGTGTAGTAAAAGTGATTGATTGTAATATTCAGTATAGATCAATTACACACTTACATAAATTTTGGCACCCAACCGAACTTAGGAGGGCGTGGGCTGAGAGTAATTTTAGGGAAGGGACCTGCAAAGACAAATAAGAATATTACAAAGAAAGGTAGCACATAATCCTAAAATTATTGTTACTTACTTCGAAGAGCACAGGGTGGAACAGAAGATCTTGAGCCGTAGGTCTGTCTTGCGGTTCGTTGTTGAGGCACTTTTTAATAAAGTCGTGCAATGGCGTCTCGTCCTGCTCCAATGACTCTATCGTCCTGTTTATATGGTCTTCGGTGACTGCTGTAAGGTCAATAAATTCACGTTATTGTCAAAAGCCAATTTACAATTCATAAAATCTCTTCTGTTTTGTAACAAACCAGTCCCAGAATCGCCATTTCCTTGAATCTCCAACGCAGCCATCTCCAGTGCGCACATCCCGCTGAAATGTTAAAAAAGTATGGTTAGTAATTCAAGTAAACAATAATTTTGAATTTATTTGGCCTGTATTTACAAAAAAATGTTTAACTATTGTTACGTCTTGTTTAGCAAACTACGAAAGGTATGGCCTACGTCTCAAAATAGAGGTAAACCTTGCTTACAATGCTGTTCATGTTTTGCGTGTGTATGCACTTATTGAAACATTTATTTTATGTTACAGGTCAAATATTAAACGATTACTTACAACGAGTAAATGTCCGCTTTGGATGTGAGGGATGAAGAGGATTCTATACAAGGAAGCAAAATATAAAACATTAATAATCACCTAATTATGATCAACGTAGGCCAATATTGAATGCATAACCTAATTCGCGATTTTAAAAATGTATATTTTGCTGATTTCAATATGCATACCGACTTTAAACATCCTTTTTGCCATGTTCAATTGCTAATGTCACTCTGAAATTTTATCTTGATTTGTTTGCTTCGAAATTGACTCGACAAATGAAATACTGGATTTGGATTAACATCCCATGCGTTATAGACACGCCTATCTAAATACAGACACTGTTTCTGGTTGGTGCCAGGCTGTCTGGCAAGTCTCGATGCAACGGATTGAATAGTGTAAGATTAATTATTGTATTTGCGAATCTCTCAATTTCAAACAAAATACGGAAACCTAATGAATTTAAAGTTCTCAGTTAAGATTGTGAAGAAAGAGGTGGATCAAATGAGCTCTTTACGTTGCATGCATACACCTTACGTTGAGTAAAAATAAATGTTCACTAGCAAATAAAAAGGTTTCCTCGTTGTCATAAGGCACGTCAAGTACGGTTGAGCAAGGCACAACTTGGTGTTCCAAATGTTCCGGAGACGAACGGAGGAGCGTGAAAAGCCAACCAGTGTACATAGTGCGACATTAACGTTGTTCTTAGCAAGAAGAGGTTAAACTAAGCCACAGGTTATTATACCATTATTAACCAATCCCAAGTATTTGCAAACATTTACAGTGCAAAAAACATACTACGGTACGATATACGGAGATTCTTTGTTTTCCTCAAGTAAAACAATGAGGTGGTCGCAAATATAAAATAATGCGGAAAAATTTCAAACCTCCATTACACATTATCATCAAACTTACTCGAGTATTCGGGAGCAACAAAGTGCATATTCTTGATATTGTCCCGGCAGGATTTGACGTGGTGATGAATAGCATCAGGGGCGACTATCCAACAAAAAGAGCAGAAAAAATACATTAGTTTGTTTTGCCAAAAAATAATTTGAACTATGCATTTTAGTCGTCTTCTTAGATACATGCTTTCCTTCTAGCTGAACGTCTTTCCTCAAATAACTCCACCAACCAACCAACCATTAACCGGACCATTTCTCATCAAAGTTGAAAGTAGAATAGAAAAAAACACAAGTGACTGGCTTGTGCCCACCTGACTAAATATTTTTCATGGATATTTGCCAGCTCTGTCCTTTTACGCCATCATCGTACAACATTATTTTTTAATGCACAACTAAACCGAGCGTGGAGATAATGTCTTCCTTCACTGTCTACTGCTTTGACGATGATTTGATACGGAATCCGAAAATCTGACGGGACTCTAAATCTTCATTAGTATATGAATGAAACCCGTCATAGTTCATAATACTTCCTTATTCCTGGCCCGAATTCCTGCACGTAATATCAGACAATCTGTCGCCACACATCTAATTTCTTGTAAATCTTTCTATACGACAAAAGTGTTTCTAGGAAGAAAACATGATTAAAAGAAACCTATGCACATAGTATATAAATACTAATCGACGTTGAAGCGGCCATCTCATGTTCACATTGGATGTGGCCCTCTTGGAAGTTTCAACGGCGCTATGTACATATGTCCTGGTAAACACTTTGATACAAAACCTGACAGCATTCGTGGGATTTCAGAATAGGATAATAAAACGCATGTGTTTTCTGGCAGGAATTACAAGGCCGCGATTTAGGGGAAGGTATGTATCAAAGTATGTAACTTGTCCTAAACAGATCAAACTCTCCATCTGATTTAAAAGTCATCGACCGGGTGGTTTCGAGAAGTGTTGGAAGTTGAGTTGGATGACTCACCTGAACCAATTTTGACAAGCCCATTGTGCTGAATGAAAATTGTATCACAAGTGAGGTTCCCGTGGATGATTGGGGGCGAACAGGAATGTAAGTATCTGGAAAACGAGTTACAAAATCCTTGATAAATTGCAACAAGACAAATGAAGCGACGAGTGAATTGACTTGATGTCATTTCTTTGACCTCAGTTAAAAATAAAGTTTTAAAACTTAGCAAAAACTGGAAAAACTTTATGATTAGCCTAATGCATTGCTGAACTCAAACTTGGCAATCGATCCGATACATTAGAATTTGAAAATGGTAGAATATGCAGACACACATTGTAGATTGATAAGAACGTATATATATAAACATTCTCTGCATAAAAAACTGTACTGTACAGTATGTAACAAAAGTATAGCTACGATGACATATTTTTTATCTCGACATGATGTCGTAATATTTCAACTTTGAAACTCCGTACAAAAATGTCAAAACTATCTGCCGACAATTTCCTCGTCGCCGATTTTTAATGTCGCAGATAGGTCAAAGGTCAGGATTATTTTTTTTTAATTTGAGGCGTCGAAAAAAAAACTTCGTGGATATTTTTTTTGAACTTTGCAATATTTTTTATTGGATGCGGCATGCGTTTTGAAGAATAATGAGCTTTGGTCGGACCGTGTACGATTTTTTTGGCGCCCACAGGAATTTTTCGCCCAGGACAAGTTGGAGGTCTAAAATCGCCGCCTTGGCGAAAATTAAAAAACTGAAATATATGTTTACATATCCGGACCCTCTATATGCAAACGTATATTTTAGTTTTTTAATTTTCGCCAAGGCGGCGATTTTAGACCTCCAACTTGTCCTGGGCGAAAAATTCCTGTGGGCGCCAAAAAAATCGTACACGGTCCGACCAAAGCTCATTATTCTTCAAAACGCATGCCGCATCCAATAAAAAATATTGCAAAGTTAAAAAAAAATTATCCACGAAGTTTTTTTTTCGACGCCTCAAATTTTAAAAAAAAAATAATCCTGACCTTTGACCTATCTGCGACATTAAAAATCGGCGACGAGGAAATTGTCGGCAGATAGTTTTGACATTTTTGTACGGAGTTTCAAAGTTGAAATATTACGACATCATGTCGAGATAAAAAATATGTCATCGTAGCTATACTTTTGTTACATACTGTATGTGAATGGAAAAGCTTCATATTTTCTACTCCCAGACGCCATGCCCAACGCCTCGAAATTTTCTTACCGTAGAGCGGATAAAATTTGGGTGCACCATCGTTTCCATCCCTTAAATATAAATTAGTTTTATCAATCTGCTCCACTTTAGGTGTTACACACTCCTACGAGTAATTAAATCTTCTACACTCGCACACATCTTACCTGAAGTGGTAATCTCTTGACATTCTTTTTAGTCCGCTTCAGAAACTGCTTCAAGGATCCTGAAGGTTTCATTTGTAATAAGAGAGTTATTATTCCGTTGTTGCTTATTATACATGCAAAAAATAAATTGTTATTAACCTACCTGAAGACATGTATTCCGTAATGAAAACAACCTATTGAGACGATTTGCACATTAATGATAAGTTATTATAATTATAATGTATACGTATATTTATTTGTTGACTGAAAATTCCTGGAAGCTCATGAATTCAACTCACCCGTGGCTTATCCGTATTGGTTTCCATCCAGTACTTGTGAAATTTGACAATATTGGGATGCTCCAGTTGGGTCAGATTATCGAAGACCTGTCTTATTTTCTCTTCTTGAGCCTTTAGATTCTTCCTCTCCGAAAAGCGGACTTCGTTCCTAGAATTTGGTATACACACTGATGTAAAGTTTTCATGTGTTCGTGTCTTATTGTGAAAGTGAATGACAAAGATGCATCACACTTAAAAAGTTGTAAGTTTTAATTCATAAACTACAATTTTTTCATCTGTTAGGTTAGAAGAATTTGTTAGAAGAAAGTTGTGCTAATCATTGCATTACTATAAATAAAGCCACATACCACACAACCTCAACACCCTCCTCGGTGTCCATGGCCAAATAGGCACCTGTAAAATTTCATTCAGTTTAGTATTGATCCTATCTTTATGTCATATGCAAACGTGAATATTTAATACTCACAATCGATTCCTGGCACATCACGTTGGTCCACCTGAAATTAATAGTCAATTTAAGTAAAGCATCAACTATTGCATTATTGAAATTGAAATTTTTTGAAAATCAAATGTCATAACAAACCAGGGTTCATTTTTTAACTTCAATAGCCCAGTGTTTTTTCATAAAACCTAAATGGTGCTACTTTGAGAAGAAAGTGGAGATAAGAGGGGACACTCTGTTTGCAAAATCTGAACCATATCTTTGCAGATACACATATTGCATTTCTTTATTTTAGGTGGCGCTTGTACTCGGAGAAGGCACATGCAAATTGGCAAAGTGTCAAATCTTGTTGCATTATTTAATGATACATGATTACAGGCTTGTATGCTTCATTCGGCACGATACATTAGGGCAATTTTCTAAAAATGCATGCAACTACTAAAGTGCCAGCAATTTGGGTACGTAAGCAGTTCTGCTGGGCTTGCACACTAGAAATAAACATATTGGACAGCATTGACTTATGTACAAAACGTTAGCTGCAGCCGGCTTCATGAAGAATGCACATGCAGGACCAAGGTAATAGGAATGCATGGCGAGTAGGAAAATACTCGACAGTTGGGAAAGTTTAATACCGGATCGATGAGGTGAGTAATCCTTGCGAGACTGGAGGGTGAAGAACTTGCTTTTACTGCATTTTGTAAATGAGATGTGAGTCATGGGAATTTTGCAAGGAATGCATGAGCAATCTTTTCTCTGAGTCTCTGAGTAAAAAGTCTCTCCTACACCACATCGGACAGCCGCCTTGGTATTTTATTTATATACCTCGAAAATAAGTACGTGACAAGAACCCACCATGAAGTTGAATATCTAGGAAACACATTTTCACTGCGAAAATCCCTGGGCTAAAAATGATCGTACTAACACGTAGAAATGATAATTTTGTTAAGCATCATCATCAGCAAAGTCCAGAAGAATGTCAAATCTGGGGAAAGTATGAACCTAAAGCTACCAAAATTAACTTATGCAAAATAATATCTGGCCAGAAAGGGACAAATATGGTCGATATGAGGATAGTGGGTAGTGAAGTGGATGATGAATAACAACACAATCCTCATTTCGAGGTTGCGAAAGGGAAATCTTGTCGCCTACGCACAGAGTATGTATAAGCCGACGAATATGAGATCGTATACTTTCTCCCTCCACGCGAGACCCAATTCATGGTGACAGCGTAAAAGCATTTCTTCTGATTATTACTCTAACATGTAACACCGCTCACCCACCCACAATCAATTTTCGTCGAGGAATACACAGCTGCGAAATGTACGTTTCTTAATTTCTAAGGATAGGTTCATTACTTTACAAGTCTTTTAGCCAGTACATGATCAAAGCACGGTTTACATAAGCCAAGTTGCTATCTCTTTTTACTCTCCAGCAGCGAGTGGATTATTGCATCCAACAAGTGTACAAATTAAGATGTTTTTGCAATAGGAAGTTGGATGCCATAAAATGGAAGAATAATATGAACCAAAATGTCAAAGAGGTTCCAGACTTCCAGCAGTGTCCAATTGAGTCCACGTTAGCATTTTCGCCTATGAGGTTGTGAACACTCGGTGATGTCATGAAGATGTAGCTAAAGCACAGCCAGCAGTGCAGTTGAGCTAGCAAAAATCGATCCAAATCCATATACTGCACGGCAAGACTCGACGAAGAGGAGTCAACGACAGTTTACTTTCTCCGTTGTTCACTATTTGCTACATATGCCATATGTACGAGAAATCAAGAGAGATGGCTTGTTCTTTATTGAAATAAACCGTCGCAAACGCGCATACGGAAGTAGCTTCAGACGTACTTCACCCCAAACGGTCCCACCACAACTCGGGAACACTTAATTTCACTCTATTTCACCTATAGATTAATTTTTTGTAAAAATCTCATTTTGCCCCGACCACACCCCCTGGCGACGAGGGGGTGTGGAACAACTCGGGAACACTTAATTTCACTCTATTTCATCTATAGATTAATTTTTTATAAAAATCTCATTTTGCCCCAACCACACCCCTGGCGCCTAGGGGGTGTGGCACAACTCCGGAACACATAATTTTACTCTATTTCACCTATAGATTAAATTGCACTAAAAATCTCATTTTGCCCCAACCACACCCGCTGGCGCCGAAGGGGTGCGGCAAAATCGGGGAAACACTCAATTTCACTTAATTTCACTTAATTTCATTTAATTTCACTCAATTTCACTTAATTTTACCCATAGAATAAATTGCACTAAAAATCTCATTTTGCCCCAACCACACCCCCTGGCGCCGAGGGGGTGTGGCACAACTCCGGAACACATAATTTTACTCTATTTCACCTATAGATTAAATTGCACTAAAAATCTCATTTTGCCCCAACCACACCCCCTGGGGCCGAGGGGGTGTGGCACAATCGGGGAAGCACTTAATTTCATTTAATTTCACTCAATTTCACCTAATTTTACCCATAGATTAAATTGCACTAAAAATCTCATTTTGCCCCAACCACACCCCCTGGCGCCGAGGGGGTGTGGCACAACTCCGGAACACATAATTTTACTCTATTTCACCTATAGATTAAATTGCACTAAAAATCTCATTTTGCCCCGACCACACCCCCTGTCGCCAAAGGGGGTGTGGTCCGGTTGCCCCCAAAAGTTGATAGGATCCTCCCCCTGGGGTCCTATGTATGATGGCGAAAACCGATTTCGATTATCTCGATCCGTTCTCCTGATATCCTGCTGACAGACAGACGGACAGACAGACAGACAGACAAAGTCTTCACATAAAGTAGCTGAAGCTACTTAATAAGCACGTGAAATAAGATATGATTCAACAATTAGTTAATAAAACCTGAATTTACCAAAATAAGATTGTGTTGAATGTTACTTTTGCAATAAATGCGATATCACAGAATCTATCAAAAAATAATGTTCTCCAAGATCAGGGATGGTTATAAGTTAATTAAGTCGAAGCATTTTATTTTATCCGTGCACCAATTAAAGTGCATTTCTTGAATGTTGCGATGGAATAATTAAGCCGCAGTGATTTATTCCATGTTGTGCACCAAGCACCACAATCACCCATATCCAGTTGAGGTCAGATTTGAGAATAAGATGCCGAACGAACGAACCACTTGTGAACTGGAATCACGGAAAACTACCAGACACAGGAGTGTACATTAATCACCACCAAGTCGCCAACCACTCTGTAATCTAATTCAACTTGTGTCTTTCCCAATTTCCCAATGATAAGATACAGCCCAATTTGTCATTACCAATGGTTCCAACCAATTATACTCCTCAACAACAAGTTCGAATAAACCTCATGAACGTACCCCAAGCATGAGTAATCTTATAAACAGCGAATCGTTTTTTTTTGCTTTTTAGCCCGAGTCAGGGCTCATTTACTTATTCACATGATTTGGTCGAACTCTCGAACTTCCTGAGCTTGCATACATACTTATTTCTAGTCACAGTAGTTCGTAAAAAAGTATTAATAATTAAACAGAGAGGTATTGGCCATTTAATTTAAATATTCGTGAATATGACCACATTCAACAATTAAAAGTACCTGACATGACTCGACCTTCTTGCACTCACTGATAATAAATGCAGCAAAACATGGTTGAACCTAAATTATGCACAATTACAAAACAATAAGAGGCTCCACAAAGTCGCATGCGAGTTGAACGCCAAAGGCGAAGTTAAAATCAAGTTTGGGGCAACTCATCAACTCGGAATACTTGTTTTCTAAATATGACGATGAGTGAAAAATCCATTTTGCAATGATTAATAGAAAATTGCGTGAATGTAAAGCTAAATCATACAAACAAACGAGTTTTCAAAATTTAGCCCACGTAAGGAAGTGATATGAGCAGATCGATATTATTATTATTATTATTCTAGTTTATTTCGCGAATATGAGCAATTAATCCTCTGTTCCTGATCGTGTGCAGATTGTGTCGTTTCATTTTGTGTCAAAAAAATGGCATATAGCATAGTACTGCACACATAAGTTGAATAAAGTGACCTTGACAATGAGAGTATGTATGTAGGTTAAATAATGAAGCAGCATTGTCCACTCATCATTTCACCACCTCCTCAACCTTTGTTGTCCTCCTTCACTCCAGTGGAATGACAAATCTGGTCATAAATTCCTTTTTAGTAGTTTTGTCATGTAATCTGTTTATCCTCTTCTTCCAAACAAGCAGAATAAATCCTACACAATGGACACAACTAAAACCTCGTCCAATTCGGGAAAAATGTAACAAATTTATTCACTTATTGACAGACAGACGGACAGTTGGATATTCCCTCCTCGTCGTGAAATGGAATACTCGTGTAATGTAATCAAAACGTGAATAATTAAATAGACAACGTGACCAACAGGCAAATTCTGCAATTATGTGGGCATGCTCACTGTTATTAGGAGGGTAAAAAAAGATTTGGATATCAATTTCACAAAAGTCATAACATTGAACAAAACCACGTCCAGGACCCTGTGACCAAAATCTGCAGTGAACCTTAAATTGCATGCAATAGTATATTATGTAGGAAGGTAAACCTATAGGTTGATAAATATGCATACCCTTGACATCAACGGTGAAAGTGGACATGAACTACAAGTAGGACAATACGCAGCCAACCATTGCTTTACTTTCCGTAATTAATAACTGTAACATTGACATGAAAAATCGATGCAACCAAGAACGGAACAAGTAAACCAACTCTGACCGTGTGTAGGTAGTACCACCAAATTCAACCTAAACAGAGGTAAGATGTGAGAATCGATAAATATTGCATGTGGAATTGTGGAGTCGAGTAGGAAGTTTAATACTAGAAACTACATATATATTTACTAACCCTTCATTTGACATCGATTTATTTTACTTGGTTTAACTTTGTATTCAACCATACGCAAATAGATGGAGATAATAAAAGTAAACATGACACAGTAACATAATCACAACAAAAAACAATACCTGCCATCAAAATGCTGCAAATGCCCTAAAAGTATACCTATTTGA